TGGGCCATATAAAATTCACTATTGTTCCAAAAGTTATTATATTATCATTATGATTTCAAGTAGCGTCTTATGTGTTTTAAAAACACACTGTAGTTAGCTGCGGAATTTGCACACTCAAATCGTTGCATGTCACAGAGGACTATTAATTCTATATTATGTTATAAGTATGCTCACATCAAGCTAACATTCTTGGGTAATGGTTGCAGAAATTAAAAGAACTTAACTAGAAACCATTACTTAACCAACTTCCAGTGTTACAATCTAGGATTGTTTTGACCCTTTGAATTTGAATTTCAGGCGATCGACAGCTGATGCAGGCCTTGGTCTTCGATGCCCGAGTCACCGGGTGGTTCTCCAACAACACCAGCTTCAACTCCAAGGACGACAAGGGGTAAGTGGCGAGGTCCGGGGACTTTGGGGACTTTTAGCAATGCCAGGCTTGACTCGTCAGACACCTTCAGTACAGTCAACGCCATGCACTCGAGTTTACGCACCGGAAAAGCAGCACATATTAACCGTTTTCATTTTATTTCTGTGTACGCCCTTCTTTTTCGATTTTTCTCACTTTTATTTGCATTTTATATCGATTCTTTGTGTCGTCCTTATCGCTGTCGTTTAATGTCTTTCTCATATTGAATTTTTGCACCCACCACTCTAATACAACTCTACTATGAATATAAAAATATATATGAACTCTTGAATATCTCCTGAACTTGATACCACAAAACATAATGCCTCCCCATTATGAAATACTGAAACAAACCATCCACAAATTTAGCACAAGCGCATCAAGCCCAATAGCCGTTCTAATGGGTTTGCTGCCAAGGTAAACAATGAATAATAAACCTCGATACTCAGTCCTGTTAACTAGGCTAAGTCGTTCTTTCTCAAGATTATGTTGTCTGGTTATCTAACCTAATGTATCTATCTGCACAGAAATGAATTCAAGCAGCGCTTTGGCGTCACCGTCGCCTTTTTGGCCACCCACAGTGGCCTCACCCGCTGGCACGAGTTCCACTCAAATGCTGCCGAGGAATCTGGAGTCGGGTGAGTCTGGGAAAGCCCAAGGATTTCGATGGTAAACTAATGGGGGGACTTTGCATGTAGCGAGACTTTCAGCCAGAACAATACGCGGGCCATCGATGAGATTTGGTATAAACGCGCCGTGGACCAACATTTTGTACGGGAGGAGAGCTTCGTTTACTCCGTGCCCTTCGATGCGGGTGGTAAGTTGAGATGTATATTACTTTTAAGCTCTGTATAACCTAACAACATTTCCCACCTGTAGAGAGCAATTCGGAGATCCTGGTGACCGCCAGCCATGCCGTTTTCCACAATGAGGGCGGCAAGACAGCGCCGGCGGCAGTTGTGGGCTTCCAGTTTCAGCACTCGGCGCTCTACAAACTCTTCCACAACATCACCGGCAATGTGGGTTAACAGCTATCTAATTGTTTTTACTGTTTACCTAAAATTAGATACATTCATAGGCCTGTGCCGTGGATGACAAAGACTGCTATATACTGGATAACAATGGCTATGTGGTTATATCGACGAGGGTCCACGAAACGGGGCGATTCTTCGGGGAGGTGAACGGAGCGATCATGAAGCGGCTGCTGGAGGAGAATGTCTACAAACAGGTCACCGTCTACGATTACCAGGCGGTGTGCTTCGAGTCCAAGAACGATAACAATGCGTCCAGCATGTTGCTTTCGGTAGGATTGGTTTAATTGATTGACTTGGTTAATTGCAGTCTAACTTTTATAACTCAAATGGTGGTGTTTTAGCCTACTCCGATTTTTATAATATGTATAATTTGTTTATATTATTTAAGATTAGAAAAATTATTCTTGTAGATCAGAAACCTTAAACGGACCTCCCTAAAAATTCCTACTTAATTTCCAAACAAAGTTTAGTTATAATTAGGAACCGTAATTGGTAATTTTAAATTTATTTATATATAATATAATATAATAATCTTTAATAATTTTTATTTACGTCCCCATCCCAGTTAAATTCTCTAAATTTAGTGTGAGTTATAAAGGTTGGACTGTTGACTTTAAATCAGTACTATAATACCACAATATATTTTTCTGTAGCCCCTGTTCCATCTGCTGCGCGTGGGCAAATGGCTGCTGCATACGGCGCTGTGGTATATTGTGCAACTGTTGCAGTGGGCGCCCGGAGTGTCCAGCCATTATGCGGACATGTACGGCGACTCCAACGACACGGAGCCTCCGCCGCCGGAGCCGCATCCGGAGCACCATGCCCGCAACGGTAATGGGCATGGGAAGAAGGACGACGACCACTGGCTGCGCTACTTGACACTCCATCGCACACGGCTCAAACCGTGCGACATGAAGCGCGAACTTTACACGCTGTTCAAGGAGAAGGACAACGTTGTCTACAATATGACAGCCCATGCATGTGAGCGGCCATTTGTCGTCCTGCCCATCCCGTTCAGCAACCTCATCCTGCTGGTCATCGACCAGCTGTGTCCCCGGGACGGCACCGTCGTCCTAACGGTCAATCCGCAGCCGATCGACTACCACCTGTCGGTGAACGACTCGCTGGCCTGCTACAAGCAGGCTCGGGAGTTCAACCGCCAGCGGCCCCACAGCTGCATCAGTCGGCACGCGAACGTAAGTCCATCGGGGTCATTGGGGTCCTTGGAGAATTAAGCTAGTTGGTGGGTGGAGACCGGGTTATGAAAGAACTTTAAGTGTCAAATTACAGGCCTATTTATAGCTAAGTAGTATAGCTAATGAACTATGCTCAGTTATTAATGAAACCGTAATGGCGGTTTCCTTTGCTGTTTTATTTCGACTTAATAATATATCTATTGATTCATGAGATTAATTTTTGGTTGAGGGACTTGGGGCTAGAAAATTACTGTTTAAAGCTGGACGAAAATGTCTGAAAAGTCAGGTTTTTTTTGATTTTATAATGCAAGTTTTAGATTTCAATATAATTTTTAAAAACTTTGTTCCTTCAAAAAATGCATAAACATCGTAACTAATAATTTCTACCTTCGTAAATTTATATTTTTAAATGTCAAACAAAACTTTAAGTACAATGTGCAGATATTTATTTTTACTAACCAATTTTTTTTATTGTAGGTTGAGTCTTTAAAAAAATGTAGGCAGGCTAGGAGGGCCTGTGGGCTTATACCAAGTTCTAAGTCTTTGAAAGACACTAAAAAGCCTTTATTTTCTTCCACTATTTATTTTAATTTATTTGAATTTTCCATTTCAGGAGAGCGGCATCAAGCTGTGCGGAAAGGCGTGCTCCGTCTACGCGAATCTGGGGCTGCTGCTCCTCTGCCACATACTGAGTCGCTGGCTGTAACGGCGGCCGATGGGCCTAGCTTAGATCATAGCAATATGTTTTGTATTATATACGAAGGGCAATCCGGGAGGTGGGAAATTTTTTACTCTAACGCTTGAGCGCAGTTCAATATTTTTGGTCACCTAGAGAAACTTTTCCAAATTAGTTAATAAGTAGCTAAATACGAGTATCCGTATCCGCATCCGCATCCGTTTCGATCTCAGCGTTCGCCGTCGAACGGAGCGGACGGACTCAGTGAACGCGGACAGTGTGTGCCGCCTATGACGGACGGGGCGCTGGGCTTATTGTAGACCTTCCAATAGACAGGACAAACCGATATTTATTGCATATATATATATTGTATAACTGAGAATTCCAACAACGGCCTTAAACGACTTGCAACCTTCAAGTGAGCTGAATGCAAAGCGCCGTCATTCGGGCGACAAAACTTATGGCACACACTGTACCAAATGCCGACTACTGCCCATGGTTATGTGTGTGAGTGAGTGTGCGAGTGTGTGGGTGAGTGTGCAGCGGTGTGCGTGAGTGTGTTAATCCTAATCTAAGAAGGCCACATTTGTAAGTAACACCTAGCTACGAGTTTATGTTTAAAGAAAAAAGAACGGATCAAGAACCTATCGGTAAAGGCGAATAATGGAACCATTTAATTATATATACACAGACACACATACGATAATACGATATATACCTACGAGTACGCCCGGTACAGTACATGCTAACTAATTTAAGTAGCTTTTGTATATTTGCTTAGCTTAGCCCAGAGAAAAACTAACCGAAAGTTCAGCCTCGGAGCCTTGGAAAACTACATACTTTTATAGACAAGCGTTAAAAGATGAAGTACGCCACTAACGAGAAACCGAAACCGATAGCAAAATAAACCGATCTAATGGCATTGTTTTTATATACATACACTGATGATGACGATACCTAGCATTACCCACAAGTACCTACATACATATATATGAGAAATACTTTTTATTACTAACTACTTGATACGAGCCACAGAACTGAGCCGAGGTCGGAAACGATTGAGTAAAAGCAGCAGCATCTAGTGACTAAATTATTATTAATAATACTACACTTAAACATTGACTAGTTGAAATTTACCATGACAAACTATCGTACATCTAGACAAACTCTCAGCCGAGAGGATCTCTCCTCCAATAGGAACAGAACTTGCTAAGCTTTAGCCCCACATGTCCCCATGGTAGTGTAATTAACTTGTGCCATTCGAACTGCCTAGAATTTGTTATTAACTATTTAATATTGAACTCATCGGAGCGGTTTTAGATGCGACTAGCCGGGAAATCTGTTATCCCTTTCGCAGGTTGTTTCATTTCTTATTCATTTCGTACATCCCGATCGAATGTAGGGTAAAGCAAATATCAAACTATACCAAGCTTGCAGGCCACTTCACCAGGACACTAAGCCCGATCTCAAATTTAAACTCTCCTCACGAACAAACAAACAAAAGAAACAAGACACACTGCTGGCAACCACAATTGTACTACATACATAAACATATTTCGAATTCAATCAAATACAAGTAAAAACCATTTGTCTAATGTGCTAAAAGAAGAAACTGATAATAAACACAAAATAATTTCGAAAATCAAACCGATTGTTTTCTTGGCGGTCAATGAAGAGTACTCTGGTTATTTGAAATATTTGTTATACTTAACAATTTATTTTAACACAAGTTTATATTATTTTACACAACTTTCATCGTTTTACAAAAATGCCTTAGGTTGATAATTAAAATCTAATTTAGCTAAATGACGAGTTTTGTTTTGTCGAAGTTCTCTTTTTCAGCTTTTCAGTAGTTGCCGTGGTTTAAAAAAACATAAATAGGTAATCAGTTTTAGCATTATCGTTTAGATCGACCATATATATGTGCTGAAGTGGTACACTGTTCTACATATTGTATTTCGTATGTATAGCAGTGACTTCTAATTAATTCGCGTATTACGTATGCCTATGCTGCATGCAAACAAAATAATAAACGTATTTTACAAGACAATGTGTAAAAAATAAAAGAATCTAATACGATAGGTTAGAATTATAAAATGAAGTCTCTCTCTGTTCTGAAATCTCAATTCACAAAAGTAAACGTCAGGAATTAACGATCAATATGACGAAATCATAAAGAGTGCACCCCGCCAGCGCTTAGGTGGAATAGTCGACCGCTCCGCTGCCGTTCTGCTGCATGCGAACGGACCGACGACGGGTCAGGATGCGCGCCGGTGCCGCCGGAGCAGCTGGATCGCTGGCCTCGCCGGGAGCTCCTCCCACTGGCACTCCCGTCGCCTCCGCGTTGTTGTTGCTCACCGCCGCAGCGGCGGCCGCCTCTTCGCTCGCCATTCCGACCACGGCATTGTCCAGGATCAGCGGCACGGCCACTGGCGTCGTCACTGGCTGATGTTCCTCCTCGAGCTGCGAGTTGCGTCGCGTGGTGATGCCCCGCAGCTTGGACTTCTTGGGCGGCAGAGTTCGAGGGGCGGCAACTTCCCTAATTGGCGGTGGCGCTTCCTGGACGGGGATGCTGGCTGGCGTGGTTGTGGGCATCACGATTATTGGCGGCAACTCCTCCTCCTGATAGTTTCGCTTGCGAGCCAATCGCGCCGCATTCCCGTTGCCATTGCTGCTCTCATCCGCCGGTGGTATCTGTGGCGCGGCCACGATCGGTTCGTTGTTAGCGCTGTTGCCATTGTAACAGTCTGGATTTGCTGGGCTACTCGCCAAACAGGCGTTCTCATCGATGGTCTCCAGCTTGCCTAACGTCTTGTTGGTGCCGCCATTGGTGGTTGTCGCCGGTGCCACGACCTCTTCCTTGGTGCTAGCCTGCTTCAGCTGGGCGTTGTCCTTCTCCAGCGTTTGGATGCGATCGCGCGTTGTCTTCAGTTCTTGCTGCAGAAACAGAATGGTACTCTGCATGCCCTCCACATCCTCGTCCAGTTCTTGAAGGAAGTCGTCCAGCTCTGTTGGGGAATTGGGGAGATTTTATTAGCCATTGTTATTATCTTCTGTTTTAATTATACTAAACCTACCCGACTGCGACTTCTTGACCTCCTCGCTGAAGCTCTTCTGCATGGCCAGCTCCGTCTCCAGTTTGGCCAGCCTGCCATTGGAGGTCATCTTGCCCAGCTCCTCGTTCTCCTGGTAGAGCAGTCGGCACTTGGCCATCAGGCGCTTGCCGGTGTTGGAGTCCGGGGTGAATTTCCAGGCGGACAGCTCATTCTGGGTCTCCTCCAGCTTGGCCTTGGTGGCCTTAAGTTCCTTCTTGAGCCGCTCGAAGAGGAGATTCACCGCAGGATCGAGAAGGGCAGTGCGCAAAGCCAAGGCAGTGGGTGCCTGTTGGGCCTTGTACTCGGCAATTTGGCTCTGAATGGGATAAGATAATGATTTGTACTTGAAGACTTTAAGTTAAGTATAGGTAAACCTACCACGTAGTCCTGGAATTCCTGCTCCTTGTTGGCCAGCCGCCGCATGAGGATCTTCTCGCGGCGCAGGGCATCCGCGCATTGCTGACCCATGCGCACCTGCTCCAGTTTGAGATTCTCGATCTCATCTGCGAATCGAAGGATAGGATTAGCTAGGGATATCTCAAGAAACGCTGCTTCCAAGCCGAGAGAGAGCCACTCTGTTTTTGGTTTGCACGAGACATTACAGTATTGTACTAGTCATAGGTATATTTTACAAGTTCTTAATGGGCAAGGCAAAGTGTTTGTTTTAGGTGGAACTTAATACGAAATCATACCAATGCGTTGCAATCATTCGTGTAAGTTCGTGACATGGTCGTTGGAAAAGGCCGCATCCCGTCGTCAATCGCTTGCTGATAATGATATTGGTATTGATTTTGATTCGATGCGAGGGTCACAACCACTTGAACTTGGACACGATCTCGAGATCGATTGCGATATCGATATCGATTTGCTCGTTATCTCTGGCATTATCTCTGGCACTTGAACAACCACACCTGCCATTATTTTCATTTTGATTTCTTGCTTTTGCATTTGCATTAGAATCGAACTTGGTTGGCGATTGAAATTGAATCTTCGCGACATTTTCGGAATTGCGTACACTGTGGAAAACAACGACGAGTGATTGATACATTTTTTGTGGGCATGGCAAAACTGAAAATATTTTTGAAAAACACTTGCAAAAAACTCGACGCACACACTCCGCTCTCGAAAGCTTTTTCGTATATACATATGTATATGCATATGTACGCATGGATTTGAAAAGCTTTTCCCCTTCTCTTTTTCTGCGGCATTTTCGAACACTCTTTTGTCATACAAAAAGTTTATTGACTTTGCATTTTTGTTGTATTTGTTGTGCAAACACGTATTTTATTTTGTATTTGTATTTATTCAGGCGAGCAATTATTTATGTATTTATATTTTACCGATGCAAACAAATGTGTGTGCGTGTGTCCCACATAGCATGTAAATTGATTAATTGGCGGCCACTTAGGCGTTAAAAAAACCAATTGAATAATCTTATCAATTGCGAATACACACACGCTAACACACACACATGTTCACAGCGCTTTGGTTTGGCGCCTTTTCATTTGAATATTTATTATTTAACACACGAGGCAAAGTTTTTGGCATTCACTTTTTCACCACAATTTCAACTGAAAAATAATTTTACTTTATTTTCTTTTCGGTTATGCACTGTCACTTATTTACTTGGTTATTTACCATTATTATTTAAGCAACAACAAGAAAGTGTGAGGGGGGCATAAAGAGAGAGAAATAGACGGAACTAGGGGGCGGGACGGGGGGCGCAGACACGTTGGCTCTCTTCTTCTTCTTGTCCCCACCTCTCCACTACTTCTTCCTCTTCTTCTTCTGGCACGTAGGCAAACGAAAAGTGGTCGCAAAACGAAAACTGTACACCGCAAAGACGACGAAAAGGCGAGAAAACGGGGAAATTGGAAACCTTCGCTTTGAATTCTTTAAATATTTGATAATATTTTGTATTATGTTACAAGAAACCCGTGTTTCATTTCATTTTAAGATTATGTATGCTCTTAACTTTTATAAGAAGCCTTAGCTCTTTAGTGATATTTTACTTTTATTATTTTCTAGCTATTATTAAGCTATAAGATTATTATATTTTGATTTATTATTATTTTGTAACTTATTTTTTAGATAGTTCATTTGCACAACACTTTATAAGCACTTTATAGATATTTGAGGCTCTCATTGCCTTTTCTCATAGTTTATATTGAGGTATTTCATTTATTAACTCATTTCGTGGTCCTTTTAAAGCACTTTCACTGAATTGAAATTTTCTGGGGTGGTGTGTAAAAAAATAACTCAAAACTTAACCAAAACGCCGCTGAAAGAATGTTCGTTAAAAAGAGTGTTCGCTTCGATTAGATTCACAGGGTAATCGTATACGTTGAGTTCTTTTCCGAGTGTTTTTCATAAACAAATTCAATGTCACAAGAAACCCAAATGGAGTGGGGACAGAAGTAAACTAAATAAACCAAGTTTCCATTTACGCTTCTCCTTTATACAATTTACACAGAGTTGACACTTTAGATCGTGGTTTTGTTTTTGAGACGAGTATGTATGTATATAGGGGGTATTATACAGATCAGATCCCTTGGATCAGATCAGATAGCAGTGTACCAAAATGTGCAAAATACCTTCGAGCAAGCGTTGTCGCTGTTCGGCGGCTGCAACAGCCTCTGCAACAGCTGCTGCGTGCTGCTGCTGTTGTTGTTGCTGCTGCTGTTGCTGCTGCTGCTGCTGCAAATGTTGCTGCTCCTGATGGTGATGATGGTGCGGATGCGGATGCGGATGGTGATGATGGTGATGGTGCGACGACGGATCCTCGAGGCCCGAGGGCGTTGGGGAGGCGGGGCCGCCGCTGACTCCGCTATTTTGGCTGCTGTTTAGGATATTTAGATTTTGCTCGTATTTGGTCGGGGGCATTTTGTCGTAACTGTTCATCAAGGGTCTTTGATCGTCCATAGTCATTGCAGCGACACTCATTATTTGCAAATTAAAACGCTCTTGTTGTTGTCGGTCCTTTGCTGGCGTTGTTGTTGTTGTGGTTGATGTTGTTGCTTTTCATAGGGGCCGCTCGCTCACACATTCACACGCACACAGACGCTGCCCACCAATACTCCCTCACTCACACACACACTCGCATGCACCAATGGCGACGCGTATTGCGAACGTTTGCAAAACGTCGATTTCGCGTACTTTTCGCGCTGGCTCAACGCTCAATTAATGATTTATCGCTGGATTGTCCTTTGATTCACACTTTGCGTATGCTTTTGGTCGTTTGGGGACACTTTAACGGCGTTATTTCTTGATTTTTCAACGCTGCGAGCTGATTTCTCGATTGCTGCTGTTAACTGTTGTGCGGAATCCAACATGGCGGAGCTGGAAAATACCAAATTTGCCATTAATCCGACTGCAACCCTGGGTTCGGAACTCAGATATGTGCTAGCGAGGGCACAATCCAATCGTCCGGTTCTGTTGGGTGTACACACTGGCAGGAGTTTCTAATTTATAAAGATATAATTTAGGATATTTTGAGATACCTCGATGCTCTCTTTCCAAAGGTATTAATTAATTAGCAATAATAATATTTCCAAAATATTTCTACGTTTTGAATTATTAGTATTATTACTTTTCTGTTTTACTTGTTAAAATCACAATATTGGATTTCATTAAAAAATTAACTTCTGCCGAATTCGAATCCAGATTACAATATTTTTCTTTAAATAATTAGAAAATTGAACGCGATGACAGAATATATTACAAGGCGGATACTAGTGGGAACAGGGCATTTAAATTTTCCTAATATAGCCGAAATGTTGTTATTTTTTACGGAGTCCAGGGGGGTCACTCTGGTCGACTGATTTGGAAATTGTTTTGTTTTAAAAACGTAAGAATATGGCTGAATCCTCGAACATACATGTCAAACTGGAGCAGCAGAACATCAAGGAGCGCTTGAATTTGCACGTCAAGCGGCGCTTGCAGCAGGATGCGGATAATCCCATCGAGAGCCCCGAATTATTGCCAAGTGATCCCAATCCTAAGCGCAACAAGGTAAAAGATGTTTCAAAGCCTCGAAAACCCTACCAAAAGCGCACAGAAAAACCCAAAACAGAGGCAACGAAGTGCAAGAAAGGTGAGTTGTTTTATTTTGCGTGAGAAACTGATTTATATAAGCCTTTTTTTCAGTTGGACAACTAGGCAGTCCGGCGGCGGAAGCAGATCCCCTGGAGGAACAGGAACCGGAGGGATATTCTCCGGAGGCGACGGATGGCAAATCTGTAAAACGGGATTGTTGCAAAAACGCCGACATTTTAAACATGGTTTTGAACGTTAAAAAACGCATTCTAATGCAGGATCCCGAGGTTCAGGCCTTCTGGACCGAAATAACGACTGCCATTAAGAGCTAAATGAATGAAACTGTTCCTAAACGCGGTCGCCAATCAGGTTGTAGATATAAATTGATGTTATGTTAATATTGAATATAAGGGTTTTCAATAATAATGTGTAAGTTAAATGTTAAGTTATGCTTTTCAATAAAATGTGATAAAATGGAATGAAAGCTCCTTCTCTAAACTCAATCTTATAGAAAAAGCACTAAAAATGTCATTGCAAGGTGCTCCAAAAACAAGTACCCTCTTCTATGTACTTTCATATATCTTGAATATATCAGTAGTTTAAGTCCTTTGATCAAACTATAATAGCTGATTTTTCAGAGTTCTAGGGCTACAACAGAACATATTTTTTTCCAAAGTGATTTGTCGCAGTGATTTGTTCGACTCATTGTTACGCTGATCAACTTCATAAATATGTTTGCAAGTACTAATCTATTCACTGATGAACTTTTTGGATCCCTTATCTGCAGAGCTCGCACCTCTCAGACTCAATATTCAGTTCTCAACACAACTTATTACTGTGCGACTCTACTCTGGGCTGGAATATGGCCTCAGAAATCTCTTTGCTTGAGATCCATAAGTTTTCAGTATAAAATTTATGGCTTTCTCACAATTGATTAAGGCCATTTCATAAAGTTTCAAATTTCTAAGCTTTCCCCTAAATGTTCATTAAAAAATGTTTTACAAGGGTGTACAGATGAATTTAAATTAAACTTTTCACTACTGAAATTTAAAATTTTTCAAACAATAATCTCTTGAGTTTTAAAAATATGTGTATTTGGTGATCTTAAACAGCTCTATGTTTACGGAAAATTTTTCTCGTTGTTAAACATTTTAAGTACTTTAAAAAACATTTAAGAATAAAAAATCAACTGAAAAATGTTTTTAAAAAGGGTCAGGACTGGCAGGGTGTTTAGTGCGCAGTCTCGCTCTCGAAAAAGTCCCCGGAGAACCAGAGAACTATCTCGGAAATCTCGCCGGCCGCCAGAGAAGCGGCCTGCGGACAGCTGCGGATTTGGCAGAGCGCTCAGAAAGAATTTCACCGTGTTTGGGGTTGCATCGCGTCGCGTGACCGCATCACAGAGTCCACAAAAAATAAGGAAACCTTTGGCCATAATATCGACAATTGTGAGTCCGAATTCGATTGTGTAACGACTGAGAGGGTAGCCGAGAAATCGAATCGGGTGTAAAGTGGCGAAAATTTCGCGATTCTGGGCCCACTTTTCCGTAAAGCCGTGTTAGATAATCCCGTTTCAGTGGCGCGGTTCGCTATCGATTTAACTTTTTTCGCTTGGTTTCTCAAAAGGGCGCTCGCACCCCTCTATTTCTATTGAAGACCGCCCCCTCTCTCTCTCTCTCTTTCTCATTCTCAGGGTGACAGGCTCTCTCTTTCTCTGTTTCTCTTGGTCGCTTTGACTTTGTGCTTCGTCCTTGCGAGAGAATTTGCACTGAAATCGCACTTAAATCGGCCCACCCGCGAGAACCCTTCGCCTACAACTATCCACCCCCTTCACCCACGAACCACCCCTTTTTCCCCACCCTCGCTGAGCCCTTTTCCCTGACATCCGATTTTCTTTTCGCTTTTCATTTCGGTGGTCTTTCATTTCCACTTTGGTGTCATCAGCTTGAAATAGTTCGAGAGCCAGGGAAATTCCAAATGTCTCCACTCTTACGTAAATAAATAAAAGAAAATTGTTTCGAAAGGAAAACTTTGTGGAAAACTATTGAGAATATTCGTGGGGGTCTGCTATTATATAACTGCCGAAGTAAAAGTGAAAAGTGACTTTACAATAATGGAGAAACAAAGTGCATAAGTGATTACAAAACGAATTGGAACTGCAAATGGTTCGGAAGGAAAATGGACTATGAAACTTAAACTAAATGGTTCTTGAAATAAACCATAATAGCTATAGTAAAAGTACAATACCTAACCTTAAAGTGGCTAATTAGCTGATAGCCGAGTTTGCAAAATGCCATCCAAGACCAAGAATCCTTTAATCCTCGACGTTTTCGACGACATTACACAACGAGAGTGCAGACCCAACCCCCTGATAATTTTACCTGAGTGACTTTCTATGCCACTTGTACTGCTCAATTTTTTGTTCGTTCCATTTTTTTAATGGCTAAATCGATATGCCAGATTCGTGCCTCTGCCAATTGTCTGGGCTATTACATAACAACAAAAAGAACCAGCTCAAAGAAAAGCCCACTGGCAGGAAGGCAACTCAAAACATTTCCCGCAGGAAATGCCAAAAGACGGAGACAGTTGATAACAAAAAAATAGGGTAGGGGTATAGAGGAAAAGTGGGCTAAAACGGGACCTGAACTGGGTCAGTTATTGAATTTTCCGAGGGGAGAAGCATGGTGTTGCATGTCCTGCAAAATGCAACTGAACATCAAATGCTGATGGGAAACTAACATGAAATAGACCCACTCAATCAAGTCAGCCGCCCCCACTTTATCGCCACATATCACACAGGCCCATATTGCCTGTCGATTGGAGGAGCTCTTCCAGTTCCGCTTGTCCGTTGACCAACAACAACCCCATTTCGTTGGGATTGAGTGGCCGACATGACAACGGCCCCTTGACTACCATATTGATTGGCTTTTCATTTGCTCGATTTTTAACCATCTCGCATATACGGAGGTATCCACCTCCTTCGACACCTGAGTTTCTGTGCCAGAAACCCAAATTTCGTTGGCTACATCGGGGCGTATGCGTAATATTTCCTACTCTGATCTGTCTGCTCATTTTGTCTTTCCCCGTTTCTCGGGTCTGGCCAATTTCGGAGTGGGCCCCCAACTACTGTGCTCTAGAATCGAGCTATGGCTTCAGTGCATTGCACTTTTCTCGATTACGTGCCATAAGGGGTAGGCAACGGGGTTGTGGTTACATTTAGACCCAAATGGCCAATGGAACTGCAGGCGTCCCGGAAATGGGTTGACAATGTAATTACTTGAGTGGCCGGGAAATTGGTTATTTAAATTCTAAGTGAAGTCATAAAGGGGTCGCCATGTGAGTCATGTAGAGTCAATTAGGACTCCTTTAATATTTAAATGTGGATACTTATATGAAGGAATTGGAAAATCTCATTCATTTTTTTTCCAAAGATTTTTTCCAAAGATTGAAAACTTAATTTTCTATAGAAAACCAATTGGTTGTCCCTTTTAAATTCTTTTCTATATTTTTAAGTTTCTTCATCAAAAACAAAATTTTAAGAAACTTTTTGGTGGGATACCTATTCAATTTCTTATTAAAATATCTAAAAATTGTAAGTTTTAAGAATCTTTTGTTGGGATACCTATTTAATTTATTTTTCAATTTCCAAAAAATACAATAATAGCAATAAGCTTCATATGTATTATGTTTTATAGATAAGTGTAGTAAATCGTTCTTTCAAAAGTATTGTAGGTAACTTTTTACGCCCACTAAAAACCTCTTAATCAGATTTGAAGACAATCCCCTAAGCATTGGCAAAGCCCAACAAAGCCCTTTCGCTTGACAAATATAAAAAAGGAAAACAGATTAAGCCGTCGGTCGGGAAAGGGCCTATAAAACCACTTGGCCACAAATCGCAAACGCTGGCTAAACTATTAAAAGGCCCAGGCAGCGGGGGAATGGTGTGGGGGGTTTTTATGGGAGGTACATATTGGTAATTTGTTACCTAGCTACCGACAACCGTTAGCAATTTCCCACCATCCACAAAAACTGTGGAGCGATGCCTGGGAAAATCAATGGGGAGAAAGGGTGAAGGGGCTGGTACTGCGTTTGAGCAATCATTGCAATCCAATTAAATGGACAGTCGATCCCAAGAAAAAAATACAAAAAAAACGGATAAAAATTAAAAAAATAAAAAACAGGCAAGAAGCTCCGTTCGAATGGGAGCCACATGGGATCCACAAGCTCACTAATTGGGTCGCTAGAGGGCGCGCGTCATCGGAGAGAAAGAGAGCGAGCATGGGCGGGAGGAAGTGGGGGTGAAAGAGAGAGCACTTTAGTTGCATTGCGCCGTCGCCCTGCCGTCCCTTTTCCCCGCACCTCGGATTGCACTCTTCTTGCTTTTCTTCTGCGTCCCACTTTGTGTTTTTGCCCCTTTCTTTCGCCTTCTTCCATCCTTTTGGATTTATTTTTGCCACTGCGATTTTCACTTTTCATTGCAGTCGAACTAAATGCAGCACACTCGCAAATCGTCCACGGGTTATTAGGCAATGCATATATGTTTTTAAATTACTTTACCAACTTTCCTGTTTCTTTTTTGTTTGTCGTAACTTTTAGGCTAACATGCTAATGTAGCATCGAAACGGTTCGCAAATTGTCCAACGAAAGCGAAATCCATAAGCGTCAGCAAACAAATTGTTGCTCCAGCCGCCGGGCAAGAGAAGCGTGGATTCATAAAAAATAAAAAACAAATAAAGCATAAATAATTAATTCCGATAAACCCAAACACATACAAAATGTCGCCGTTCATGGAGAAGACGTTGTTGTTGTTAGGCGTGCTCTGCTGCATACAAGGTAAGCCAAAGCCCCAAAGTTTATGCAATGCGAAAAACATACAAGCCCACACACATATACACCCACACACCCTCACACACTGACGCAGCTCCAAGCCCTGACATTTGGCTTTATGTAAACACACTATATATAGTATGCCATAATGCCACGGATCGGAGAAAGTGGTCGTAGCCCTGCACAAAAACGTGTTTAAAGGGCCGAGACCTTAAATTGTATATAGTTATGTTGCGCATCATTGGTTAAGATATAATATTAATATTCATATTTTATTGACTTCAAAATGGACCATAAACCGTATTATAGTTTTCTTATTATAAAGCTGTTTTGACAAATACGAGTTCGTCTAGTTATTTTTTTCTTTTTGGAAGCAAAGTTTTGGTTTGTTTGTTTATTAATTTGAATTATAGCATTTTTAAGCTATTAAGCCTTTGGATTATTACAATTTTAAGCCAATAAATTTATTTTAAAATATATCGTACTTTTATGCTAATAAGCTGCCCTAATTTTGGAGTCGTTTATATTTATTACTGATGATGTTTAACTAATGAAGTTATTAATTTATTTAACAGCTTCAAATTTAAACTTATTTGTATTAAAGTATTACTCAAAGTGAACAGAGTTGCAATAATAATAAATCCCTTTAAAGTCAGGATTAATATTGAGTTAATGTCATTAACTTTAAAAACAATGCGAAAGTCTATGTTTCCACTTCACTTCACAGTGCATAATCTCTTGCAAAAGCTTATTTCTAACAAAGCAGCCTTAGTTATTTTAAGATTGATATTTACATTTTTGACAGTTAATATATTGCATACTGTAAGCAAATCCGAAAACCGCTGATTTAAGCCTCAGCTTATCTAATTTAAGCTGCATACAAAATTAAGCTTTCAGACAAATCGCAACGTCGAAACTGATAATCGCATAAAGTGTCTTCTTTATCCAATTAGTCAGATTACAGAGATTTACAAACTATCAACTATGGACTAATATGAAAATATATATAGATAGAAAAGTAAATTGAGAAAGGTTTTATAGATTTATATCATTATACTTACATAAATGGTTTCAATAATCGTATTGTAAATAAATGATTACATTAATGATACAATTCTCTCTCAACACTTTTGGTGAAATCTATTTATTACCATTTTCCTTGTCTTTTTATCAATAATGAAAAAGATAAATTATTCATTCATTTTTAATTTTTTTAGTGACTACTGCCCTGATGTGCTATGACTGCAATAGCGAGTTCGATCCCCGATGCGGCGATCCCTTCGAGCCGTACTCCATTGGCGAGGTGAACTGCAGCAAACAGGAGCCACTGGAGCACCTGAAGGACAAGTACAAGCCCACCCTGTGCCGCAAAACCGTTCAAAAGAGTAGGTTTACAGCAGTTAGCCAAAAGATCGCATACTAACCTCCACTTAACCTGTAGTTTACGGGAAGACCCGGATCGTACGAGGCTGCGGATATATCCCCGATGAACACACCGACACCAAGTGCGTTAGGCGCTCGGGAACCCACGACGTGGCCGCCATCTACTGCTCCTGCACCAAGGATCTGTGCAACGGAGCCAACTCCCCTGTTGCCCAGTGGATGATGCTGCCACTAGTCTTCGCCGCCGGACTTGCGCTCCTGCTGAACTCGAGGCACACAATACGATTCCAGAGCTCGTAAATTCAGCTCGACCTAGCATTTCACTGAGTTTCGTTTTCGACTTTGGTTTTAGTGGTTTTTCGTTTCAGATCTGCAATTGATGATCATTTAGTTGCATAATTTACTTTAATATTTAATTTAATGTGTTCGTAAGCGTAAAAAAAATAAGAATAATATGGAAATTAACTTACCTTATGGATTCACACATACACCTTATAAAAAGAAACAGGATAAAAACAAGATGGTAATCACACTTTTGGGGGCAGTAATAAATATGTTGTTTAAGCTTTTGTTGGAAATTAAGTTAAAAATACAAAAAAACTGCCAGTAAATGTCTCCGCCTAAAAAAAATGTAACCGTCGACCCCAGAAATCCTAAAGAAACAATACAGATCGCTGATCTACATAAGTCATAGCCCAAAAGTAACATTAGTCAATGGTGCAGAAATACCTCTTTTATTCTGAGGCAGATCGACCATCTTTGCATAAGATCGGAAGAAATGGGTGTTTCCTTATTCTTGGCTTATGGATTTTGAGTAAAAATGTATACCCGTAAACTTTTAGTAACTTTTTCATTCCATTTTTGTTTTGGCAATGAATTTCAGTTGACCCAGCGGATTTTATTTATTCAGTTTATAAATGGGGTAAATCTTAAGAGCCAAGCCCTTTATGAAACCTGTGAGTGCAAATTTTAAAGAATAACATCTATCTTTACGGGAAGTAACCTGCAATAAATAATATTTGCAATTCCATTATGCCGAACCTCATATGTTATTTTGTATTTTTGGTTGGTTTTTGGTTGGTTTTGGTTTATTTTCTAGTAAATTAACCGTTTATTTTCTTTTTTATGTTGTCAAATGTTCTTAATTAGTTTTTATGTACTTTAAACCAATAAATGGGAAAGGGCAATCCTTAAAGGCAGACCCCTTATGAAGCCTATCACTGCAAATTCTAAAGACGAACATCTATCTTTACGGCAAAGAATTTGCAGTCATTTGTATTCATAACTCATTTGAAAACAGAAAATAGATTTTCATAAATAAGAGAAACTTATTAAAATTTATACGAAGTAAATAAATGAAAATAAACCTATTTGCAAACCAAATGAGAATCCGTAAAATACTAAATCCGAAAAGGGAAAAATAAATTTTGTCCATTATAAGCTTCATACGAACTAAACCAATACATACTACACAGCTATGATCCGGAAACCATTTTCACAGGAGTTCCACAAAAGTCTGGCGGAAGTGGAAATGCTAACGTGGCTGATATACATAAATCTTCCTAATACTTTAGACGGAAAGTGCATAAATATTTTCATTTGTGTCCCCAATGCAATACTAACACAAAACAAGGTACAGTCAACACAAAGCATGGCAAGATATTAATAAACAGAAACACTAGCCAACATATAAAAACCAGTTGCAAGCACATCATTTTGTGTAGAAAAAAAATATATATACATGAAAAAATTGCATAAATTATATAACATTATCTATTTAGTTAAATATTATTAAGAATTATATGGAAAGATATTGAGATAACAACAGAGAGAAGCGAGAGCGTATGTAGATAAACCTAACTAATTTTAATTTATAAAATGAATAACAAACACTAGCCGTTGTATCGTAATAGAAAAAAAGAAGAAAAAATTAATAAATTGAAAAAGACAAATTTAAAATCAATAATCCATTAACTAGTCAGAGTACTTAAGAACCCATAACTAAACCAAATATGACGGAAAATTATTTAAATTTTGTTTATCATCGGAAAGACTTTTCCAAGAGAGTATCGCAAAAATATTGCAAGTCAAGCACATCCAAAATAAAAACTAAATAAAAACACAAGATCACGCAAAACTTTATAAACTGCTGAGGTTTGGAAATAATAAAGCAGAAGTTAAAACACCATTCAGCGTGAATCATATCATTGAGCTTTGCTTCACAAGTGACGGAAGACATTCTAAATAAAAACTAAACTAAAACAAAATGCAAACACAGCGTACATACATACTTATATTTCAAATTATTTAACGCAATTGAAATATAATAAAGAGAAATTATTAATAATAACAAGTTTTCAAACAAGTTACTGAAACTTAAAAAATGTATGGATAAGTAAACAAAAGTAAGAAATCTACAGAAAGAACACACACCAAAAAGCTTTTGTCTGCGCTGGCTGAGTCGAATATTCTATAACCATAATTGTAATACCTAAATATATATCAATATCATTTCCTTTCGTTTTTATATCACAGCAACACGAATAGCAACAAAATGGGAAAATTATTTAATATGCAAGAAGATTATAACAGAAAAACACAGCAGAAATAATAGAATAAAATCCATAAGCAGAAAAAAGATGCAAAAAGCAAGAAAAATAAATAAAGTGAACTTGTTAATTTTTAGCATTTAAGTCTGTAAAGCTCCGCTTGTAGATGAAAAATCAATAAATAAACTAAATAAAATGGTAAATTCAATAAATGGAGACAAAAAAGCTATAAGCTTTCACAACAAAAACGAAACTAAAGTTAATAAATAATGCAAGGGGGATTTAGATCTGGATTTCTATCTTACTAATATAAAATCTTTCTATATAGTCTATTTGTAGTCTATTTGTTTAAAATGTATTGTATTATTAAATTGATAATTTTGGGATCGCTTAAACTCTTGCTAAAATTTATAACCATTACAACAATTAGAAGCATATGGTAATCATTTTCTGGAAGAGCTACTAAAATCTCTAGAATGAGACTTTACAGGTGGGGTCTGCAAGATAGTACTCCCCTATTCCAAATGAATCTATTTATGTCTTATTCTTTTCATTTAAAGTATAAACCGTGGTTTTAACATAAAATAGAGTTTATTTATTTGAAATATTTTAAGGGGTAGCGTTCTCGTTAGGCCAGCGCACTGGGGAAGACGGCGTTCTTGGCAATGGGCTGGTTGGACCTGCGCACGATTCTGATATAACCCTCCTCTCCCCACGTTTCTCCGAAGGAGTTCAGGCACCGCCAGTAGTCCAGATTGGTGTCCACGTCGTGATCGTAGCCCACAACTACCAGGAACTGTGAGCTCTTCGGGTTGGTCAGGGCCCTTGTCTCCTGAACGTAAACCCCACTGGAGTATTGCATAAAGCCAAAGGTTGCCGGATTGTACTCCACTATGACGGGGAAACCATTGGATACATAACGCATTATGGCGGCATCATCGTTGTCAGCCACAGCCGAATAGCTGGCCAATTTCACGCCCACAGACACGGAAGAAGGAGGCTGGCACATTCCTGGAGTTTTCAAGGTATTGTTATTCGGATAGTCCACTTCCGGATACAGATACGCATCTGTCAGCTGGGTGAGGTAGTTGAGGGCAGCCTGGGGCGTCTGAGTGCTGCATCCGGAGCCCATTCCCGCACAATCGAGCAATTGCTGGGCGGACAACGAAGAAGGCAGCGGGTTGGCGGTCTGCACGGCATTCATAATCTCCACTGCCTTGGCGGTGGCATAGGCCCAACTGCTGCTGCAGTTGACGCCCTGATCCTCCACCGTTACGGTCAGTCCGAAGTCCGTGATGATGTCGTAGGTGGCGGCTGCCGTCTGGGTGGTGGGTGGATCACTGGCCGCCGAGACCACCGTGGACACGGCCTTGGGCAGGAGGGCTGCAAACTGGATCAGCCGGATGTCCGAGAACTGATTCACCGCCTCGCGAAAAGTGGTGCGATTCCGATCCGCCTGGGCATTGTGCTGGGCCACCTGGTTGCGGTTGTAGATGAAGTAGTAGTTGGCAAAGTTGCGAGCTGAAGTTGATGCGTACGTCTTGTTGAAATTTTCCTGCAAAAGGAAAATAAATCATAAGAAAATAACTAAGAATAAAACTTTTTATGATAAAAATTGTATAATATTATTAACGAATCTTAAAATCACTAAATATTTACAGCTGCGTATTACAATGTTTATTAATAGATTTATATCCTTTTGAAAGTATGGCAACAAAGTCACTCTTTTCCATAACATTTTTAATATCCGCAAGCAAACATACCTCGTAAGTTTGGAAATCCACTAAATCCTGGCCATGATTAAAGGCCCATCCGCCTCCGGCGGTTAGGAGCAGACAGCAAAGCAGCAACTTGAACATGACGAAACCCGAAATCTAAACCAACTGATGCCGCATAGAACCACGGAACGGTCTTTTATAGGCACCAAGTCGAGTCTCCTTCTGATTGCAAACGCAAATAGAAGTTTACCATACCAACTTACTTTCGCAAGAAAAGTGCAAATAGATTTCTATGAGGCCTTGAATTCGCACTTGGCCCACAGCACATATAGTACGCGTAGTAACCATGTCTATATTCCGGGTGGGTCGGTCGTCTCGATAAACCCCCGTTAGAAGAAAAAGTCTTGGGTGCGCTTTGTTTGCCCAATAAACCCGTCAAATGCGCTCTGCTTCGTATCGTTGCGATTCGCTGGGTTCTCGTATCTCTGTTAATTCGAAGTCCCCACTGCCCCAGTTCAGAAATGCCCGTACCCCTCCGCCCGTGTAGCATCGTAAAAGCGGCTCTAACGCCAACTTATCGTCACTCGTCGAGGTTGTGTCTTCTCCGCAGGCATGATTAATCACATTCATACTTTCATGGGGCCCCCATAAATATTGCAACACCGTCGATAGGCCCGTTTGAAGTCTGTAAACCAAGTGCTAAATGAGTTGTTTGGCAATTTCCATCGCGGAAGTCTAACAGATATTTTAATCGGTACACCGCGAGCTTCTGGGAACTCTGCAAAATGTAAACCCAAAAGGGATACCGGGCAGTCAACGAACTCTTCGGCAGTCTCACTAAAATATTCGAGTAATAGCCGACCACCAATCTGTTAATTGAACTGCAAATAAATTCGCTACGTATTCTTTATTAGTATTCTAATACATTAATTATCTCTAAGAAGAACTTCAAGTGGTAGTTATTTGAAATGTAAATATATACACATATATTTTCTTTTATGTTTGTATTATATTTTATTGGCATAACAAATGTTAATTTGATTTAGTCATTCATAAAACAAATTAATAACATAAATATACAAAAACACTCACACATTACCGGAAAACATAAAACTTATAAAATCGATGATTATTAACTTTTCCACCTGTTTAAATTTTAACAACACGTTTCGCTTTTCTTTTTCTTTTGTTTTAAATGAGTAAATACATCATATTGACCAATAGAAAATTACTAAACATGCATCAAATTACGATATTTATAGACCCATAAACCAAAAAGACAGTCGAAATGCAGATGAATGTGCTTTTCGGTCTTCAAAGAGTTTCAAATTGGAGGCCCATCTGGTTTCGGCCAGATGTCCCACAGGCCAGGTCCGACCCGCGGACCCTATAAAACCGAGGTGTGCGTGGCGAGCGGAGCTTAAAACCTCGCCGGTCTTCGTGTCTGCGCCATCTTCGCCCAGATCTGTGAACACGGAAGATACATATATCTTTCAGATACTTATAAAAGGTGATTAAGCCGGGCTTTCAACATTTTGTGTCGTGTGTGTTTTCGGTTTCTGTGTGCCATCCATGGATCATTGTTATGGGCAAATCGAACGTACAAGAGAACTTAAATTGCAATTAAAACGTACATTTGAATGGAAATTGGGACTGAAAAGGGGAATCCATCTCCTTTCACCAGTCCCAGCATGTGTTCCGTATTTATGGCTTCGAAAGTGAAATTTTTGTCTGCGGTTGCCTAATCTAGATTAGATTTATTTGGCCCTCGGCCAGGCTAAAATTAGCAAAAGAAATAAAAGGAGAGACGACTCCACGAAATCATAAATACGTCGAAATTCGATCGAATCTAATGGTTACACCAATGTAATTATGTTAAACATATGCAAATGAGCTTATTCAACCAATAACGATGCATATGATATCAAACTATATGCAAAGTATATGCAATCTATACCGAAATAGCGAACATCAGATGCTCTGCTGTCTTCAAAAGTCAACTTAAGATCGATAGATCGATTGGCGTTAAAAATTAAGACATGATTTTAACCTGAGGGTGATTAATTAAGGCGATTAATGACAGCAGCGGGTGATCTGTGGAAAGAAAAAACAAATAATATTTGTTTCCGTTAAATCGATCATTAAGTGGTTTATTACCTAAGAAATTATGTTGTTATTTGTTATACACAAATCGTTAAGTGCTTTGGTTACATGCTGGTTGAAGAAAGCCCAATTAATTAGTGTCTTGGAAAAGTATTGATTTTAAAGTTCAATTTAAAAACGTGTTTGATTTAAAACTCACTTTGCAAGTTCAATTTTGTTTAATATTTTCATAAGTTTAAATAGGAAGAATAATAAATGCAACAGATTTTTTTTAATATTTTGGTTAAATCTAAAAAATTATCCGATTTGGTAAATATTTGTCTCAAGTGATATAAAATTTTTCTCCAATTTAATTTACTAAATAGTATTATCTGGGTAAAAATTAAGAAATCTTGTTATTGGACTACGACTTCAAATTTGATTTATTGCTTTCAAGACATATTGCTTATTTCCAAATGTGTATTTCATAAGGTGTTTCATTGGTTTTATTATCTACATAAATTAATATTAATAGGGTGATTTCCCTTAAAGAGTTACACAGATATTAGATATTCCACGAGCTGCACGGCAGGCTAGTTCGATTCGAGGTGAATGGACCGGTTAAATTTGCCTGTGATTAACGTTGACAGATGTGGAAAAATAAAGGGGTCGAGGGATGGGGTAACTCTGTGTGTTGGCCAAGTGGTTACTTAACGCTTTCCACTCTTTCTGTTTTCCCTCGTCCCAGATGCGGATGTGCTCACCGATGTGGCTGCATTTGGCGCTGGGAATGGCCATGCTGGCTGCTGTGTCATCGCAGCAACTGCAATCGTTCCCCAAGCTCTGCGATGTCCAAAACTTCGACGATTTCCTCCGCCAAACGGGCAAGACGTATTCGGACGAGGAGCGCGTCTATCGCGAGAGTATCTTCGCGGCCAAGATGTCGCTGATCACGCTGAGCAACAAGAACGCCGATACCGGAGTGGCCGGATTCCGCCTGGGAGTTAACCCATTGGCCGACATGACCAGGAAGGAGATCGGCACCTTGCTGGGCTCAAAGGTCTCCGAATTCGGCGAGTAAGTAGCACCTCTTGACGTCATTCAAGCTAGCATAATTAAAAGGGGAAGAACCTGAGCAAATGAATGAATTATCACCCATCTTATAATTTATAATCTGGTTTATAAATGATTTGTAACATTTGTTTGTGACTGACTGAGACATTCGGTTTTCCTATTATGCCAAACTTGTTTTATGAATTCCCAAAAATTCCATTCATAGGGCTTGCCTTCTGCGAATAACTTTCGTTTGAAAATTTGTAAACAAAATCATTCAGAATATGACCGAACTCATAATCATATTTTTATTACCTGTTTATTCTGAGAATTCAGTCAGCACTTCCTTGATTATTTGCCAATCATAATAAGGTTATAGTCAAAACATAGGGGCGTTATCAAATGCCTTTTAATGAGATAATAAATATAATTAAAGGTCATATATTTATTCTTGCAAGTAATATAAAAAGGTGAATTCTGTATTGTTATTGTTTATTAAGTATTTTAATTTAATTTTTATTAGTTTTACAATATTTTACAAATATTTTCATTATCAAATTGATAATATCAATCATCATTTTGATTTCCTGTTAAACATATTATCATAACAGTCTACATTTTACGGTCATGTAAAGTTAGCCGATCTTGAAAATTTCTACATGTTAGCTAGTTACATTACACGGTAGTTACATTACATGCTAGTCTGGATGAAAAGTCTTTACATTTTACAGACATTATTTAAAAACCTCCCACCCATTTCTAATAAAGTGATTATTTAATTTAAAATTAATTAAACCTCTCAACTTAATAGAGCCAGAAAGATTAAGCCTTTTAATGCTTTTGCAGGAGGTACACGAATGGCCACATCAATTTCGTGACGGGCAAGAAGAGTCCGACGAGTGCCAGTCTGCCGGAGAAGTTCGATTGGCGCGAGAAGGGAGGAGTGACGCCGCCCGGATTCCAGGGCGTGGGCTGCGGTGCCTGCTGGTCGTTCGCCACCACCGGAACCCTCGAGGGCCACATCTTCCGCCGGACCGGCGTGCTGGCCTCGCTGTCGCAGCAGAATCTGGTGGACTGTGCCGATGACTACGGCAACATGGGATGCGACGGTGGCTTCCAGGAGTACGGCTTCGAGTATATTCGCGATCATGGCGTTACGCTGGCCAACAAGTATCCGTACACGCAGTCGGAGATGCAGTGCCGCCAGAACGAGACGGCCGGTCGTCCGCCCAGGGAGAGTCTGGTGAAGATCCGTGACTACGCCACCATTACGCCGGGCGATGAGGAGAAGATGAAGGAGGTGATCGCCACCCTGGGTCCGCTGGCCTGCTCGATGAACGCGGACACCATCTCGTTCGAGCAGTATGGAGGCGGAATCTACGAGGATGACGACTGCAACCAGGGCGAGGTGAATCACTCGGTCACGGTGGTGGGCTACGGATCGGAGAATGGGCGCGACTACTGGATCATTAAGAATTCGTACTCCCAGAACTGGGGCGAGGGCGGCTTTATGCGTCTGATCCGTAATGCCGGCGGATTCTGTGGAATCGCCAGCGAGTGCAGCTACCCCATTCTGTAGGCGGACAGCTATGTAATGTAGTTAGATAGATAGTATAGACAATTAAACAACGACGAATTTATAACATTGTTACTATAGTATGTAGCGTTGCAGTGACGACATGCAGTCCATTAGTCACTCGAAAAATAAATAAACAAAGTGCCTTATCTGTGTACGTGTTCGATGAGCTTTTGCTAACAATACGGGGAAATGTTTATCGGTGGATGAATGCACAAATTGACTGAGAAACTGCATATACTCTCTCCAACGCTTTAATAAGAAAGAAGAGAGAGCAGGTAATGTCGAGAATTACAGATCGGCGGTTCTCGCATGGGGTCTTATTTGGCTTTCCTCTCTCGATGCAGTTGATCTTTGAGTATTCGCATATATAATTTGCGATTCTCGTAGTCCGTTGCTCAGTACGAGAAAAGTTTTCGAAATGGGCATAGGTGAAATTATTGCTGGCGTCCCACTGATCCTGTGTTTGATAGGCGTGGCCCTTGGCCTACCCACAATAACAACCACAACTGACTCATCGTCAGCCGCTAAAATCACAACCCAGCCAGTTGAAACATCTACAACCTTATCAGATGTGAAGGGTCAATGCCAGTCTGCATGGCAAAAGTTCCTGGTAAGCTTTGAGTAGACATTTGCAAGGATGGATCGCTAAAGAAAATATTTCGCCCTAGATCGATTTTAAAATAAAGTACGAGAACGAATTCGAAAGACAAAAGCGAAACAAAATCTTTTGCCAAAATTGGCAAAACATTCGAGATCACAATTTGCAATACGAGTCGGGACATCAGAGTTTCAAGAAGGGTTTAAACCAGTGGAGTGATCTTACCACTGAAGAATGGAAAGAGAAACAACGGCCAAGGCTAAATCCCGAAATTTCCGGGGCTGAAATCACTACAGGAGTATCTGAGGACGTGAGAGATGAAGTTAAGTGTCGGGGTGCCTGGGAAAAGTTCCTGGTAAGATATGGTGGAAATTTTAAATGAATTTAACACTGAGTTATGTATGCATATTACAGATTGACTTTAGAGCGCATTATCAAGATAGCACTGAAACCGAGAAACGTCGAAATATCTTCTGCGGCAACTGGAAGGCCATTCAGGAACACAATGTGAAATACGAACTCGGTGAGGAGTCCTTTAAGAAGGGCATAAATCAGTGGAGTGATCTTACGATCGAAGAGTGGAAAAATAAACAACGACCCATTCTTGCTCCTGAGTTTGAGGATGCTGAAGACTACATTAAATGCCAAGATGCCTGGAAAAAGTTTCTGGTAAGATATGGTATCAGGTTTAAATGAATTTAAAATAAAGTCAAATAAATTACAGATTGACTTTGAAAAGAAATATCATGATGCTGCTGAAGTGGAGAATCGTCGAAATATATTCTGCACTAACTGGAAGGCGATTCAGGAACACAATGTGAGATACGAATTGGGTACCATATCCTTTAAGAAGGGCATAAATCAGTGGAGTGATCTTACCTTTGAAGAGTGGAAAAACAAGCAACGACCCCTTCCTTTAGGACAAACCACTAAATAAACCACTAGAATTGAGTATCCCTGGGAAAAGTTTTTGGTAAGATTTGCTAGAATAAGTAATTTAATTTGAAATAAAGATATATAAATTACAGATTGACATTACACGCTGATCCAACATACTGACCCGGAACCTTTTAACAACTCAAACCAAAAAATATAATATAAAATAATATATAAAGGCAATTACGGTAAATCCAGTATTATAACGAACATACATTTTAAGCACAGATATACGCATAAACAGGGTAATTAGCCCAAGAAGAAAACATTTATGATTTTGGGTTGGTTTTTAAAAATATGTATTTATTTTTATTTGAGGGGTTTCCAGTTGAGAATCTTGTTTGAGGAGTTTCTCTGTTTCAATAGTGTTCGCAAATGTTCAAGCCGATTTTGGGCTGGGTTCGCTATTTTTATCGATCTTTATTATTTAAATGAGTAAATTTTGTTTTTAGTTTTCTACCATTTTAACGCACACGAATTCTACATGATTAATTTATACTTGTATATTTGCTGAGATCCCTATCTCCTTGTTGCATTTAACAGGGCGCTTCGTATTACACATACAATCCGTAAATATATATAATATATATGTATATGGTATTTAATTTAACAAATACATTTGTAGGTTATCGCAAGTTGCTGCACTAAGTGAACATTTATGTAATCAATATGTTTACATTCATTGATATTTGAGTATATCGAAGGAGCGACCGCCCCATTACAATGCATAATGGGTATTGTACACATAAGTATAATTTCCATTTCTTTTGGGTATTTATAGTTACTATACAAATCTTTGGTAGGAAGGGGCAACATCAAGCATTGAACAAGCCCTATACCATTTTTCAGCGTGATTGCGAACCATAACTATTCCTGCAGTAATCTCCCAAATGCCTTCAACAGTTCTACGGTTTAAAGATCTCTTATGGTTTACAATTTACATATTGTTTGGCGTTTATTGTAGTGGTTGCTATGTATTGCTGCTCATCTAACCAAGCTTCGACCCTGGCCGCAGGTCTATTTGTGGGGTTCTCCAGATGGATCTTGGATATGTGGTTTGAGCAGTGGTTCGTCTGTTCTTCCGGTGGCCAAATTGCTTCGTTCTCAACTATGTATTTGCACTGCACGTGTGTAAATTTATCTAAAAAACTTCATGTTTCCCTCTGTTGCAAGCTATTGCCATTGTTAACAAGCTGATCGTCGGGGGACCAGGGTCTGGCACAAATCAAAATCATATGGTACGTACAAGTAAACACTAAATAACTAACAACGTTGAAAGCGCGGGTAGCATGTATACATAAGGGATATATAACTAGTTGTATATCTGTATAATATATAATTGCAACAAATTTCCACTACAAAACGGCACACTCAACTTAAAGGGCTAGCTTACGAGTTATTCGAAAACTACACTGACATCTGATCTGATATATCCGATATCGGATATATCCCCTGACTCTCCCGGTAGCTAAAGTGGATAGCCAGTGCGTGGATTGGTTTCTGCTGCTGCTTGCTTGTTTGTATCAACTGTTATTGTTTCGGTTACTCTTGTTATATGTTCGACATCGGTGTATATGGTAAAGCCAACATGTGTGTAGCTGTTTAGTCGTGTAAAACCTTTGCCAGTTGCACTACAAAATCGAAGTGAGTGTGTGCGGACAACGGAGGAGCAAGTGTGGAAATTCCTTAGTAGGTGGGCTGCTGGTACTCCATTCCGGATTGCTGCTGCTCCATGCCTCCTGTTTTTAGAAGAAGTGGGTAAATCGAATTATTAATAAGATTCAAGAATGCTTCTTGCAGTTCCTATCTACGAAAAGCCGCAACAAAAATCTAATTTAAAGTAAATTTAATAAATAAAATAATATCTTATGGCATCTGTAAGAAAGCACTAAGCAATTGGTAAATAATCTGAATTTTCGGTTTTATAAAATGATAAAATAAATCAATTTAAAGATGATCTTAACTTAAATATAGGCTATGGACTTACCCTGTTGGGGCTGGCCAAATGGTGAGGCGCTATACTGGTCATTATCGTTGTCCATTGAGTAACCGTAGGCCTGTTGATGGACAACGTTGGCCGGGTCCGTTTCGAAGGCCGAGGTGAATTCATCACCGGCGCCGATCAGGAAACGCTTATAGGCCATTAGAGCGCAGAGGGCCTAAGAAATGATCCTTGTTAATAGCAGAAAACTAATGGAAGAATAAGGACTAACTACAACCCACCCAGCTGACAATCGAGAAGAGACAGAACCAAATGGCTGTCTTCATGCTTCCAGCTCCAATTCCCAGTGGTGGTGGGGGCGACGAGCTCCATTGGGACCACAAGTAGAGGAAGGCCACGAAGTACATAAAGGTCCAGAAGGCTGCAATGAAAGATTGCCATTAGATTTGAGTCGTAGTCAAAAGGAATGTACTGAGCTCACCCGAGAAGCCCATGTCAGCCATGACGTAACGCTTTCTGCTCTTCACCGACGACATCCGCTCGAACAGGAACTCGCCGCCCATGAAGCCCATGGAGGCCAGGAACCCGAAGACGCCCACCATGTTACCGTACTTGCAGGCCATGCCGTCGCCATTATAAAGGCAGTACTCCTTGCCATCTTTCTCCGTCCAACCCTCCGAGGATATGCATCCGAAGACCACTACCGAGAAGAGCTGAAAAATCAAGTGAATTCTTTATGAGTGAGGGCATACATTAACTTTTAATACTGCGTTTATACGCACAAAGATGTGTTGGATATTACAGCAAAGGAGTGTCTGAATAAGTCATTTGGTGACCAATTTTAAATATATTTTTTAATTTAGTAAGGGAATAATTATATTAATTAACTACGGGCTTTTAGTTTTAAAAATCCTTTATTGTACTTTTCAACACCCTTTTAACTTCTGTTTATTAATTGAAATCACAGTTGATTTGAAACCTCATTGATTTTGATGTTAACTCGAATCCAATTACTAATTTCTCAAAACTTCTTAAAATGTATATATTAAAATCAAACAGTGGTTTTAGTTTCAAGATATGCTTGAACTTCAGTAATATAATTTTTTATACTTTTTAATCAAACTTTTTTTATATCTGGCTGTTATGGAACTCGAACTCCTGTATTGATTTCCTTAAGCAGGTGCAACAAACCAGAAGTTCAAGTACACAGACATCGGGGCAGACACGTACTTATGTTTGTGACCCAATTTGCGGAATGAAGGCCAAGTTTAGTTTGTTTGGCCAGGAGGGCGGGAATCGCAATGGCAGAGTCCTTGGTCAACAGAGTGGGTAAATATTACGTATACACAAATGGAAAGCAAACAGGACCCAAATTGCCGCCCCCTCGGTTATAGCATTTTCCCACTTCGATAGTGACGCACATCTAGTCGGTGGTAAAATAAAGTCCTAAGCCTAGTGGCCAATTGCCCGGGCGCCTTACGACATTTAATTATAAAGCTTTCATGGACGTGAGAGTTTTTTATGGGAGCTCTGCAGCTGAACACTATATTACTCCCCCCTTCATCGTTGCAAATCCCCAGCGCCCCTGCGATGTGGGGGTAAACAAATCGGACATTTGAGTGCCACTGCGTTTATGTGGCGACATTCACGGTTTACTTAGATTCCGTTATACACCTACGGTTTATGCAACATTTACGAGCTCACATTGCAATCGTCTGGGAAATGGGACATTAATGGGATAGGACAGAGGGGTCACTTTTATTGAGTCCATTTAAAAAGCATTTGTATTTAAAGTTTGAATTTTAAATTAGATTTTGCCTTCTCTTTGGATTGACCATTAAAAGCCTCTAACCAATTTAGGTTAAACTCTCTAATTTTTTACTCCGCATTTTATTGATTGTAATATTTAATTTTGATAATAATTTTTCCCATATTGTGACGTATCCTTGGGTATTCTTTTTTTTTAAACATATTTATATAAATCGTGCTTATGTAACACCTTTTAAATTACAAAAAAGTATTATAATATGTTCTCAAGGATTTGGATGTGGCCAGCAAAATGTTTATAATTTTAAAAAATGGTATAGCTCTCCCAAAAAATCAAATCAAAATCACTTTAATTTAAAGAAATAGAAATGAAAAGTAAGGCGCAGGTAAAATGTCATAAAAGCAGAAGTTTTGGGTATAAACTGTCTTGAAGGACAATGTTTTCCACGTTACTTCATGAATTATGCACTGTGTAAACAGTGTGACAATTGGGTCGTGTGAGTGGCGTGTGCGTCCACAAATCCCAGCGATTCCCCGGACGCAGATTGTCCGAACTCACCCAGCAGAGGGCCCTGATGACAACTTGGGGCTTCATGGCGAACGTGAGTGGGTCGAAGGCGCCGCCAGCCTTCCCGCCCCCGTAGGCGCCACCGTTATTGATGCTGAGTATCTGGTTGAGCATGTCCATGGTGATAATGGGTCTCCGGTTCTCGTGCTGGTTGGGATTCTGATTCTCGTGCTTCTCGGGCCTCTCAGGGTTCCTCCGCTGGCGTTTTCACTGACTGTTGTGAAAAATCGAACGCTTCTTCGGTCCGTGGGGCCAAGGGCAAAAAGGGGGCGGCTCACCCACAACTGTGTGTATATACCGTGCGTAGTGTGGGTGGGTGCGCTCGAGTGCTTTCTCGCAATTATGGATTACGGCACAGAATGACAAAATAAACACGTATTTTCGCCACACTCTTTTCGAAATCAATTTCCGTTAACCGCGCTCGCAAACAAATCACTGTACTCGCTCGTGGTAATCAATCCATAATTGATGAACAAATTTCAAGGGCCTGATTTTCACTTTTACTTTTCGCCAGCTTCGCTCTCAACGGAAATTCGACTGTCAGCGCGCAGGACTCTTGCTAAATATACCTACATACGTCGGAGCAGCCAGAATGTTACCGTTATAAGCGTTATCTTACGGCGCTGTTAGGAAACCGTTAACAGCGTGCTGTTAGGCGCGGTCAGTGTGGCCATCCTTGATTTATAATTCAAATTGTGACTTACATTTCGGGAAACTACAATAAATTGCTTGTTTTGCGGAATACTTGCGTTCCGACCATCTACGATCTACTATGGCTGCGTTCCAAAAATCAAACGTCTGCTGGTGTAACTACCAACAGAATTCCTACAAGGAGATACAACAGAAGATACAAAATTACTGTGCAGTAAACAAGAAAAATGGATGGAATAAACTCAATCCTCAGGTGAAGTTTCGTCTTTAATAAAAAAGATGGAAGAACATTGCACACAAAATGATTGGGTGGTTACTTTATTTTTATGTTTTAAGGTTAGACTAAACTAAAATGAAGCCTAAAAGCATATTTTTTAAGGTTTTTCCGCTTATTTAAAGGGAAAGAAAATCGATCTAAAATAATAGCACAGTTTGTTATATAACGTTGCTCTTGTAATTAAATTATTATTTGACTGGGATTTAAAGCAGGAAATATTACATTTTTGTTAATTTTTCGCAAACAACTAATAATGTAACCCCTTAAGAAATATGGGAAGATTAATATTGTTTTAAATTTGTAGAGCCTCCAAGAACAATTGGTTAATAACGGAGAAAAGTTAACAAAAATCAGCGACAAAGATGCATACGAAATGTGCTGTCATCGCAGAAAAGGAAAAACCAGAAAAGCTTAAGAGGGAGACAAGACCTACTATAATTGGAGATCAAATGGCTTCGCCTGGAAAAAAAGGCCACCCGTATGAGACACCCACTTTAATAGCTCAAAGATCCCTGGCGCCCCTCGCACAAAAACAATACCGAAATGGCGCGAGAAGCACGAAGAAAAACTTAAAGAAAATAAGAAGGCTCAGGAATTAGAAAAGAAGAACATATTTGATTCAGAATCTGATCAGGAAACGTGAAGCCCGGGAAAAGTTCAAGCAATATTTTGAGTTAAACCAGGCTCAGAACGCTCGTCGGAACCTTCAATTGAGAGAACATAAATTTAAACCCCTATCGTAACCCTTCGAAAACAAGAAAGCTAGCACCACGTCAAGATGAGAATACAACTATTTTCCAAGGAGAGATTGAGTAGCAATGATTTTAAGAAAGTAAGGCGACTGCGTACTGTGGTGCCCGGACTGCATTCTACTTTGAAGAGTATGCACAACTTAGATGTTTTCGAACCCCACAGAAGAAAAAAATCGGCTCAGTACACAGATCTGTTTAATAAAATGCTTAAGGGTAAGGCCTCCAAGATTTCCGAGCTTAATCCCCTTCTAAAATCAACTAATCGCTTAAAGGTTGCATCACCAAATGAAAATGCAAAAGTAAAAACTACCAAAATCGGTGCCAAATTTTCATGGATGTTTAGGAAAAAGCTTAAAAGCCTGCCAAAAGCCGAAACTAAGACCTTTAAAAAACTTGTAAAAGGCAGGGATGTTGAGATGCCAGAACGCATTCAAAATCTAAAGAGCACGACTCGATTGGATACAAAGATAAATCATGAAGGAAAAACGCCCAGAATTAAGAAGTCCCATATGAAAAAAAAGGTAGAGCCAAATTATGGCCTTCAGGAATACGAAACAAACAGGCATATGGATGTTAAAAAGGCAAGGAAAACTCTGCCCAAACCATTCCAGGAAATGCTGAAGGGCAATTTAACCACAATGCCAGAGCTCCATAGGGCATTGAGAAGCCAGTTTCGAATGGAAGCCGATAGCAAACTTAAGAAGTCTGAGCTAAAAAAGAAACCAATTAAAAAAATGGCCTTCGATCTTTAGAAAGCAACAGGCAAATGACAAAACCATTCGGGGAAATGCTCAAGGGCAAAGAAACCAAAATACCAGAACTTAATCGGTCATTGAGAAGCCGATTTCGAATAATACCCCTTGAAGTATCCTCCAGCGAACTATATTCAGTACAGATAAACCAGGAGCCAATAATATCGAGTCAAAAAGCATCCATCAATTTAGATTTTCCTTTTCAAGATGGTTCTTTTAGTAAGTCAGGTTCGTCTAAAACAACTAAAGTTCCAGAGGTTTCCCCACCTTCTGAAAAAAGAATAGTTTCCAATGACCAAAGCGTTCCGGGAAGTTTTGGAAAAATAGTGGAAACTTTTGGAAAAATAGTGACCAAAGAACCCGAGGTTTCGCGACATTCCGAGACAATTCTGGAAGCCAAAGAATCTCGATTGTCACGACATCGTGGATCACCAAGGCGCACACAACGACCACCAAAATTCCAATCCAGTTCGTCCAGTGATTTCGATCAGTTATCGCTCAAGTCAAATCGGTCTTCGAGGTATCACTTTTCGTCTGTGCCTGGGAAGAGGATAAACCTCAAGAAATTCTACCACTACATAAAGAACTCAATGCCAGATCGGAAAATATTTCGCCAGATGAATTCGAAGAATCCGATTTCGTACTTGAAAAGCGAAAAAAGCTTTTTTTATCGGAGGTCCAGCCCAACTCCAATGGATAAGAGCCAACGAATTGGCGGATCAGTAATCAGCACAGCGGATATTGCCCAGTCCTTGTTACCGATACGGAAGATGGAAAAGAAGGATCTCGACTCCATGGATACGGAGGAAGACTTGTTTGCCACTTTTCCGGAGGACTACGATGCCCAAGACGGCCTGAAGAAGACAATAAACGACATCATAGCTGGCATTGCCAAGGTGGAAAAGGCCCGAAAGAAATCCCAGCCAAAGCGGGTCAGGCATAGGTCAAAGTCCAGTAAAGGGACTCCGGATCCCACCGCCAACCGCCAGAGCGCCTTGTCCCTAAGATCGGTGGGCGAGGAGGTTAAGATCCGTGAGAACCAGGCAGTCAGGGATGTTGATTCTCGGGAACAGTGGCAGCAGATTTTCTACACGGAGGAGCGGGCGGCTGTGCAGGCACGCATCCAGGAGCTAATGAAGGAGGTGGCCATACGCGAGGACTTTCGACCCCCAAAACCCCCGAGGGATTTTGTAACGGAGAACATTCTTAGGCTTCGAAATATTCAGCCGACCAAAATATCCCAAAATAGCCTGGAGGAAACGATGAAACCGCCAGAAAAGTACCCTACCTTGAGTGAGGTACTGACGGTGCCCAATGTACCTTTACATCTTTCGGAAATCTCTGCAGGGATCTACAACAAGTTCAAGGACTTTGCCAAATCGCCACTGAAGCCCGTAAAAATTCGTCGCTACAGTGAAAAAGTGTGGAAGGGCCAAATGGAATCCTGAAGAAGCTGAGATTAAGAAATCCTCCGATGCAGATGAGAAGTTCAATGAAAGGGAAAAATGCGACTGCTGCCTCTGCAGTTTGGTTTCAAAAGGTAATTTAAACCCTATGTTCCGATTTCTACTAACATTATTCTTTTTTAGGCAAGGACCCGGAATTCATACAAAAAGCTAAGGCCCAACTGCGTCGAAGTGAACTTCGGTCTTATTACCTTAAAATGAGGAGAAGGGAATGGGAACAGCAGATGTGTTGTCCAAAGAACTGCTAGCTCTTCAAATATCAGATCCTAAACTTAAGAAACGATATTACGTCCCAGAAGTCGGTAGACCTAATATTTGATTTTAAAAACATAGGACTATACAATTTTAAAAACTTTTCCGATTACTTTTGTGACTCAATGTCAATCGACCAGCCTTTGAATAACTTGCTTATTTTCTCTAATTTTTTAGATTTTAATAGGACAAAATTCCCCTATCGCTATGAATATTTTAAGTGCTCTGAAGGTAAAGAAGATGAACCTGCAGAATACCTGCACCTCCTACTACGACTTCCTGACCTGTGGGCACAACTGCCTGGACTCCTTGAGGTGCTGCAGCCTGCACCACGATCCTCCTGCCCAGCAGGAATTCGGGAGAGCGCCAGGATTGGCCAGACGTGGCGTTAAGTACTTTGATGTGGACGACAAGGCGGCGGAATGGTATCTGGATACCCGACGATCCACAGCCACTGGAGGAGCCGCAAGAAAGCCATGCAAACGGAAGTTTTGCTTCAGGTTTCGGGTGCCCATAAGGCATGCTCTTCGCCGGAGGAACAGAGCGGCAACCTACTCTCTTCCAGGACGACGGGTGTCCCCGGAGTTCCTGTGCCTCCTCAAGCAGCATCATGCCAGAATGCGGGGCTTAGAGCAGCTGCCTCGTAAGTATCTCTGCCGCAGGCCAAGTTTCTCCTACTACAAGTACGATGCGGCGGCCAAGAGACGTCACATGCGTCCGGGCATCGATACTGCGGCTCCTGTGGAATTCACCTGCACCAATTTGGCCTGTACCCGTCACCATCGTCCCTGCCCCTGTCCTCCGAAAAAGGAGGTCCTCCCGCCGGCATCTTTAAGTGAGGAGGAGCCTCCGAAAGAAAAAACCAATACCAACAAGAAGCGCTCTTTCCTATTTGCCAAAAATAAGAAAAACAATCAAGTAGTTCGAACGGAGAGAGAAGTCGATGGGGTTATGAAAAACCAGCTGGAAGGAACCAGACTTCATAGAATTTATGTCAGCAATCCATCCTTAGTTCCGCAGATGGTTAATCAGGAGTCGCCTAAGCCACCGCTTTTCCAGATCTCAAGACAGTTTGATGGTCAGCTGTCCAGCGGAACCAAGCTTCTAGACCCCTGGAAAAACTAAAAAATTGTCCCTGCCCAATTGATCAGCCGAAATGGTTGCCGAAAACCTGCAATCGTTCTATATGTCCTGGTAAGACTGCAAGATTTCGAAGAACCCGAGATCCTCGCTGCATCGAGTACGAGAATAGTCCTTTCTTCAAGGCCATTCAAGGAGCTAATTATGTGAGCTGTGCAAAAAAAGGTTGTAAAAAGCAGAAGAACTGCCGCTCCGACCAACATCACCAGTGATAATACAGTATGTCCCATCGCCTCCAGAGAGAAGGATTGTAACACTTACCCAGATCAAGATCATTGTAAGATACAACCTCCTCCAGAAAACAGTTTCTATGCTTCCATCTCCAGTCATCTTGTGGAACGACCTTATCAAACCGAATTATATGATCAAAACGATATAGAAATGCCAGCGAATTGCAAGGAAGGTTGCATCGGTTACAAGAGTTTTGTACGGCGCTCCGAAAAACAGAAGATAATTGATCGATGCGGTGGTCCGATCCCCAAGTGCAAGAAGCTAAAGCCACCACCATATTGCTATATGTGGTCCGCCGTCGATCCGGACATTCGGGAGGCGGAGAAGCGACGTCTCGCTGAGCACAAGTGGTACCAGCGGCAAATGTTTCCGGACAGTAAGCCCTATTCGTACTACTGGTCGCAAACGAATCCGGACATAAGAAGCCAGGTGAAGGAGACCAGAAAGATTAAAGGAGACCAATAGACCACTTAAATTCGGAAGGAGTTATCCAGATCCCAATCAGGAATCATGTGCCTGCAGTAGATCCACAATTATCCCAACCGAGGAAAAATCTAGCTCTGATTTCGATGATCAATATACTGGCCCATCTTGTTCAAATGTTAGAAAGCCAAAGGATTTCTTTCCAGGAGACACTAGGATCCGAAGCCCAGAGACATCCGATGAAGAGCATGCGGCAAACAAGAGCCATCTAAAGTGGTCAAGGGTCATTTCAAGAAAGTTGATTTCGGATTCAGAGGCACTCATCCCCAAGAAGCCACGCCTGCTGCCCAGACTGCACGCCTTTGCCAAGCGATTGCTATTTCCAGGCTCCAAAGGACTCCACTTAAAGTCAAACCAATCGGGAAGCGAAAGACAAAGACATAGTGTCCGACCCAGAAATTCCAGTGCAGGTGGTTCTAAAAAAAAGGATACCCCTTATAAAGCGAAACCCGTAATGAAATTATGCAATGGAAATAGCTCTCCGGGAGACAGAAAAATCACCTTTAAGGATCAGGCCAGAATTCAGGATATAAGGGGACCAAGGGATCCCAAGCTGTGGGCCAAACCAAGTCAAAAAACTTCCAGTCCACGTGTATTTCGGCATTCTAAAACGGAAAAGTTTAGTCCGAGGACTAAGGCACCATTCTCTTCCGGCTCCGAAAGACCTACGTACAAAAGGTCAGCTCCTCAGAACAGCTCCTGTTCCACAAGACCATCCAAATTCATACCAAAGAAGTCATGTAGGAGTGACAGCTGTAGCAACTGGAGCAGTCCGTCAAGTGTTCTCTCTGTAGTTCCCCAACCACCCTGCCAAGCTCCTCGACCATTGATATCCCGTGCCCAACGAGAGTGGGAGGAACACCGGGAGCGGAAGAAGGCCAGAAGATACAGGGAGAAGTGCAGGCCATGTGCTGATTACCTACTCACCTCACGAGCAATGGAGCCGAGAAATCCGGACATACGTCGAGGACTAGTAACCTATCGAAACCATGAGTTAACCACGGAACTCAGTGAACAATGTCTGATTAAACCAAAGTGCCAACGTTTCCGGTTTACACCGCACTGTTCCGGGCTCAGGGATAAAGAAAACTTCTCGAGATCACGAAGACGCCGACATTCCGATCAATGTTGCGATGACTCCGATGTGTCGAGGCACAGCAAAAGTCCTTCAAGATCGGGAAGAATGCGCGGAGGAATAGAGTGCAGGGAGGATGTCCTGTCTCCTTCACGAAGTCATCGTTTCTCAGCACACGCCTTTCCAACTAGCTTTTCCTCCAAGCTCCTCATCAAAAAGAGGGTTCAATCCACCAAACCAACCAAATCACCCATGCACTTATTTTGTTTTGATTAAAAGCAAGGCAATGTGGCTTGCAGTCCGACTGTCAAGTGGGTAAACCATATTTATAGGCATGGATTACCACCTGACAGACGGGCCAGCATGCCACAAACTGTACTAACAAATTATCGTACATTATACATTTTCAATTTATCACGATTAAAGTTTTGATTGTTACAAGAATATAAATGCAATGCTGGCTGGGGCAGGGATCTGGCTAAAATCCGACCTTACTCGTTGGTGAACTTGGCCGGGCGCTTCTCGGCGAAGGCGGTCATGCCCTCCTTGCGATCGGCCTAGAAAGCAAATAAATCAAATAAATTAGATAGTGCCGAAGAAAAACCTATAACCAAACTCACCGTGGAGAAGGTGGCATGGAAGGTGCGACGCTCGAACTTCAGACCCTCCTGGAGCGTCGTCTCGTAGGCGGTGTTCACGGACTCCTTGCACAGCTGCACGATCAGATTCGAGTGGGTGCCGATCTTCTCGCCCAGCTTGACGGCCTCGCCGAGCAGCTGGTCGGCGGGCACCACCTTGCTGGCCAGACCGAGCTTCTCGGCCTCCTGGGCGCCGATCATGTTGCCGGTAAGGCACATTTCCATGGCCTTGGACTTGCCAACGACGCGGGTCAGACGCTGGGTGCCACCGGCTCCGGGAATGGTGCCCAGGGCGATCTCCGGCTGGCCGAACTTGGCCTTGTCGCCGGCATAGATGATGTCGCACATCATGGCCAGCTCACAGCCACCGCCCAAGGCGTAACCGTTCACGGCCGCAATGATGGGCTTCTGGGTGCGGGCCACCTCCGTCCAGTCGTTCAGGAAGTTGCCCTGGATGCACTGCGAGTAGGTGTTGCCCACCATCTCCTTGATATCGGCTCCAGCGGCGAAGGCCTTCTCGCTGCCGGTCAAAACGATGGCGGCGATGCTCTGATCCTTGCCGAACTGCTGCAGGGCGGTGGACAGCTCCTTCATCAGGCCATTGCAGAGGGCATTCAAGGCCTTGGGACGATTCAGGGTGATCACGGCCACGTTCTTGCCCTCGCCGGCCACCTCGGTCTTGATGTACTCCCAGTTGTTGGTGGCTGAAAAGAGACGGCATCATGAGGTGATCGTTACGCAATCAATGTTTGTTTGGCTGGAAAAGTACCAAGATCAAGGCAGAAACCGGCACTTGATATCTTGATTTTCCAGCTCAGGGCGGAGATGGCCACTAAGCGGATGGACTTTGATCCCCCTGGAGTCTGGAATCCCTAATATACTTACAGGAGCTGCTGAAACGGGTGGCCACCTGTGGCTGGCGGGCGGCTGCCTGCAGGACACCCTGGGCACGGGAGGCGAAGATCTTTAGCAATGTTGGCCATTTTCAAGGGGACACTTAACCGGCTGCAAGTGCAATTCGTTATCTAATCAATGGGGGGATCTTCTTTGGAGCCACTTTGGTGCGGGGTACTTACGCTGCGAAGCACTGGAGCAATATTGGCGCACTCGACGGGAAAGTGTGAACGTGTACTTAACATCCAAAAATGCCACGATTCCCAGTCACAGTTTAGTCACAGCAACAAGTGTTTTTACATTATAGTAATTATTTATATATAGACGAAATTGGATGATTTACTTATTTTTTATGTATTTTTTATTTATTACTATTATATATTGTTTTGGCTTCCTAACGCTACAAGTTGTATAACTGATAAATTACTGCGCTAGTCACTAATTAATATACCCTAAATGTGACTTTACTTGATACCTAGAAAAAACATAAGCTTTAATACTAGACAGAGATTTTAAATTTGCCTAATATATAAATAAATAAAAATTTTACAGATCTTAAAAACTAAATAGTGCAAAATGATCTGATTCATTTTACTAGTCTGAATACTTTAAAACTAACAGTGCTTTTTAACAGCGGTTTAACAGAGTTTGCCAGCACTAAAACGGTTACAATTTAAACTTTCTAAGCATTTAATACTTTGAACAGGAGAACTTTTAACGGTAGCTAATCCTTAGACCTTTGGTATACCAGGTTGTCTGGGATTAGTACTGTTTGTCTCCACCAGCCAAATGTGCTCCTCACGTTGCCTCCTTTCTCCATTTTCCCGACGAACCCGCCAAATCAGGAATATCAATACAACGACTAGGAATGCAAATATTGATATTACCAGGCTAAAGATGAAGGCTTGGGGTGCTAAAAATTAAGGTTAATTAATTAAATAAAATTAAAAAGTCCATTGAGTATCAAACTTACTTTCACAATAAGGAAACTTTTTAATCCACAAAGAGTCTTTGCAAATGTTCCGATCCTCTCCTTTTAGTGAGTGCTCAGCTGGACAGTCGTAGTAAATCCGGGTGCCATTGGCTACTCTGGATCCGGCAGTTAGGATTGCATCAGTAAAGTGCTTAACTATCACATTTGGCAGCTGTGGAATCGTGCATTCCCCTTTCTCTTCAATAAGATTGGTTCCAGGTCGCATTATCATGGTCACAGTGGGAGTTATCTTAATGACATCGCTTTCCGTGGTCACAGTAGTTGATCTAACAGTAGTTGTTGGTAGAGCGACTCCTTCGCAGAGGGACTCCTGCTCGTCGTCTCCATCCCGGCAATCCCTGACCCCATCGCACAGCTTGGAGTAGGGCATGCACTGGCCGGAGGAGCAGTACATTTCCCAGTTGTCGCAGTTGGCCTGCTGCATCTGCGCTCGGCACAGCCATCCCTCCTCATCGGATCCATCCACACAGTCCCGCACGCCATCGCAGACCGCCGTGCTGGCTATGCACGCTCCGTAGCTGCAGCGGAATCCATAGCCCGGACACCAGACGTTCTGGCACATGGCTACCGTCTCATCGGAGCCATCCAAGCAGTTGGCTACTCCGTCACATAGCTGGTCCAGTTCGATGCAGTCGCCTCCGCCGCACCGATGACCGCAGTTCGTGGCATTCGGCGCTGCAGAGCAAATGGCGAACGCCAAGGAGAGAAGAACCAGAAGCTCCAGGAATCGATTCAGATGCGCTCTCAACATTTCGAATAGGTTTCAATCGACCGACTGCTGGTTCCATGTCGCGGTTAAGGGTATTATTAAAGGGGAGCTATCCAAACCTGTTTGATGATGATATGACGATAGCAGTGTAAAAAGCTGTCATGGGCTTTTCTGAGCGGCTCTGATTATTGTTTCGCATGTACATTTCAGTGGCTTTTGCTTTCAGATAAACTTATCAGTTGGACTTCCCGCCATGTATCCCATTTTTAATATTAGTTGTAATTCTACTATAATGGTAAATGCACACGAGATATTCCCCCTTTCTTTGTATTAAAAAAAGATTGTAAAATAATTATATTAATATGGTGTCAGAAATGTATTATCCAATAAATACAGCTATTACTTTTTGGCGGATCTCAATATCCTTATATTCTTTATATTTATTCAACTATTGTTTTATTGTTCTCATTGCTTTTCATATGCGTATGCTACTATAATTCTCAAAGTGAGTATACTCTTGTTAGTACGAATATAGGGCTTTAGTTTATAATCGCTCGAATTAATTATAAAGAAAAATTCCAAGTGTTAGTTGGGTACAAATATAAATACAGCTCGGGGATGGCTGGGCGGAAACAAAAAACTGCAAATACTTGAAGTAAACTTAAGTAACACGTCAAATGCTTTCCAACGAGGAAAGGCTCATTATTTCTTGTGGCCAGATGCCGGCGGCGTGCCCAAGAACTTTCGCTTCTTAATGGTGCCGCCTTTGAAGGGAGTTGCTGTGGAAAAGCTGGTTAGGAAAGAGATCATTTGAATACCATATTCAACTCACCATACAGCGACAGCAAGTCATGTTTGCTGCTGGGCACCCGCTTGATCACTGTGGCCGGCGTTCTTGTTGGATCTATAACGATGTATTGCTCCCAGAACGAAACGGGCAGCTCGAGCAACGCCTTCATCACCTGCTTCTGGGTGAAGACCTCCGTGTAGATCGCATGCTGGTCTGGATCTGGTGTGGAGTAGCCCACAATGGTGGGCCCAAAGATGAGCGAGATGTTATCGATCGGCATTAGCACGACTGGGCACTGGGCAATGCGCTGGAAGTGCAGTATGAGGAAGGACAGCGTATCCCGATTTGCCTGAGGTAGCTGCTTCACCGACTTGTACAGCATCTCCTGGGCGACTTTGGTGTCTGGATTCTGCACAGCGTTGGCGAAGTCCTTCCACTGGCTGGTCGGTATGAGAGGCTCGGTGAGAGACCTCAGGAAATCCTTAACACAACAGCACAAAACATAGATGTCCGTGTTGCCCAGATGCGGAGTGGCCTTGCCGCGCAAGAACTGCTCCTTCAGGGCCTTGTACTCCCGCTCCGACGAGGACAGCCGGTAGAGGCCCACCTCAGTGAGGCCGCGGGCCTCTATCTCGTTGACACAGTGCACAATCAGAGCCGGAATCATGGGCGCAATGGACGGGGCAAAGTCTGTGACGTAGCCCGTCATGGTCTTCATCGTGGGCGTTCCCGTTTGGGGCACACAGCTCACGGTCAGTAGATACCGACAGTCGATGTGACAGCGCACCGGGCAATCCCGACATCTCAGGCCAACGGCCCCAAACCGAATGCTGCAAAAAAAGTACCATATTTAATGAATGAATATTTAGAATTATTATTTACGAACCGTTTCTGACACTGCACGCAATTGTCGCCGCGCAAGAACGTCTTCTGGCTGAAGGTGTGGTTCCTCATCAGCGGACGATGCTGCAGCGGAGTTCCCGATTCGGCCACGTGGGAAGCCATTGCGTTGACCGGCGTCAGCGGCGGAGCGGTGGCCTCTTTGAGAACAGATCGTCGTGGCGTCGAGGACAAGCCGTCACCGATTCTCTCGTGGCCGCCAATAACCGGCAGCGACTCGATAGTCGACTCTGCCCGGATGACGCCCTGCCCATCCTGGGGTATGGTTACCTTGGTAGTGGCACAAAAGCGCTCAGCGCCCTGACCCACATCCACCGTGTGCTGCTCGACTCCGATGCCGACGCCAGAGCGTCGCGACTTGCCGGTGGTTGGGGTATTCCCGGACATGCTGCCATTGAGTCCCGTGCTCAGGCGCGATCGCTTGTTGCCCACACAGGGAATCTGGTTCTTGGGCAGCGAGGGTCGGTGCTCCCGCCACGATTTCGATGTGCGCACATCGAGGAAGTCGTCCTCAGAGTGGGTAATGGACAGATCGGATAGCAGCGAGCCGGTGGAGTTGATGTCGCCGTAGGACTTGTCCTCGCGCACGGCATTCAGGGACTTGCGCTTCCTCGAGGAGGGCAGTGTGTGCAGAAAGGCCAACTTGTCGCGAGTCTCGTTGTTCAGATTGCGCTCGTGGCGCAGCAGATCCGCCACGGCCATGATCTTGCCCTCCATGGCGTCGCGCTCGTGCTCCGCCTGGCGACGCGCCTTGATCTCCATGTCGATGATGCGGCGGGCGTGGAAGAGCTTGCCCTCCAGGTCGCCCATCTTGGTCAGCGACTTGTCCAGCTCGCTTTGGATCCTCGCCGTCTCGGCCGCGTAGCCAGCGCACTTTTCGTGGTACTGCTCGAACATGCGCAGGAAGCGCAGGAATTCTGGATGGAAAAACAGGATTTAGCGATTCCTTCGGCTCGCCTGTGGCTCTTTTACTCACCCTCCTCGGCCGTTCCATCGGTCAGCACTTGCATGCAGCGTCGCAGATCGTCAAAGGACGCCAAGGCGGAGAGCGCCATTTTCGCTTTGCTCTGTGAATATCTGTGAATGGGTTTTCACTCACAGGGACTGCCTGTGCACTGGTTGCCCTGATTCAGCGCTAATTCTGCCGAAAATCTGTTTTATTTCCACCGAAAACGAGTTGGAAAGGGAGCACGCTGCAAAGGACGCGGTGATTTTTTCAAGTTCCGTTGTTTTCAAATTGACGCCATGAAGGCAGTGTGACCGTTTGTGGATAAATCAAATAAGCAGTAGGGTTGTCACATAAAAGGAAAATATCGGTATGATCGCCCGAAATATTATAGCCTGTTCAGACTGATGCAGCCTGTTCAGCGACCCAAATCCGCAACAGCGAGCAAAGTATATGTGCTAGAAAGAGAGAGGGAGACGTTGCAACAACTCAAAGCGGTGACTATAGTGGAAACACATGGCGGAAATAACTATCGAAAATAAATAGTATTGTCTAGCTGAATATTTAAAATACATACTTTAATTGATATTTATAAATTAAAATTTGTACATATTTTAGTTTGACTATCCTTAAAATAATTTATAAATAAAATAAAAACAATTTAAAACTTCCATCTCTAATATTTATAAGTCAACCAGTGCTGCTAAACGCATCGCAGGTCTCGATTTTGTTTCAAAAATGTCTGTCCACTCGCCCAATCCTGGCCTGATCCTGCAGAGCAAGCGCTTCAATGGGCTGCGGAACATCCTGGAGCGCGAGGGCCCCTTCTGCAAGGACGACTTCTCGGCCTCGCCGGACAACCTGGAGTTCCTGCAGACCAAGTGCCAGGTTCTGATCATCGGGGCCGGTGGCCTGGGCTGCGAGCTGCTCAAGGATCTGGCTCTGATGGGCTTCGGCAACCTGCACGTCATCGACATGGACACCATCGAGCTGTCCAACCTGAATCGCCAGTTCCTCTTTCGGCGCACCGACATCGGCGCCTCGAAGGCGGAGTGCGCGGCGCGCTTCATCAACGGCCGAGTGCCCACCTGCCGGGTGACGCCGCACTTCAAGAAGATCCAGGACTTCGACGAGTCCTTCTACCAGCAGTTCCACCTGATCGTCTGCGGCCTGGACTCGATTGTGGCCCGGCGCTGGATCAACGGCATGCTGCTCTCCATGCTGCGCTACGAGGAGGACGGCAGCATAGACACCTCCTCCATAGTGCCCATGATTGATGGCGGCACCGAGGGCTTCAAGGGCAACGCCCGCGTCATTCTGCCCGGCTTCTCGGCCTGCATTGAGTGCACCCTGGACTTGTTCCCGCCGCAGGTCAACTATCCCCTCTGCACCATTGCAAATACGCCCAGGCTGCCGGAGCACTGCATTGAGTACGTGAAGATCATTCAGTGGGAGAAACAGAATCCTTTCGGCGTGCCCCTGGATGGCGACGACCCGCAGCACATTGGCTGGGTCTACGAACGGGCTCTGGAGCGGGCCAACGAGTTCAACATCACCGGAGTCACCTATCGACTGGTCCAGGGCGTGGTCAAGCACATAATCCCCGCCGTGGCCAGTACGAATGCCGCCATAGCCGCCGCCTGCGCCCTGGAGATCTTCAAGTTGGCCACCAGCTGCTACGACAGCATGGCCAACTATCTGAACTTCAACGATCTCGATGGAATCTACACGTACACCTACGAGGCCGAGAAGTCGGAGAGCTGCCTGGCCTGCAGCAACACGCCGCAGTCGCTGCCCATCGAGGATCCCAACACCACCACGCTGGAGGATGTAATAAAGCTGCTGTGCGACTCGCCGCGCTTCCAGTTGAAGAACCCCGCTCTGACCACTGTGATGAAGGACGGCAAGCGGCGGACTCTGTACATGTCCACGGTGAAGAGCATCGAGGAGGCCACGCGCAAGAATCTGACGCAGTCGCTGGGCGAACTGGGCCTGCAGGATGGCCAGCAGCTGACAGTTACCGACGTGACCTCGCCAACCGCCATGACCCTGCAGCTGAAGTACCAGTCCAATGAGGTGGAGATGGTCTGAGTTGTATCACAGTAGATAACAATTTTAATCCTCACTATACAAATATGTAAATAAAACAAGTTACGCATTCATGTTTAGGATATACTTCTTGCCGGTGAATCCCGTGAAGCTCAGAGCAGCGGCTGCCGCGTCCTTAAAGTTAGTCAACGGCACCATCTCATGGTTGGGGGCCACGAACTTGCCCTGCTCCATCAGCTCAAAGATTTCCCGAAACATTTTCGAACGTTCCGGGGAACTGTAGTTCTCTTTGGACCAACGTGTCATCCAGAAGCCTCTAAATGCAATGTCCTTGAAGATGAGCGGCCCCGTGGCCACGGTGACGGGCTCTCGGGACATCCCGCCATAGGTGACCATCACGCCACCGTTGTCCAGATGCCGCGACACCTCCGTGGCACTCTTGCCGCCCACACAATTGAAGGCCAGGCGGGGCCGCTTCAGCTTGCCCGACTTGAAGATGTCGCTGGTGCGAATCTCGGCCTCGGTCAGGACCTCGGTGGCTCCCAGGCATTGCAGCATCTGCTTGAGCTCGGCAATCTCGGGTCGATCGCGAACGATGCCAATGCTATTGATGCCCCACGCGCGGCACAGCTGATGTACTGCCTGGCCGACGGCGCTGTTGGCTCCGTTCTGGATGACCGTGTCGCCCGGCGAGAGCTGCACAAAGTCCTTGAGCATGCGGTAGGCGGTGGTGGGATTCACCGTCGAGGTGGCGGCCTCCGCCAAACCCACTTTCTTGGACACGGCCATCAGTTGATCCTCCTTGTAGACGGCATGGGTGGTCCAGGTGCCCAGGCCGGTGGCCAGCGGGATGACATGCTGGCCCGCCTCCAAGCCCTTGACATTGTCGCCCACGCAAATGACCTCCGCCACGCATTCGTTGCCGCCAACGGCTGGAAACTTGGGCTTCACTGGGTATTTTCCTGTGTGGGATATAGGATAGGTATAAGGTTTTAGGTTTACAGGAGTTATTCGATTTCTTAGGAATCACTTAATCAAAAATCAAATAATCAGGATAACAAAAAAAAAAAAAAAAAATTTAATTTGGATTTAAGTAAACTTTTGACTTTAGCTACATACATATATCTCCTAAAAACTGTATCCTTGAAAACTTAAAATTCAAAGTACAGTACAGTTCAAAAGCATTTTTATGAGTTTTCAGGAATCCAGTGTTTTAGTTCAAAAGTTTTAGTAAAGCTACAGAGGAAATTAAAGTGCAGTTAATAGAATTTTGGAGGTACCTAGAGCATCGAGTTACAGGTTACAGGTTATCGCACTGCTGCGTTATACAGTATTATCATAAATCTTAGTGCCCAGCTTACCCTGAATGGTGTTTATGTCCGCCGGGTTAATGGGAGCCGCCAGAATCTTGACGAGCACTTGTTTGTCCTTGGGATCGGGCAGTTGGTCCTCCACCAGTTGCAGTACATCTTGCGGCTCGCCGTGCTGTGTGTACTTCAAGGATTTGGCCACCACCGACATGTAACGGCTCCCCAAGGTGGGGCTGATGCCAGATAAAAGCCCTCGGCGCAACATTTGTTGTTAATAACAGGGATATTTGTATTAAAAATAATAAATGGAAAATTTGTTATGCAGGCCGGTGTGACCGTTACATCCAAGTAGCGGTCGTGACTTTTAAGTGCGACCGTACTCTAGGGATTTTAGAAATTCCATTTTTGGTATTTTCAGCAATACAAACAACGGCCGCCGTGTTTTCGCTAAATTTCAGGTGTCTCAAATCGATTTTTAAACAAAACCCCAAGAAATACTCAAAAAAGTAAATTAACCGGTGGCAAAATGGACGCGTAAGCACACGAAAGTGGTAAATTGTACCTACTGTTTGTTTTACAATTGTGGATTCTTGCAGTTTACACGACGAGGTGGAATCGTTGGAAGCAATCCTAATGGAAGATGTTTGCATCAAACGCACGCCCAGGTAGGTCACTATATTGCTAAATGTTTGCGGCACTGCAGTAAATATTCGAATCCCCAAAAAGCGGCGATGTGGAGCAGATTGAGACCACAGTGCTTCCACTGACCGGCGAGGAGGAGGAGCAGCAGTACGTGTGCGTCACTTTGCAGGTCCACCCGACACCTGGCTATCCGGAGGAGAGTCCCACGTTCAAGCTGCTGCGTCCGCGAGGACTGGACGATGCGCGCTTGGAGGCCATTCGAAGCGCCTGCAATGCCAAGATCAAGGAGTCCCTCGGCTTCCCGGTCGTCTTCGACCTCATCGAGGTGGTGCGGGAGCACCTCAGCGGCAGCAATCTGCCCAGTGGCCAATGCGTCGTCTGTCTGTATGGATTCGCCGATGGCGACGAGTTCACCCGCACAGAGTGCTTCCACTACCTGCACAGCTACTGCCTGGCCCGCCATCTGAACGCCCTGCGCCGCAACTACCAGGAGGAGTTCGATAAGCTGCCCGCCTGGCTGAAGAAGACGGCCGATCCCTTCCAGGCGCTGTGCCCCGTCTGCCGCGAGCATATCGGCGACGAAACCGATAGTCTCAAGTGCGCCATGCCTCCGTCGGAGCTGCTCAATGCCCCGGACTTCAAGGTCACGGAGGAGCTGCGCCAGATGCAGCAACGCATGTCCGAGCTGTATTTGCAGCAGAAGAGTCGCGGAGCCATCATCGATGTGAAGGCCGAGGGAGCAGCGGTGATTTCCATCGAGACGGAGGAGGACATCAGACGCAGGCGGCGTCGCGAGGAGGCCGAGGCAGCCAAGAAGCTGGAGGGACCGGCCAAGGAGGAGGCCCTCAAGCCAACCACAAGTTCCACATTTGCGCCCGTCGTCCAGGAGACCCAGCGCATCATGCCGGAGCCGACCAACAATAACTATCACCACAATCGGCGCCACTATCGCGGCGGCAGGCGGCACCATCACCACCATCAGCATGGCCACCACCATCGGGCCGAAAGGGATCGAGAGCAGAATGCGGCTGCAGCTCCAGCCACCGCCGGTGGCTCCTCGTCGAATGCCGGCAACGGCAAGCAGGCAAAGGCCCAGTCAGCCAGCTCCGGGCTTGCCAGGTGACGATGGCTTCCGAGAGAGATGGGGATCCGGATACCCATTGCGTTGCCATGCTGCTAATACACAATGAAGCACCACAACCAAACGGCCCAGGTTTTGTTTCGTGAGGCGCACTCGTTTCTGTGAATTCCTAAGTTCGTATATATTTATGTTTAGTTAGCTTTAGCGAGCCGGGTTAGCTAATTTGGATTATATTAATGATGATATTTAGTTGTACCTTAACTATAATGATATTTGTAATGATTTACAAAAGACTTGCGGCACCATGCCGATCCGATATTATAGTAGGGCCTTTGATAGCTAGAGCGTAGAGCATGTATTTAGCAGCACCAACTGGCAGCGCTGGCGTTGACGAGATTACACCACAGCATTGAGAAGATCGAGGAGACGACGGTATTGATATCCACTTACGCATAATCTGCAACAGCACTTCGAAGTTTAGTATAAATAGTTCTCTCTCTGGCGGCCCTGTAGCACAAAGAAACGTAAGAACCCAGCTTGTACTTGACTGAGTTGGACGATTGAAGTTGGAGCGGCATTTCTAGTCAGTGAATGGAGGTCAGAAGAGGCATCAGAGGAGGAGAATCCCGATACAGGGCATCTGCATTAGCATGCATGCACACATATTTAAATATCACAATTAATTGAGTGTTTGTAGGAAACCAAACAGAGATCCGCCGTGATCGACAATGGTATTATATCGAAAATTCAATTTCAATGTGTCAAATAAATACTACGATTGAGAACTTTAATGAATAAATCAAATTCGGAAATCAACAACAGTGTTTTGAGTTTTACTTTCGGGGGAACTATTATAAAAAATCAAAAGGCATTCGGTTATGTTGTTATTTTTTGTAAATGTTTATTTCGCATTTAAATTGTTTTAATTTAATAGAATTACAAAAAACGAGTTTTAATGCATTTCTTTCGTTTCGTACAACAAAATAATTTAGTATTAGTATTTTACAATATTTATATAAACGGGTTCGTTCTCATTCCCCCATCTGCTTCGTAATTCATTCGCTGATATTGCATATAAAAAAACAAAATAATTATGCAATACAAAATCTGTGTGTGTTTTTGTCGCTTAACAGTTAAATATTAATTAAACTTATAGTAATGACTTTTAGTATATAATTAAATATTTTCTTTATGCGGCTTACAATTTTCACTTTCCTATTAGTTTAATAACAGAACAAAATCAAATTTTATCTCTTTTAACGGGTTTAGTTATTTTTTTGGCCGTTTCGCCTCTGCCACGCCCCGTTCTTGGCTAGGATTCCACCGGACTGGCGATTCCAGTGGAGGACCTAAACTCAAGTTGGATTGCAGCAGAGGCCCCGACATTTCATTCGAATGTTTTATTTTTTTCTATATATTTTTTCGATATTTTTTTTTTGTTTTTATTCTTTGTATTTTTTAATTGCCTTAGAGCACTTGGAGTGTATTTTTCATTAATTTACGCTTGCTTTTCGCTTTATAAGTATATACAAATCATAATTTTGGAAACGTGTATAACTAGTGAATAAAGGTAGTGGGCATTACAAATTAGTAGTAGCAAAAGGTTGTATAAGTATTAGTAGTACTCGTAAGTAGGTTGCTTGTCTGATCAACTTTGTGTGCTAGCTATATGTCTGCATTCCTTTCATCTTAACTGTGTGTGTCTTTTACAAAATATATATAGTATAAACATCTATAAATTGTTTCGCTCTTCCACTCCAATAGGGCACTTCAAAGTTAGTCTCTTTAGAACTGTGTGCTGTTCACGCTACATTCATTGCTAATGTAGACTTGGTTATTTTTGAGGAGGGTTTGGGTTTAGTTTAGAACTTCAGTGCGCAGTTAGTACGTAAAGTTGTGTGTATGTTGTTTAAATATTGGCATTCTTCTGCTTCTCTATTGTCATCATCTCCTAAGCGGTTTTTATAGTCGGAATGGCTCGCGCTTCTCCGTTGGTGTGGTTCCCCGCGAAGTGCGTCGCATGGTCGAGCTGAAAGTGGGTTCCGCTGAGCTCTTTCGCGGCGTCTGCATGCCGGAGGGCGTGGAGCTACCGCTAATGTTTCGCCTGGGATCGAAAATACATTGATTAGTCGCTATTCTCAACAATTTGGTATACATTATAACACATAAAAATAACAAAAATGTATTTTAATCTGGTAATCGAACTTAAGCATTAGTGAAAAGCATTTTTGGTCGTTGTCCTGTTGGTTTTATGGCATGGACATGCACATCAACACATTTACATGCTCGGAAAAGGTATAACAAACGAGGAAACTTAACAATAACTTTAGACGAGTACAAATCATAATTACTTGATATAGACTGAGTTGAATATTGACTAGGTAATGTCTTTGTTGTAAGCTTATTAACTTTACCCCAAGCTGGTTGGATTCGTAGTCGAGCTGGGCGATGTTGACTTGGAATCGAATGAGGGTATCTTAATCGGAATCCGTGATGGCCGGCTTTTCGTGTTTGGGGGGTAGTAAGTACAACGATAGTTAGCATAGGTAAACCATAACCGCTGCCTACGATACATGATCGGTCTTATATCTTATGTCTAGCCTAAACTTATGAGTATGTAGGTGGTATTTATGTTAAGTGTTTTATGCCGTTTGTGGCTGTATTACCTAATTGGTTTGAAGCCGAAGCCTGTTAGTGCTGGTATACTGGATGATCTACTCATGCCTCCGTTGCTGTTTCAGTACATAATATTTTATATTTTTTTTTTGGGAGGGGTTGCAGGCACGAGTTTTAGTTGCATTTTTGTTTAGTTGCGTTCAAGCAAATTTCAAATGGTTCAAATGCCAATTGGAGTTGTAAGTTAGCGTTTCATGATGTGAGTTGTGTGTTGGTCAAGAGTTAATGCGGTACACCGAGAACAGTGTAAAAATAAAAATAATAAATTAATAAGAGTTTGAATAAGTGAAAGTGTTTGATCCCGCCCAAAATGTCCCCTTTTTTATTGATTCGCTGGAGTGATTAAATCGCAGAAGCCTACCTTGTGGGCGCTGGACTGGCCGATCCGGAGGCGGTCTTGCGGGTGATGGTGCTGCTGCCGTTGAGGCGGCTTCCGGGAGTCGTGGTGGTGGTCACCGAAAGTCGCGCCGGACGTGGCGTGGTGCCGCTGGCGGTGCTGGCCGTGGAGGGCTTGCGTTGCGGAATGCGAGAGGGCGTGTGATCGTCTGGAAAGGGATATAAGTTACATTAGCTTAGGTTCCTTGCAGGATTGGGTTAATCCACCGACTACTTACCCGTGCTATCCAACGACAGCGTAGAACCATGTCGCGACGGCGGCTTCGATCCCTGTCTGCTGAGCGGGCGCGAGTTGGGCTTGGAGCCGGCACGAGAGCCTCCTGGCGTGAGGCCCGTGCGCGTGCTCGTGTAGGTGACCTTGCGGGGAGTGTATCGGCCCGAAGGACCACCGTGGCTGCCCTCGTTGTCGCTCAGGGAGTCGGGAGTGCTGGCCGAGAGTGAGGAGCGCGATGGGCGCGACATGGGTATGGAGCGAACGGAACGCTCGCGTACCTGTACAAAAAATAAAGATAAATTATTAACACACATTCATAGTTTATCCAGGACCCCCGTGATAATGGAACCCAAGCACTCTAGCACTCCTCCTGGAGCAGCGTCTCCATCTCCTGCCGGCTGCAAACTTACCCAGTGTGTTGTTGGATGACAATGCAGAACGTGTGGACTCAGCGGCACCGAGCGGCTGGTATTGCAACGGACGAATACCGTGCCGCCGGCACCCATGTGAATGGGAAAGGCGCATGGAACCTGGTCTTGAGCGCGGATTTTCTCAAAGATTGGCATTAGCTCGGCCAAGTGCTCGTCGGCTAGAGAATTAATTTCGATACGTTTAACCAACAATGAACTGATTTATTTCAGCTGGCAAACGGTCTATGATCATTTAAGCCGTGGACAACAACCTAACCTGGCCTAATAGCCTAATAACCTCATCATAAATGGTGTGGGGTGTACTGTACTCTAGCTTAAACTCAAAAATGTCGCAAAAACAATACTTGGGAAAATACGAGTTAAACAAATATATTGATACGAAAGTATTCGGTTCTCATGCAGATATATAAACAAATAATATATTTAACGATTCGGCGGCGCAGCAGCGAGAGCTTTTCTTTGTCAACAACACACACAACGAACCCAAAGTAGGAGCAAAGGAGCACTTACCTTGTGCCCTTGCAGGATGAGGATATGTTAGGATGAGTAAGGGATTGGGGTCGGGATTAAAGTGAGAGTTCAACTCTTTGTCGTAAACTATTTAACGGTTTTTTACTCTCCTTTTTCCAATTCCATTAAAATTTATCAATTTCAGAATTGGTGGATTATTTACTCTTCTATAAAGCTAATATATTTTCCGAATTTGGTTTTGTCTTCATTTGAAAAATTAATTTCACCTCAAAGGGAATAAAAATGTATAAAATTCCATGGAGTATTAAATAAAAAAGATTAAAAAGAATTGATTGATTGAAATATTAATTCTTACATCAAATAAAAATCTAACAAAGTGAGATGGATTTTTAAGTAAATAAAATTTAAGAAGGCAAAATTTTCGATAAAATAAGTTAGGTATTCCGGGGGTAACAGAAATCTCTTTGGGAAATACTGGATTTCTGTATCATCCTCGGTTAGCTTTTTTGAAGAATCAAATAAGGACCAAATCCGATCAAGGACAAAACTGATTGGAATGAAGTAAGGTTTAGAGTCGCCTTAACTTTCTGCTGCAGATTCTTTTGCTGTTTGCTTTTTGATTTACCTTGATGATGGGACCCTGTCCACTCATATATGGCGGCAAGTTGGAGCTGCCGCCATTCTGGGTATTGGGTGAGGAGGAGGCAGTGGCGGCCGCATTGGGCGTGGAACGTCTGGGCGTGAATGCGGCCATGCTCTGCGAGACGCCATCGGCCAATATGAATTGCTCGCGTAGCTCTATGTTAGTGCGTCCCTTGGCTGCTCCCGGGTAACAGTGGCATTGGTTTTGGTAGCGATTGCAGTTGCAGTGGCAGATGCATAGATGCATTTACATTAAATGCATCATTTGGCATGGCATATGCACCCACATATAACACATATACACGGATAGGCAATGTTTTGTTGTAGGGCGAACATATAAACAACAACAATAACAACGAAAGTTCGTTACCGCAAAGTATTGGTCAGTTTGTTTTCAGTATTGTGTTTTTTTTTTTTTTTTTTTTTTTTTTGGATTTGTTTGTTGTTTAGTATTTGGTGTTTGGGCACAGGCGGGTGCATGTCGGGCGTGGTCGTGGGCGTGGCGAGCGGGCAGCGCAAGCGAAGAGTATATATTTATCGGGGTCGATTTATCAATATTCAATCGATTTTCGGTATAATAAGGGGAACCATTTTGAAAAAAGAAAAAGGGGTAAACATAAAATTGGATTAGTAAAAAACGAAAAACGAATAACACAAATTAATACACAAATTTCAAAATTACTAGAGGACGCACAGCGAATTTGGTGAGGCTTTAAACATAAAGTGACATGAAGTACAGTCTGCACAGCCCCTGTTAGTTAACAGAGGATGATAAACTGTTATACAAATAAAGCAGAATGTTAGTTCTAAAGCAGGATAGGGTTAGCAAAAAAGCAAAAATACTGGCTTAGAATTATACATATAAAATGGTTATTATTTCGACTACCACTAGATGTTGCTTGGAGAAACCTGGTTAATATAACTAGCTAATAGGAAATAGGTAAAGTAGGTAGGCAGGAAAGTTTTTGGTGGGCGTTGGTGTGTGTTTTTTATGGACTTGTAGCAGCTATTGGTTACAAAGTTAAACGAAGCGACGAGTATGAGCATGAGTAAAGTAAATGGCAAACCCTCGGCTAGATTGGTTGGGCTTTGGGTTTTATTGGGTTCAGTTGTTGATTTTGTTGGCTGGGTTATTGTGTATGAAGTGGCTTTTGGCTCTGACTGGATGGCTATTAAAAATAATATTCGCCATTGGGCGCACAGTTAATATTGTTTTAGCTTTGTTTAGGCAACTTAAGGACCAGAATTAATGATGAGGTTTAAACAAAGGTTTCTCTCTTTATTTTCCGGGTTCTTTTGCTAGTATTATTTTAGGCACAGTAGTTTATTGTTGGTTGGTTGTTTGTTGGTTGGTTAAATGACCATATCCATTTGGTATTATTATTATTTGGCATTATAGTATAATTAGTTGTTAAGCACAACTGTACCTAGGTGTGATATGAATGCGTTTAAATGAAATGAGCAAACGATGCACAGCATCTGGGTATAGACAAAATGCATGATTCGGGTGGAATATTAAAAATGTGGACTAAGAGATTACTCTAGAATATTATGGTAGATATATGTATGAATGAAATGTATGTGACTGGTACTGATGTGGAGTTGATGAAGTCCAACAAATTTCGAAAATGTGTGTACGGAACACAACTAAATATGGTGTCTTGTATAGCTTCTGACTGGTGGTCCACTTACCGCGACAAGGATCATTCTTCTGCAGGAATTCGTCCAGTGCTACCCAACCGCCTCCCACGCGCACCATTACAGTGCTGCGAAGAATGCGAACCAGGCGTAGTTTCTGGGAGTCTCCAAACTGGTAAAATACATAATTAATTGAGCATCGTTCAATATACCCATTAGCTTCAAACTTACCCTGTACTTGCCCTCGCCAACTTGGAATACTCGGAACTTCTGCCGGCAGGTACACAGCATTACGAGACGCTTGACCTCGTCGTGTATTTTGTCCGAATCATTGGCCGGCTTCCTTTCTTGCCAATCAGGCCGCAGGGCAGCAATAAACTCTTGCCAGTCGATGAGACCCTCGCCATTGCGATCGAACAGATCGGCTACAGCCTTCATTTCCAAGCCAGAGGTGTCGAATTCTAAAGGGAGTTTATGTCTTTTAGTTTAGTTACTTATGGGTTGAGTCTTGAAAAACGTACTCGTATTGAGAATGCCATCGATGAAGACATCGCGTGGAATCATGCCATTGTTGTCCTTGTCCATTTTGCGGAACAGATCCGTCAAGCGCGACTTCTTGTGGTTCATGTATTTCAGGAACTTTAAAAGGATGACAAAATAAATATAAATATTATGCTTCAAAGAAAGTTTATAGTTCTTAAATACTTACGCGCTTGCGCCAATCGTCCCAGCTGAAGTTGCGGGCACGCTCCACATCCTTTAGATACAGGAGATGATCGTTGAGCAGACGCTGGCGCTCCCATGAGAGCATCCAGACATCGCGCCACTTGGTCCACAGGAGCTTGGCGCGTGGCGAACGGAATTCCAGTTCTGGTCCCGAGGTGCTAGATTAAAATGTAACATTTTGAATAAGAAGTTCTCGACACTTTTTCGGTAAATGTGTGAATATAAAACTACATACAAACACGAGCACTGGACATGCACAGCTTGATACAGATGATATAGATGATATTGTGGGTTTACGAGGACTTACCTTGGCGAGAATCGGGGGCCGTAGTGCGGCAGGCGATCTCTGTCGGGAGTGTCACGTGTGGGCGTGATACGACTGCTCAGAGATTTGGTTTTTGACAAAGACATAGGCAAATAAAGCGGCAAGATGCATAGTTTTGATATTTGATATTCGAGCGGTATGAGCAACGATTACGTAGTAGCGTAGTGTGTAGACAAGATGAAAGTAGATTCAAAAAGAGACAAAACAAAATGGTAAAGTAACGAACAAAATACGCAAAACACAGATATAACATATATAGCACAAAAATCAAATAGATATATTTATAAATATTTCGAATAGTTGTAGACGCAGCATTTCCAAAAGTAGTTGAAAAGTTGAAAACAAAAGAATTTCGGTTTGAGAATTTCGAAGTACATGCGGAATCTATCTATTCTTGAACTGGAAAGTATTTAACCCCAATGATAACTCACCTTCCTTTGCGGGCGTTGAGTCCCTGGTCACGAGATCCCTTGAAGCTATGGAATAAAAGATAAATATAATTAATTATATGTGCTTAGGTATTGTATTAAACAAGCAATTGTTTTAGCAGCAATGATTAAGCAGGGTGGTTTTTTGTAGAGTGCTAGAGTGGTATGAGTGCTACGGATTTTAGCGCTACTTTTGGGCTTTTAGCGGGTAACTGAGGAGGTTTCGGGATATCAGATGTTAGGAAATCACTAAGTCAATAGGTTGATGGTGAGTAAGCACATTCGCCACTGGGCAAGTGGATGAAACGAGTAGCGGGCATTAGAGTTTGGTCCAAACCTTTGACGCCTCAGGGTGCCGTCGGGTGACTGCTCACGCAGATCGTGACTGGAGCCACGACTGTCGGTCGGTGGTTCATTGGTTCATTGGTTGGTGTGGTTTTTGGATAGGCAGAGAAATAGGTGTGCAAGACGTTGCGGGGGTTTGTTTGTTTGGATTTGGTATAGAATATTGTAGCAATAGGGCGGTGGATACAAAAGAAAGTATATAAAAAGAAATTGGCAAAAATAAATATACAAAATAATAATATACAGAGGATATATACAGCAGCAACTTCTAAAGGAATTGGTCTACTCACACTGGCGTCTTGCCGGTGCGAGATGGCTTGCGAGCTCCCGGAGGCAGCTGCCTGGGCTTGCAGGCGCGATCCACCTCGTTCTGACGTCGGGCCGTGTTCTCCATAAACTCCTTGTGGTCCTCGATCAGTTTCTCCACGGGCGGAATCTCATCCGGCAGTTGTTCGTGCTTCAGGTCTGCAAGGAATAGGAATTAGTATCTAATGACAATTAAATATTATTTTACTACTTACTCAACAGAGTGCCCTCCAGTCCGCTGAGCCAGGCCAGTAGCTCCTCAATGGTGTCGTCCAGGTCCTTGAGAGATTGCAGATGCTGGTCCAGCTTGGACTCGCGGTTGATGGCCCATTGGCGCACCTCCTCCCAGCGCTGCTGAATGATCGACAGCCAGTTCTTGATGATCGGGATGGCATCGGGATAGGCCTTATTGATAATGTCCTCGGCGTACTCAAACGTCTCCGTCTTTTCACGCTCGCGCACTCGCAGGTCCTTCATGAACTCCATGTGGATGTCCATCATTTCGCGCGACACCTTCTCATCATCGGGGGCATTCTTGGCATACCGAAGCTTGTGCTCGGCGTGATCCAGCCAATCGAAGAGAGCCTGGACACGAGCATTCAGCTTCTCGGCATCCACAAGCGCCACTTGCAGGCGTTCGCCGCGCTTGGCGACGGCGCTCTTGACCTCTTCCCAAATCGATTGCATCTCGTCGAGCTGTCGTCCAACTTCGGGATTGTTGCCAGATCGCTCCAAGTCGCGTCCGGTCTTGAGTACGCCCTGCATTTGCGCAGCGCGCTTCTGCAGATCCTGCTCAATGTGCTTGTGGTGCTCGCAAAGACCTTGGACAGTCTCCAAGTCGCCGTGGACAGGTCCATTTTCGTTCAGGCGGCTCTTGGCCTTCTTCAGCCACTCGAGCAGCTCGCCCAGAGCATCGCTGAACTGTCCGGAAAGAAGCAGAGCCTCTTCCAGCTTTCGCTGACGGTCGATGCTCTTGGACCAGACTCGCGTCCACTGTTCCTTCAACTCGATCAACATTTTGTCCAGCACTGGGCGATCGCCCTTCGGGGCGCGCTCCAAGAGATTCTTTCCAGTTCGCATGGTGCCGTCGTAGACCGACTGCTTGGCGCCCAGCTGGCGATGCGTCTCCTTCAGCTTGCCAATGTACTTCTTGATCTTCTGCGGTTCCTTGGAGGCGGTGGCCTCCTCGATGATCTGATCCAGCACCTGTTCGGTCTCCTGCAGATACTGCATCATGCCGCTCCAGGCATCGTTGAACTCGCGGGCCTCTTTGTAACCATGATCCAGAGCACGGGTGCGTTCCGCCGCCTTGCTCACAACTCGTTCCCAGCGATGCTGGACGGACACCAGGAGATTCTTGATCAAGATCACATCCTGCTTCTGGCTGAAGTACTTGAGGTGTGTGCCCTTCTTGTCCAGCAGCAGCATGGCTTCGCGGTGGGTGCTAACATCCTTCTGCAGCACCTTGTGTTCCTCCATCTGGGCCTGAATGGTTTCCAGAACGCGTGAAACTGGCTCGGCGTTGGACAGCAGCTTTTCGGCCTGCGTAAGCCATTCGACGAAGGCTTGTAGGGTGTCATGGAATTCGGTGGCCTCCTTGAGTGCAATCTCCAGCTTGATCTTCTTATCGGATGCACGTGATACCACGGCATCCCAGCGTTGCTTCAGCGTACGGAGTGTGTGCTGCAAATTGCTGGACGACACCTTCATCTGGTTCTGGCGCTTGATGTACTCCTGACCCTGAGCCTGAATCGTCTCAACCTTGGGCCTGTTTTCATCCAACTCGTTGTAGACCTCCATGAAGCGTTCCAGCTGCTCGGTGGCAGTCTCGGGCAGTCCACCCACTGGTTTGCTGGCTCCAATCACTGCGTCGACATCGCCCAGCCAGCCCAGAATATCCTGGACCTCGGAGATGTAGCCGTGGGCCTCGCGAAGAGCCTCCTCCAGTTCGTGCTGCCGGTCGCTGGCCTTTTGCAGCAGCTGCTTCCACTCGTTGTTGAGTTTGCGCAGTTTCTCCTGCGTGGTGGATGCCTCCACGGAGCCCTTCTCGGTTTCAATCAACTGTCTGCCCGCATCGTTCAGTGTGTCAACTGAGTTCTGGTGGGCCTGAATGTCGTTGGCCAGCACCTTCAGTTTAGCCAACTCAACCTCGAGCAGTTGTGGGTCTCCGGGAATCTAGAAATTGTTAAAAATAATAATCTATTTTGTATTTAAAGAGATTTTTTTTGTCTCACCGGTTTCAGTTGGTCCAGCGTACTGTCGGTCTTGTTGATCCAGACCAACAGCTCGTTGAGCGCATGCTGGAATTGGCCCAAGTGCAGCAGGGCGTGCTCCAGTTGCTTCTGGCGCTCGACCATGCCGCGGAGTAGGGCTTCCCAACGTCGATTGACCACCGACAGGGGTTCGCGTATCGATGCAGCCTGCTCGGGTGAAGTGCGTTCCGTCAGTTCCACAGCTTGTCTGCAAGATTCAATAAGATATTAGACAGGGAAGTTGGAAAGTCTAAAGTGTGCCAAAAGCAAGCGCAAAAATAAGAGTAATTGGCAAGTGTTTTCTTTTTTTTTTGGCATTGCATGCAACAGAATAAACTGTGGCAATCAAAAAAACATGCTCAGCTCAGCTTCAGGTCAAAGATCCCAGCGAATCTCTGCATTAGCAGGCAGTAAACAGTAATCAATATTCACAACAACAACGAACGAACGAACGAATTAGACTTTTTTGAACTTTCTTGCCTTTTGAGACTTCTGCCAATTCACACGATGAGATAGACACCACGGCAATAGAATATTAAATTTGTAAATTTAAATACAGTCGATTGAAGCCCAAAGAATACCAAGAAGACCTTACCTGTTTAATGCTTCTACTTCAACCATATGCGGATCGACTTCATCCTTGAACGACTTGAGCTGCTCAATCTGTCGCTTGACGGCATCAATGTCCGAACCCACGGCACCCAGATGTGCGAACTTGTCCTCGGCCTTGGTCAAGAACTTGAGGAGGTTCTGCAGCGTCTCGTGGAACTCCATGGCCTTCTCCATGGCATCGATGAGGTTCTCCTCGCGCTTGGCATACAGCGCGGTGATGTTGTCCCATGCATTGTCCAGGTCCTCGATGTGCTTCTTCACCTCCGGCTTGTCGGGCTCACCGCACATGTTCATCAGGTTGCTGCCGTGGCGACGCACCTGCTCAACCTCCGGTTTGGTCTGATCGATCTCATGACGGATCTCCTGCAGCGCCACCTGCTGCTTCTTGATGTCCTGCGGCTGGGCCGCTGGCGGCTCCTGGCAGGATAGCGTCTCCTCCAGATCCTTGAGCGTCTTCATCACGCTGTTCAGTTGCTTCCAGAAGGGCTCCGCAACGCTGAGGATGTCGTCCAGCGAGCTGCCGCGCTTCTTGGTGGCATTCTGAACATCGTTCCACAGATTGTTCAGCTTCTCCAGCTTGGCCTTGATGTCACGCACAGCGGGATCGGATTTGTTGCCCGCCTTGGCGATCACATCGTTGGCCGCACGCTGCACGGCACTGAAGGCATCTTGACGCTTGTCCAGATCGTCCATTAAGGCGTCATTATCCTCGATCTGCTCGCGAATCTTCTGCGGCAGGGCGGACAGGGGATCCAGTTGATTGACCGAGTCCACGGTGTTGGCCAGAGCACGCAGCATGCCCTCCAGCTTGTCGGAGAACTGGCTGGACTCCTGCAGAGCACTCTCAAGCGCCTGCTGGCGTTCGCGCAGCTCCAAACGGAGGGCGGCATAGCGGGCATTGTCCGTGTCCAGAATCTCGTTGATCTTGGCGCTATCATCATCGGCCACCAGGGAACCCAGGGCCTCTCCCGTCTTGTTCAGCTTGTCCAAAAGAGGTTTGTGCTCCGCAATCGACTGGAGCAGACGCTCGTTCTTGTCCTGCTGCAGGGTGATTTGATCGGGACGCAGGGCAGGCATACTCAGGCGCGAGATCTGCTGCTCCATGTCGTCCAGCCAGGCGGTGAGTCCCTGATGAGAGTCGGCGAAATGCTCGGACAGGGGCAGAGCCTGCTCGAGAACGCCCAGACGTTCGCTGCACAGCTGAGCCACGGTATCGACGATCTCCTTGAGATCATCCAACTTCTCACGAAGCGTGGCCGTATTCTCGCTCTGCGGTGATTCACGCAGCACCTTTTTGGAGGCCGCCGTAACATCACGCACACGTCCCTTCTGGCTGGAAATGTCATCGTTGATCGAACGATGCTCCTGCAACTGGGCACGCACCAATTTGGGCTCCATCGCCGGCAGATCAGCCTCACGCAGAGTTGTATCCATTTCGCGGAACCACTCGAGCAGTTCATCGATGTCACCGGTCACCTCCTTGGCGCGTTGATTGCTCAGGTGCAGACGCTCCGCCTTGCGTTGAATCTGCTCGACAATCGAATCGAAGCGCCGGTTGTCCCGCGTCACAATGCTCTCGATGGTGGCGGCGCCTTCTCCTGGCGACAGCTGACACAGCTGTGGTCCCACCTGGTTGATGCTGTCCAGAATCGGACGCATATCGGCCAGTTCACCCTCCAGACGCAGCACGTCCGCCTGACGAGGCTCACTGGGCGCCAGAGCAGCCTCAGCACTCTGCATCCATTCCACCAAACGGTTGTGGGCTTCATGGAATTGTTGCACCAACGGCAGGGCATTCTGTGCACTCTTCAGCAGATCTCCACCGCGATTGGTCAAGTCGCCATAGCGACGCTGCAGGGAGTCCAACTTATCCTTCAACTGAATAGCCTCATCGTTGGAAATGTGCTTCATCAGCTCGGCTCCGGATTCCACAGTAGATTCCACATTCGAAGCATGACCGGCAATGTTCTCGTTCAGCTCAAGCAGATGATCCATCTGTTCGAGAAGCTTCTCAGCGTACACGGGAACGGACTTGAAGCGCTTCAGCTCCGCCTCCATGCTCTCCATCCAGGCGACGAGATCCTGATAGCTCAAGACCAAGTGACGCAATCCCTGGCGGGATTCGGCGAGCAGAGCTCCGATGTTGTCGCTGGCATCGACCAATCCAGTGTACCTCTCGGTGACACCGCGCACCTTCTCGCCCAGATTCACGGCCTCCTCGTCGCTGACCAAATGCATCAGCTGGGCGGCCACATCGGCGAGATCGGTAAAGTCGGGCTTCTTGCCCAGGATCTCGTCATGCAGGCGATCATGCTCGCGGATACGCTGCTGGATCTTCTCCTCGTCGGTCGGTATCAGTTCCATGGCCTTGACCGATCGCTCCGTATTGTCCAGCCAAATTTCCAGGGGACTGATCTTGTCGTGGAATCGCTTCGCCACCTCCATGGCTTCCTCCAAGTCCAACTCACGTTGCTCGGCTCCGTCGGTCAGCGCATCGAATCGCTTCATCAGATCGTTCAGCTGTTTCTCAATGGAGGCCCGTTCGGCAGGTTCACAGTGATTGGCCACCTCCTTGCCGAGATTGGCCAACGAGCCCATCGAGTTTTGGCGATCCAAAAGCATTTTCTTGAGGAACTTTTGCTCCTGCAGTTGGGCCTTCACCACCTTGTAATCGGAGCTTGGCGGCTTCTGATTGGCCACCATCTCCTCGGTGTCACTGAGCCATTTGGATAGACCAGCCAACGCTTCCTGGAACTTGCCAGATTGCAGCAGGGCCACATCCAAGCGACGATCGCGCTCGTTCATTCGTTCCTTTAGGTCGTTCCAGCGGTCGTTCAGCTTCTCCAGATCCTTCTCAATGGTCGAGGTGGAGACGCCACTGCCGGCCGAGCGCACTAAGTCCCTTCCAGCCACATTGACCTTGTCAACATTGATGGCCAGTGGTTCCACCTTGCGCTCCCTGAAGTTACGGAAGTCCTCCTGCTGGCGGCGAATCTGATCCAGCTCCGAACCCACAGGCTTCATGCGCTTAAACTCATCGCTTACGTCCTGAATGTCGTCCAGAGTCTGCGACTGGTTGTCGTAGAACTCGCGCAGGGCCTTCAAAGTGGCCTGGAGATTCTCCTCATGATCGCGCACTCGGTTATCCAGGCGACCCAGGGTCTTGCGCAGCGTGGAGATTTGCTCACGGGTCTGGGTGGTGTCGGCAGCGAATCCTGCATCAACCAAAACATCGGCGGCGCGTTCGGCATCCTCCAACCGTCCCACCAGACGATCCAACTTGTTCTGGATTTTGCCAACATCGTCCAATTGCACTTGCACAATCTTGATCTCACGACCGGGCGGTGAAAGCTTCTCAATCTCCGTCTCCAGATCATTCAGATCGATGCCCAAACTCTTCATTTGTTCATTGAACTGCGATACAGCAGTGGCTGCAGATTGCAGTTCACCACAGCGATCATCCAGGCGACCCTGCAGCTCAGTCATGCGATCGGCCAGGCCGTCGACTTCGCTGGTCAAATGGTCAGCATCTCCGCCAGCAGCCCTCGCCTCGGCGCTGATGTCCTTGGCCAAAGCCTTGAGCGACTGCAGCGGCTTGCTCAGGTTGGTGAGCTCCTCGCGAATGGCCTTAACGCGCTCCAGGAGCTTGGGATCCTTGGCAGCTCCACCCAGAGCATCGTGCGCCGCAAGGCGATCCTCGCAGCGACCCAACGAATGATCCAGGTTACGCAACTCATCATTGAAGTCACCCAAACGACGCGAGCAGTTCTCAATCTCATGGGCGCGGGCAATCAAATCGTTGTTCAGCCTCTCCCAGCGATCCCGAATGTCCTGCAGCTCCGCCTTGATGGGTTCCTTATCGATGTCACAGCTGGTGAGGAAGGTCTCGCCCAATCCCTTGGTGTTCTCGAACTCACCGGAATGCTTCCAGACCTCGCTACGGAAGGTCTGCAGATCACGCAGACGCGTCTCCAGCTTCGCCTTGGACAGCACGCCGGGCGTGAGATCGGTTAACTTATCCTCAGCGGTTCGCAGCCAGGCCAGGAATGCCTCCGAAGTCTGGGAGTACTTCTTGCAGTGCTCCATGCAAGTCTGCAGTCGTGTGTGACGATCGACCGCCTCGCGGCGCAGTTTCTCCCACTGCTGCTGGATGCGGTCCAAGTCGCGTTTCACTCCACGATCCTGCTGGCGATCGGATAGATCCTTGCCCTTGTTGATCAGCATGATAACCTCGTGCTCACGGGCCATAACCTCACGGTAAATCGGCTCATGAGTGTCGATCTGGTGCTGCAGTGTGGGCTTGTGGGCAGAAACCAGTAGCCTGTCTGTTAGGTTGGACAATTCTCCGCCTAGCCAACCCAGAGTCTTGGAGCAATTCTCGGCAAAGTGGCGGCCATCGCGTAGCGAAGCCTCCGTTTCTGCCTTCTTGGTGTCCAGCTTCTTCTGGAGCGCCAAATACTGCTTTTCCAGGGCGGCCACACGAGAGTTGACATCGGCACGCGAGGCGGGATCACCCAGAATGTTGCACAAAGTGGCGGCGGATTGCTCCACATCGGCCAGCAGCGGACGTTGACCCTCCAGCTGACGCTCTAGGTTTTCGATTTTGCGTAGATTCTCCTGGTGATCGCCATCCGTGGGCAGAGCGTCCAAATTGTCGCTGATGTTTTGCAGAGCCTCACGAAGACGATTGACGGCGGCATCAAATTCCTTGGAACTGTCGGCGGCACCGCCCAAACTGTTGGCGCGGTCGTCTAGCTTTCCCACCAGATCCTCCCACTTGCCCAGGATGTCCTTCAGCTTCACTTCAACGGCCTGGGCATCGGGAGTGCCGGCCAGATGGTCGACCACATCGTGTCCCAACTCCTGGAAGTGTTTCAGCTGCGGTTGCTGCGTACGGAACTCCTCGCGCAGCACTTGCACCTGCTGCACCTGGCTCTGAACCATCCGGGGATCGGAGGAGATTGGTCCCAGCACGGTTAGCATGCGCTCCTTGCTGTCCAGCCAGCTCTTCAGGTTGCCATGGGTATCCAAGAAGTCGCGCAGCTTCTCGGCGAAGGCAATACGGTTCTTGCAGATGTCGTTGAGATTCTTCCACTTCTCTTGGATGCTATCGTTCTCCTGGCGCAACTGCTCTGCGCCGGGTACATCGGACTTGCGTCGCAGGATGTCCTTCACCTGAGCCTTGGTGGTGTCCAGTAGGCTCTGCTTCTCGTACATGTCCTCCAGGATCTTACGCGCCTGCTTGATGCAGCGCTCGGCCTCGTCCTTGTTGGACACCGACTCCTTGGGCAGTTGGCGCTGAATACGCTCCAGGAACTGAGCCAGTCCCTTGAGGTTCTCGTACTGCTTGCGCAGCTCCTCGTTCAGGTTGTCCAGCTCGTGCTGGCGATCGTTCAGACGGACGCCAATTAGCCCGTAGCGATTGTTGATCTCGCTCAGCTGCTGCTGCACCGGAGACAGTTCAGAGAGCTGGAAACCGTCCTGGGAGGATCTGCGGCTACCGAATCCACTGGAACCAGTCGATAGTGGCGACAGGATGCCTCCCTTGGTGGGGCTGGGGCTTCTGGCGTCTCCGGACATGCGGCGCAGCGGGCTGGCCCGCTTGATCGGACTGTATGTCGAACGTTTGCGGGCAGGACTCTCGGGTCGGATGAGCGCATCGTACTGTGCTCCCACGTCGTTGATCTTGTCAATGGTTGGAGCATAATCGCGGTAATCCTTGCAGATGGGCTTCAGCTCATCGTGCTGCTGCTTAATCCTGTCCAGATCGATGGCCACCGGTGGCAGGCCGTTTACGCGTGCCTCCGTGCTGGCCAGCCAGGAGAGAACCTGATCCTTCAGACCCTCGTAGGCCAGCTGCTGCTCGGCCTTTTGCTTGGACAGCTTGGCGCGCTCATCGATGCTGATGTTAATGTTGCGCCATTGAGATTCCAGGGCCTTGATGCGATCGCGTAGTACTCCGGTGTCGGTGACATCGCGCAGGCTGATCAGATCCTTGCCATTGCGCACACAATCCTCGAACTGCGGTGCCAACTGATCCTTGTCGCGCGACAGCTCGTTCATGCGGCGTGCCAGCTCCTCGGTGGACAGCAGGCTGGTCTCACGGCTATCGAGAGCCTCCTGCAAACTGGCCATGCGCTGCTCCACGGTGCTGATCTCATCCAGATACCTGCTCAGCCGGTTGTAAACGTCGTCCAGGAACTCGCCACGCTTGTTGGCCTTCTCGTAGAGCTTCTCGAACTTCACGGTCACATCGTTTAGATTCGATTCTACCTTCTTGGCAATGCGGGCATTCGAAGCGCTGGCCAACAGATGCTTGGCCGAGATTTGAACGCTATCGATGCTGGCCTGGTGGGACTGAAGATCGGCCAACAGGACCTTGTGCTCGCGTATCTGCTCCTGCAGACGTTCCTTGATGAGCGACGCGGGGCGCAGGTTTAGCTTGAACTTGTCCTCGGCCTGGTTGACCCATCCCACAAGACTGTCCAGAGCATCCTGCACGCCCTGCGATTGCACCAGAGTCTTGTCCAGCGTTTTGCAGTGCTCGCCCAGGTTGTCCAACAGCTGCTGGTAGTTGTTCTTCAGATCGGCAATCGGTAGCTCCAACTGATTGATTTCCATGGGACTCAGTTGACCGCCCAGGCTGCGCAGCAGATTGTCAAGGGCCTGCTGGGCATTGTCCACCAAACGACCGCTGGAGAGCAGTTCGTTGTGCAGAGCCTTGGCCTCGTTCATCTGATCCTGCACTCCCTTCGGGTCGCCGGCAATCGGTTCGGAGATGATGCGCGAAACACGAGGATGCACGCTTCTCAGCCACTCGTTGGCCTTGTCCAGGGCATCCTGGTACTCACGCTGGCGTCCACCCAAGCCGGAGACACGATCCTGCAGAGCGTTGACACGGTTCAACAGATCCTTGTACTGGGCCGAAACCAGCGACACCTCCTGGCGGATTGGACTTTCGGCACTGGAGAGAGGCTCTACATGCGGCAAGCGTTCAGGCAGAGAAGTACGGAAGTCGTTGAGAATGGCCAAGAACTCCTTGCTCTCGTCCACAAACTTCTGGGCGGCCATTGTAATGAAACGCAGATCGGCCTGGTGGCCAATCACATCGCTCACAAACTCCCGAACCGAATCCGCCTGCGAGGGCAGACGAGTCAAGTCGGACAGCGAGCGCTCCTTGTCCTCCAGAGTGCGACGGGCGACTTGCAGCCAATCGGAAAAGACATCCAATTCGCTGCGCAGCTTTGTCAGCTCATCTCGACCAGCTTCCAGGCGGCGGAGCAAGCGCACAGTGCGATCGTTGACACGATCCACACGGGAACGCAACTCGCGGCCAGAGTTCTCCAAAGTGGTCACTTCAGGGGCAGACAAAACATCGCCGCCGGTTAGCACAATCTGGCGGATTTGCTCCAAACAAGTGGCTACTGGCCGCTGCTGCGACTCGATCTCATCCTTGATTTGCTGTAATACCAAGGATAAAATCATTTTAGATTTTGTAAAGCAAATTAATCTTAACTCCTCACCTTAAGGGCATTTATCTGGTTGCGCAATTCATCGATCTTTTCACGTGGTCCGCCGACACTTGAGATTTTCTGTTCCACAGTGGTGACCCATTTCAATAGATCGTTGACATTCTCTTCGCACATGTTGAACTTCTCGAATACTGCTTGCTATATGGACACATTATGGTTGGGGAGGGCAAAATAATAAAATCATTAGTATACTCGTAGGAATAGATAGAACATCTTAGCTCGATACGGGTCGCTATAAAAGGAGTCATAAAGAGATTTCAAAGATATCGTATATATTTAAATGTCGATAGGTAAATGGAACACAAAATATATATAAAACACAAACATAGCTGGAAAGAACACATTTGTTTGTTGAAGCGACTGCAAGGCAAAGACATAGGGCAAAGCGGTTTTATGGCAAGCATTAAAGTATTGTAGATTATAAAAGCAGTTAACATAAACCAACTTAAAATAATAAAGACATACAAACACCAAGGTTTACTACTTTGGGAAACGAGCACTACTGGGGACTAGCAACTACGAGTTGTTTTACTTTTAGTATGCACTAACTACGGTTTAATGGTTTTGTTTTTGGTTGGTTTTCGTTTTTTCTTTTGGGTTGTTTTTTTATTTTGGTTAGTGTTAATTTTGGTTTGGGTTTATTTTTTCAAATTAAAACTGCAAACGAAATAATGTATAAAAAATATATATATGCTGAAAATAGGTAGAAAATTGGTATTTAAACAAGATGTAAAAAATAATAACTGAAGCCTGGGCTATTGCATTAGGGCTGGAAAAGAAAATGTAACCTTTTTCCAAAACTAAGAGCAAAAGATAGAAACTAGTGATGTAAGGGGTATTCCGGGAATATCCCCTTACATTCAGTCAGACCAGTCTGTAACCGCTTTATAGACACAGCTAAAGATTGGTCTGATCCTACATAAAATACTGCCTAGGATAAAATGGGATAAATAGGGAAGAGAAAGAACAGGGAGTTTATGTGTGCAAGTTCGAATGGAAAAAGATTTCGTATGCTAGTGTTATAGACAAATCGAGAGAGTATATATAGAGTATTGAATATGGTGTCCTATTGCCGACGTCATTTATGCAGAGGAGTATGAGACATAACGCATTGGTCTTCGGCCTGACAAAGCGCGATCGATGGAGAACGATATTTATGGATGCATGTTTGTTGGATGTGATCTGTGATGTACTGGCTGACTCTGATTGCATTATTGTGGCAGCAGTCGCTTGAGAACTCAAAGCGATCTCAGCGAAAAATACGATATATAGAACATAAAACTGAATGCCATGCGCTGCAATATAAGAGATTTGCAAAATAATAATAAATATGATTTGCAAATTAAAATTGCTGAATATTTTTTTTTTTCATTGTAGAAAGCTCACATCTGGGTTAGTCTGATGATATAGAGTTTAAGATTTAAGTGGAGACAGAGATAGACAGAGAGAGATAGAGAGACAGCGCGCTGATCAAAATGTCTTAACAAAATCGAAATCATATAATCAATATCGATAGTAGAGTATATACCAAACATGCCACGAACAAAGCTTTAAATTTAGAATTAGAGTAATTTTTCTGTAATTTCTTGCAGTAATTCAGTAATTTGTTGCATTCGCAATTTCGGATTTCGGATTCGAGATCGGTGTTGATGGAAATGGAAAGAGTACCACGTCAGGTGTGGTCTGAGACTTACCCTCTGTTCTGCCGGCAGGAGCAGACCCTTCTCGGCGGCCTTCACCAGGTCGATGTTGTTCTTCGGCTCATTGGCGTCGGTCAGGCGGCCGTCGGTGGCATCGATCAGCCCGCTGCTGATGGCAGCCGCCAGTGGTACAATGACCCCAGTGCTGGGGTCACGGACCACCGTCGACGAGGGATCCACCAGACCAGAGCCAATGGCCTCGGCCAGCGTGAACTTGCGCCGCCGGATGATGTCGGGATGCATTTGGAAGGGATCAACTAGGCAGCCATTGGTGGGGTTGTACAGGTTGAAGGTAATGGCTTCTAGCAAACCGAATGAACGCTTGGGCGTGCAGATCAGGCCACTCTCGTAGGCCTCCTGCAGGGTGCAAAGCTTCGAGGTCTGAGTGTTGAGCACATTCGCCTTGTTCGCATCCATCAAGCCCTTTCGGAATGCCTCCGGCAAACGGACCAGCTTGGCCTTGGCCAGATCCTTGACCAGCGCCGAGTCGGGATCCACTACGCCCGCACTGGCGGCATCCTTGAGCGTGTATACCTTGGGCGTCTCGATGACAGTCAGCGAATCGTTTGCGCTGTCATCGCTGGCTACACTCGCTGGCACATAGGTCAGCATTCCGGTCAGCAAGTCCAGACACTTGGACTCGGCCGCCTGATCAAAGGTGATTGGCTCACGTACATAGACGATTAGAGTGGGATCAAAGGCAAAGTAGAGTGCCTTCGGATCAACGAGTGTTCGCTTGGTGGTGTCCACGAGACCGCGTTCCACGGCTACCGAGTACGGCAAGAACTTAAAGCTATCGAAGTCGCGAACAAGAGCGGTCTTGGGATCGATTATGTTGTAACGGATGGCCTCTTCGAGAGACATTTCACGCGGTTTGCTGATCACAACGCTAACGGGCGTTTGACCCAACAATTCGACGCTATCCTGGCGACGCACCACATCATTGCGATCGGTCAGTGGCCGGGTAATAGTCACCAGAATTCCGCGAGAGAGTGCCACGTCGTAGTTATAAGCTGACTTAGATTTCGGATCAAATACCCTGCCCTTGGACACGTCAATATCACCGTTCTCGATGGCCTCAGTTAGCGGCAGCTCTTTACCGGTAAGCTGGTTCTTAAACACAGTCGTCGCGGGATCTATAAAGCCCGAATGAATGGATTCGATAAGGTCGAGATATTCCCCGGTTGTCGGATCACAGAACTTTCCTGTTTCAGCGCGGTAAAGTTGCTGGCGCAGAACGAGTTCAAGGCTGAGAAGGCGACGATTAGAGACAATTAAACCCCTGGCCCTAGCTGCCTGCAGGTCCAACTGTTCGCCAACCAGATTGTAACAACCCCTAGAGTCGTCAATCAACTGCTCCTTGATGGCATTGGCCAGCCGAAGGTACTTGCCAGTCTCGTGGTGTTTGACCAAACTGGAGGATAAGCTAACCACATCCTCCACGCAGGCTTCATTGAGATTAAGCTTGCGATTCGTAACCGGATGCAGAACCTTGCGAGTGGGAACATCATAGAAGCTCATGGATAGTAGTTCGTACAGACCAAAGCCGGCGTTCTCAATGTCCACAATTAGGCCCAGGCTCAATGCCTCGCCCAGAGGGACAAAACTATTGCTTCCCGGTTCCCGGAAGACACCCTCCCTTCTATTGATTATGCCATTGCGACAGGTCTCGCTCAGCGTGAACATCTGCTCCGTCTGCTCATCAAAGTAGCACGGCAGGTGAGGATTAATCACGAAACTGCGCATGCTCTCGAGCAGAGTGATCTGGCGTCCAGTTCTCGGATCGCTCAGCTTGCCGGTCTTGTCGTCGAACAGTCCCTGATGAATTGCTCGCTGAATACTGATGGGCGCATTGACATCCATAAGGATTCCAATATCAAAGGCATGCTTGAGGGTCATGGTCTGGTTGTTATACAGTAGCTTCGAGTTCTGGGCATCAATGATGCCGTTGTCCTTGGCGTGCGTTAGGTTAAGCTGCTTGTAAAGACCCGTCTTGAAAGTCCCTGATCTGCACACTATGCTCGTCTAGTAAATTCGTGTTAAGGGCCTCGGCAAAGTTTAGTTTCTCGCCCGACTTGGGATCGACAAAGTGACCATCAACCTCATCGTAAACATTCTTAACCACTGCTTCAATGAGGCGTAGCGGTTTCTTGGCCTCAACTAGAACACCTCGATCAAAAGCTTCCTTGAAGTCAATGAAATTGTCATCGGCATCCCTCACCGTACCCTGTCTACTGTCCACGATTCCCGTCTCGGTGGCCACCCCAAATGGAATGATTTGGCCGGTACCCAAATTGACGACCGTCGAATCGGGATCGAGGATGCCCCTACGAATGGCACGTTCAGTTGTGAGCTTCTCGCGGGTCACCGTGTTGCTGAACTGACCCGTCTTGTGATCGTAAAGACCCCGGTAGACGGCATCCGGCAGGCTGCGCTTGCGCTTGGGCGGAATGAGAATGCGATTTTCGAGGGCTTCGTGGAGGGACAACTTGGTGGAAGCATACGGATTAATAACATATCCGGCAATCGGATCGAGATAACCCTTGGCTATCGCTTCGGTAATGGAAATAATCGATTCTGTCTTCGGGTCGAGCAGCACCAGCTCCTCGGGATTGATGAGCTTCTGAGCAATGGCGGACTTCAGGTCCAGCTGCTTGTCGTCGATAGTGAACTTGGCTGTCGAAGGATCGTAGAGACCACGCAGCAGACAATCAACCAGGGACAGTGGCTTCTTGGTACTAATAAGATAGCCCTTGACGAAGGCCTCGTCGAGACTGATGTTGGGCGAGCTTAGGGTGCCACGAACCGTGTCCAGAAGACCCACCTTGGCTGCCTCCTTGCCGGGCAAAATCTTGTCGTGATCGGCATCCTTGACCAACGTCGTCTCCAGCTCCACAAAGCCCATTTCAATGGCCTGCTGGAGGAGAATCTCCTCGCCGGTGACGGGATTGAGAACCTTGCCTGTGCTGGGCGTGTAGTATTCACGCTGCAGCAACTCCGGCAGGCTCCAGGTGACACTGTCGGTTTTCAGCAAACGCTGTTGCACACCCACATCGAACGGCACCAGTGTATTGTTCTTGTTGTCTTTTATTTGACCTGTGGCTGGCACCACCAAATCATCTTCGATGGCGCAATCCAGCTTGACTTCCTTCTTGGTGACAGTATCGACAATCAATGAGATCTTCGGGTCCACCAAACCAATTTCAATAGACTTTTGCACATCGACCTGGTTCTGACTTTCGGAGTCGAAGAGTTTGCCCGTCTCGGGGTCGTAGAGACCCTTGCGAACGGCGGCTTCCAGGGAAATAGGTTTGCGCGCACCGGGCACTAGGAAGCCCAACTGGAAGGCCAGCTCCATGGGGATTTCCTTCAGCGTTTGAATGTCTATCACCGTGCCAGCCTGCATGTCTACCACCCCCAACTCAATTGCCATACGCAGTGGAATCACCTCGCCGCTGACTGGGTCGCGCACCGATATCGACTGAATGTCCAGTTTGCCACTGTTGATGGCCTCAACAATGGAGCAAACCCGACCATCGTCAAGCACTACCTGTCCGGTCTGTGTGTCTATGGTTACGTTCTCAATGCCCGATGGTCGCTGTTCCTCGGGTTCTGCACGGATTATCCATTGCCGAGCAATGCATTCAAAGAATGGAATTTTCTTGCCTGTCTTGGGATCCACCATATGACCGGTGTGCCTGTCTAGAAGTGGACGTTCCAATGCTGCTGTAAGATTCTCGTATTTGCCGGTACTAAAGTTCTTAACCAAAATGGTCTCAGGGTTAAAGACATTCATCTCGAATACTAGCGCATGGAAGGAGATCTTCTGGCCAGTGCTGGGATCAATGAAGTACTGATTCTCGGTATCGTAGATGTTAAGGGCGTCCAGACTCTCGGGCGTCAGTTCGGTGTCGGCGTCCACCAGGTAAGAGACCTGTTGCAGCACAATCAGTTTGTCGTCTATTATCTGGACCTCGTCTAATGGACTCAGCTGCTCCTCCTTGAGCAGCGTGGAAACTGTCTGAGATTGCTTTTCTCCGTCTACTATCACTTGACACTCATCGGGGCTAATTAGTTTTTGGGAAATGGCATCGCCAATGGCCAGTGTTCTGGGCACTTCTCGTTTGATGGTGGTTTCTACCACTTCAGCCGGCAATTCTACGACGTCGCGTGCCTCATCTTCGGGAGTGCCCTCAACTGTTGATGACGATGTTGTGGTGGTAGTTGTGGTGGTGACCTTCGTGATTAATGTGGAAGTGCTGGTGGAGATTTCCTCCGTTGGCAGTTCTTCCACCGTCTGGGTCACCACTTGAGTTGTGGATTGTTCTGGCTTGAGTGTTTTTTCTGTCGTAAGGGCATCTACCAAAGCCTTGCCAGCAAGAACGGGTGCTCCCACAATTGCAAGAGCTCCCAACTTGGCAGCGTCCTTAACATTCTGCAATATGTTGCTGCCACTATCTGACGATGTTTTTGGGCCCTTCTCCTTCTCAATGAAATCAACCACTGATTGATGCTTATCGGAAACAGGCTGAGGTGGAACAATACGTTCAAGATCACCTGGGAGTTGTGGTTTCTCTTCAGTGATAATAGTTGTCTCTGTAATCACTTCTTTAGTTGTCTGAGATGTCTCAATAGGTTGAGCTGGAATAGATTGTATTGACTCCTGATCGGGCGATGTAGTGACTGGACTTTCTTCTGGCTTACTTTCATCACTGATAGTTTTCTGGGGAGCCTCAGTTGGTTTAGATGGGATAGGTTGAACATGCTCTTCTACAGGCGTTTCTATAGGCAGACCCTCCTCACTGCTTGAGGTTGTTGTGGTGGTTGTAATAGTCGTTGTTGTTACTGTAGATTCAGTGATAGTTGGCTCTTCGATAATGACAGTTTTTTCTTCATGCACTATTGTACTGGTGTGTTCAGGCCTAGAGGAATCATCGCCGATCTCACTTGGCTCATCCACTTTAGTGGGCTCTTGGACGGTTGGTTCCTTAACTTGCTCAACAATCTTTTCAGGCTTGCTAGTCACAGTACCTTCTTCGATCGTTGGTTGCTGTTCAATAGTTTTCACAGTTGTTGTAATAGTTGTTATAGTTTGAGAACTTGAAATAGGTTCAATTTCGGTCTCTGTGATCGTGGTATCTGTGACTTGATCAACAAATGGAGCAAGAGGTGCTGTGAAGGGCGGCTCGATCTCTGGATTCTCTTCCTTTTTACCAGTTCTTGGTTTGGGTTCTGGCTTTGTAGAGGGTTCAGGCTCTATTTCAGTAGTCGGTGCATGAGAAGTTTCCTTTTCTGCAATTTGTGCTGGCTCCGGAGTTTTCTCCTTTTTAACTGGCTCGGATGTCGAGTCCTTTTTAACTGCATTTGAGGGCACTTCTTTTTGTGCTGGTTCGGTAGTTCGATCCAATTCTTTCGGTTCCTTTGTTTTCTCTTCAGGAGTTAATTCTGTTGGAGATGATTTTTCTGGCACAGAAACTGTACCCTCAGTTGTCACTGTGGTAATAGTTTCAGTTACTTTAGAAACATGTGTTTTATCTTCTGTCACCTGCTCAGGTTTCTCGGTAACCACATCTACGATTGGACTCTCCTCAACAGCTATGCTCGTCGTTACATCTTCCACAACAACTGGCTCTTGATCTTCTCTTTCTGATGTTGTCTTTGAGGTAGTTACGGTTGTTACTGTTGTGGTGGTCAGTGTGGTTGTTGATTCCACTGCCAAAGGCCCCACTTCTTCAATGGGCTTCTCCTGCTGTTTTTCATTGGCTATGAAGTTGGCAGTTGTGGAGCTGATAAAGTTCTCCGTTTCGTTGAGGAGATTATCCACCTCACTTGGCACTTGTTGCGGCTGTGGCACATTGCGGCGCTCCTGATCAATAAAGCTGCTCTGAGGTTGCTCTGGTTTTACTGTGGTCTTGGCATCTTCCGTGGGAGATTTCACAGACTTGATGAGACTTTTAACGCCACTCACGATGGCTCCGCCGGCCAAAACAGGGGCTGCGATCACGCCCAGTGCCCCCAGTTTGGCGGCGTCCTTCACATTTTGCAAAGCCTTGCTTCCCTTCTTGTCGGTTTCACTCGAAGTTGGAATCGGTGTTTCCTTGGTGGATTGCGTTGTGCTGACTACTTGCAGTTCTTGTTTCCGTGTGTCCGAACCTACCACCACTGTTTGGGTGCGCTCCTCCACTACCACAGTTTGATCGCTGTTGGTGACTAGGGCAGCAACTGATTCCGGACTTTCTCCCGCCGCAGCCTTGGTCTCCCGAGTTGTGGATTCTTCACGCAGGATTCCAAGCTCCTTAGCCTCCTCCAAGCTGCATACTTCGCCGGTGCTAACGTTCTGCACTTCGTTGTTAGAAATGAGAACGTAACCCTGCATCAGCTCAATGGTTTTGGTGGTCACCGTGTGCACGGCACGCACTGTCTCCATTATTTCCGTTTTGGCAATGGGTTTCTGGGTAACCACAAAATCGGAGAGATTCTTAACCACCAAAACACCATTTTCCATGGCTTGTCGCAGAGGTACACCTTCCCCTGTGGACGGAACCGTCAGCGTTTGCGCAGCCACATCGATGAGATCTCGTTCCATGGCGGTTACCACCTCGATAGCATCTGGCTTGGGGGAGTAGGGAATCGACATGATGAAGTTCTCCTCGATGGCCTGCTTGATGGGAAGTGCTTTTCTCGTACTTGGGTGCAGTACCACACGCTTCGACGGTTCCACGAGGCTCTTTTCCACTGCCACTGGGAATATCATACCCACCGGCGGAATTTCCACCTTGGATTTCTGCTGATCGTAGCTTGGATCGAAAAGGCTAGCTTCAATGGCTTCGGTAATGTTAAGGGTTTTATTCTTATAGCTGAATGTGGAATCATCAGCGTTGACAATGCCCTTTGTGATCGCCTCCTCCAGGGTGCACTTCTCAGGCTTATGCAGTTTAGAATGCGGATCCAAAACCTCGCACACTATCGCCTCAGGGATGCTCAGCGGATAACCGCTCTCCGGATGGACAATAGTCTGTGTTTGCGGATCAATTAATCCCTGCGCTGCCAGCCGTGGCACTGATAAGCTCTTGGCCAACGGCATGAGAATGTGGTTGGTCTGTTCGGGATCGATAATCTTTTGTTCCACCGCTTGCCTGAAATTAAGCACTCGATTGCTTTGAGGATCAATGATCTGGCCACGACGTCCATCGATTAGTCCAGTGTTTAGAGCCTCACTTATGTTAACCACCTCACCTTTGGGATTGGTGAAGTTGCTCGTGTTTTCGAGTATCTCACAGGTCTCCTCATCGATGATTCCCTTGCGCAGAGCATCCTTAGGCTTCAGAATGACCTTGCGCATTCTCTGCAACACTACCACCTTCTCCTCAATTTTGGACGGTTCACTATCAAAGGATCGTCCGCGATGCAGTTGATCACGAGAGACAATACCTCTTTCGTAGGCCACCTCTACTGGTATTTGCTCACCAGTTCGCGGATCGGTGACGAAGCGAACGGTTCTTAGAGCTCCTTCGGCTGCAACCAATGGGGCACCCACCACACTCAACAGACCCAACTTGGTGGCTGTGATCAGATCCACAGGTTGTCCCTCCGAATCAAGTATAGTGGCGGTTTTGGGATCGTAAATAGAACGAGCTATCGCCTCAGTCACGGAAATGGTTTGCTTGGTTGTAGGATCCACAATCTTGATCAGCTGATCGTCAATCAGTCCTTGTCGGGCGGCATCGAAAATGTTTTCAGTCTCACCGGTCTGCGTGAAGATCACCAGCGCTGTAGACGGATCATAGATGGCGCCCGGGGCAATTTGTAGTGGCTCCGGAGAGGCGAGCTCTCGTTGGCAGGTGAGAACTTCTACAAACTTGGGCGGGGCATCCTTGAGGGGTGTGGAGACCTCCAGCACATCCGGAATATTGTTAACCCTAGTTATGCGAAGAATGGTCTTTTTGTTTGCACCTCTCGTGGCTGGAACGGTTTCCAGGATGATCTTAGTCTCGTCAATGGCACTGCGCATGCCCTGCACTTGCTTCCTGCTGTTGGTATAGTTGCCATAACTGTCCAGAATATCACGTTCGAAGGCTGACTGCACTGAAATCTTGTCGCCAGTGCTGGGATCAATTACCGAAACCGATAGATTGTTTATGATCTGCTTGTTGATGCACTCCTCAAAGTTGACCAAGCGATCTGTGCCCTGCACATGGAATACTCCCGAATCCGGGTTGAACAACCGCTGTTCGATGGCGTCCTTCAGGCGCCAACCTCCTGGAGGCAGCTCCATGATCTGCCGCTCCGTCACATTTTGTTCGATATAGCTGCTCTTCTCCATATTTATAAATTCGGAAACCACGCGCTGTGGCTTTACTAGCTCCTGGGAAATGGGAATCTCCACCGACTTCTCCACATACTTGGTGTGCTGTGTGTTTAGCTTGATGGGCTCCGCCTCTGGTATTATCTGCTTGGTCACAATGGTGATCGTGGACTTGGTTTTCTTCCTGTTAGTTGGCTCTGGTACCGTTTGGTTGCTGTCGGGAACTAACAGACCGTAGTTAAGGGCCTGCTGCACCGAGTAAATATTGCCCGTTTTGGGATCTTTAAAGAGCTGTCTTTCCTCGTCAATGAAACCCTGACGCACTGCCTCCGTGAAGGTGAGCAGCACAGTGTCGCCCGGCTCCTGGGAACCGGCCCTGATTGTCACATAACGATTAATCGTCCGCGTCACCGTCTCCGTGGTCAATGTGATGTTGAGCAAACTGCTCAAAAGAAGAGCACCCTCTGGAGTGATAAACTTTCGCTCGATGGCGGTATCCAGGGGCACTGTCTCCCCAGTCTTGGGATCCAACAGATATCCCGTCTTCGGGTCAATCAGATTGTGATAGACCAAATCAAAGACACTAAGCTCCTTGCCACTGGCATTTTGAACCCCGATGCCGCGGCTGAACATCTCGTAGACCTCTTGGCGCACAAGTCCCTCACTTACGGCCACCTCTAGTGGAACCAGACTATCCCTACCCGTCTCTAAGGCAAAGCCCGTACTCTTGCGACGCAAAAGGTCGCGCGACAGGGCCACATTAAAGCTAACATAGTCATTGCTTCTCAGATCCTTGAACCCGTCAATATCAAAGATCGATCGCTGCGCCACTGAACTGATGAGACCGCGTTCAACCGCCTCTGGAATGCTGATCAACTCTCCGGTCATGAAATCGCGGTACTTGCACTCCGCCGGCAGCACGATGCCGTCGGCAATGGCCTCCTGAAGGGTGACCAATTCACCCTTACGCTTGGTGATGCACTTGAGCAAATTACCGTCCAGCACACCGGCCTCGATGGCCTGCATGATGCTCAGCTTTTCGCGGCGCATGGGACTCGTGATCTGGGCCTGTTTGTCGAGCAGGTTCAGGTCGCAGATGTCCTTCAGCGTGTACGGTTTCACGATCAACTGACGGTTGCGCGCCTCCGCGAAGGTGAGCTTCTCCTTGGTCACCTCGTTGACGTACCGACCCGTTTTGGCATTCAGAACGCCCGACTGCAGTGCCTCCTGCAGCGTGATCTTCGTATCGCGTTTCGCGTCCACCACTTCGCGAACACTCGCGTCAATTAGCTGGTTGGCAATGGCCGAGTCCAGACGGAACTTGTCGCCGGAGTTGCGATCCGCTATCCAGCCGGCGCCATCGACCAGGCCATGCGCAATCGCATCGCTCAGGCACAGCGCATTCGACTTGATTGTCACCGACTCGTGCCGGATGAGGTAGCCGCGCTCGTAGGCCTCCGCCAGGCTGATCGTCTGGCCCGATTTGACGCGATACAGGCCCGTCTTGGTGTCCACACTCCCCGCGGTAATGGCGTCGGCAATGTTGCGCGGATTCTCGGGAGAACCCAGCTCCCCTGATGCCGTCTGCTCTACGGTGACCGTGCTGTTTACCTTGATCCGCTTCTCGGCCGTCTCGTAACCGGATTCCGCTTCGCTAATCTCGCGCTGAATAACCTCCAGGAGCGACAGCTCCCGTCCGCTGGCATCTCGCCCGGCTCCGGGCTTCAGCAATTGCCCGGCCAGCTGCGCATCAATCAGTCCCTGGTCGGCAGCTTGTTCCAGTGTGATGCGGCGGTCAGCCACCAACATCTCGCCGGTGCGCACGTCCAGGATGCGTAGCTGGATTGCCTCGCCGATGGTGAGAACGCGTCCCGTACGCGGATCGCGAATTCCAGCTATATCCAGCACGGAATGGCCACCCAGCTGTTGGGAGCGCTTGAGCGTACGGATTTCGTTGAACTGGATTTGAGACTGGGGCGGGTTAACCTGCTCATTAGCTGCATCCAAGCCATCGCTACTGTATACGCTCTTCGTAGAGCTTTTCGTTGTCTTCGTTGAGCTGAATCTGCAAGGTAGGGTTTAGAAATTCATTAGAAAGCACTCTTAATTTGCAAGTTAAGTTATTTGCAAGTTCTATTTAAATTATTCATAATGAAACAAATTCAAAAAGTAACAAAGAATTTTTATGACCTTGATAAGAAAAAATCTGATAAAATGAAGAAATTAAATGAGTTTCTCCGGAATAGTTGTTCTTTCTTTTGGATATAATTTAAACCACAAGTAATTCGAATGAAACCGTTGACTCACAAGTGTTTTTTTTATTTTGAAGTGTATTTCCGAAAAAAAACATTTAAATTATTTGAATGATTTAAATTCTGATATCTTTATTATTCAGACTACATTTTATTATGATTAAGAGTTCTGAAGAATGGGATATCGAAATATAAAGTTTATTTCAAATACTCACTGTGTGGTGCTGTAGGTGGTGGTGTAGAGATCTTCCGGGCGCGCAGCGTAGCCATCGCCAGTTGGCACGCTGCCCGCACTGAAGTCAACCCTAAAGGTCTTGAGCGGTTTCTGTAGACTCTCAGCGTATTGCTAAATGCCAAATGAAAGCGATTTCGGTTAGTAAAAGTTAACAACTGTGGACGCAAATTAAATGTAAATCGTTGGAGGCTTTGCGAGGGCGGCAGCAGGGAGGAGAAGGAGGAGGGGGGATAGATGGAGTATTACCTGAAACTCGAACGCAAAGTCGTAGTCACTTTCCTCTGCCACATGGACAGTCGTGGTTTGGGTTTTGGTTTTGGATTTGGTCGCCTTGCGACCCGATCTATGCTGAGGCATGTCTAAGGCTTTCGTTTGGTTCAGTTCGACAAAGTCATAGTCAGCAATTGGGGTTTGTTTCGTTGGCTTAGGGGCTTCTTGAATACACTGCGCGAGATTTAATTGTGACAAAAGCAATTAGAGATTTACGAGTTACGATTCTTAGATAGACGCGTCACTTTGAAGGTGCCCGTGGTGTCTCAAACTTGTGTGGAATGTTTATGGCATGCGTGAGAGTGATTTGATATGGCCGCGAGATAAAGTCACCGGCGATAAAGCAACTAAAAATAGGTAGAAAACAACTTTTCACGGTAGTCTTCGCTGGACTTTAAGTGTCCATCGGCCCTTAAGACTTTACTCTACTGCTCTTTTTGTTGATTCACTTAATCCATTCACTGGATTCGTTTCTCTGACCCACACACAGGGATACATTTTTATCAGCCCCGCACCGAAGCACACAAATCACACGAAACACATATAGTGAAGTAAAAAAATAAAAATAAATAAGCGCACACAAAAAGCAAAACCCAAAGCCTTCATGAAAATAGAAATGACGCTATATAGGGAGAAGGCCTCAATCGCTCTGCAAATATGTAGTGCAAACTCTCTCAAGAGGCCCCCGTACAAGAAATGGGTGATTACCCGGAAAGAGTTCTTTGATTGTGCCGGGATACAAAGTGGGTTTTATCGCAGGCATCTGGTAATTTCATTTTTTATCTTTATTGGAGACCGTGATTCAATGGGGAATGATTGACATATGGCGGCTGCAGGTCGTAGCCTCAACTTGAAATTGCATTGACGTCATATATAACTCTATAGGAGGGCTGCAGATGAAGTCATTGAATAGCGACTATACACAGTGATCAACGATTATGATTTGCATTTTCAAAATAAACAACTAATCGGTTGTTGCTGCTGCTGCTGCTAGTTTTCAAGGTTGCCCTAGAGTTGGTAAAAGCAACAAATAAATTATAATTAACAAAACATACACCGACACACATTTAGACAGTAAATACGAGTACGAGAACAATGATGTCATCAGAGAGGCGAATATTTGATTATAAATGAAACAAGTTTGTCGAGCGGGCGCCCGCACAACGAAAAATAAAGCTGAACTAAAGCAGAAAGTAATTCTGAATGATTTCTTGTTCGGGGCTTCAACAGCAAGCAGATTAAACTGATTCTTGGCCCTAATCGAGTGTGATGCGCTTGACACTGATAACATGACTAATACGCCACGTTGTGCCGGCTTTAAATGGGGGTAAGAGAGCACAAAAGAGACGGATGAAAAGCTCCGACGAGAGCGTGCAGCATGCAGACACTGCAATTGGACCTCGCCTATGCCGCATCACGAAAATAGGCGCCTCCCTTCTGGTTTTAGTGGAGGCAAAGACCCCGAAACGCTCGCTTTCATTCCTGATTTATCGTTAGAATGCCGCTAAAAATATATATAAAACCATTTGTATATATAGCAGGCAAACAGAGGCAGCTAGTTTAATCGATAAAATCACAAGTAAAGTTCGGGGCAGTCACAGTTAGAAGTGTTTCCCGGGCAACCGATCGCTCAATCCGAAGCATCGTATCATACCTAATGGATTGCACCTTATAGATTAGATTAGCGCCAGCCCTGACACTCCCGCGATCTCGGCTGTTGATAGGAAGTCATAATTCACGCTAGTCACTAAATAATGGACCAACGGAATTTCAACATTTTTGCCGGCTTTCATTTTAGTTTAACTGCAGTTTTTAATGGATTTATGCAACTTTTAATGACCCCAACTCGCTGAGTCACTACGAAATTTCAGTCATAGATTTTTATTTTTTTGCTTTGGCTGTGTGTGAGCTTTCATTAACACCAAACAGACTGCCGAAAATATCAACATTCCGATTCTTGCGACATGTTCAAGGCTATATTAATAATGTATTTCTTTTATTTTCGTTTTCACACTCTTCTATTCGCGTTTCGGTTATATTTGAGTTGTTGCGGAGCCCGCAAGTGACTTCATTTCGGGCTATAATAGAACTCGTTGCGTCAAAAATTGGAACACTGCTCGGCAGCGAATTTAAATTTCTTTTAACAAAATAAAAGCAAGCCAATGCGACACGGTTCGCATTTAATTGAAATTTAAGGCACCAAGACAACCACACGGACACACTTTCTATCCGGCCGTATATGTGACATCACGTCTGCCCATGCGGCGGATGAGCAATATTCTGTATTTCAGCTTTAGGAGTTGTTTGCCTTAATATTTATCACAACTATTCACTCATAATTACACGCTCGATTCGAATTCAAATTCCATAGACTTTGGTTGCCAACAAAACCTGAGGCTTTAAAGGTTTTGGCCTTTGTTAAATTTCGTTCACCGGCAGCAAGGCGGCACACACAGCGTATACGCGACGTTACACAACCACGTCGCTTTTGGTACTGAGTGGAGCAGCACTGCTGTGAGAATCAATTGGCCGAGTGAAGAGCGAGCTTCATGCGGTTCAGAGAGGCACAACAACCACCGGGAGCGAGCTTTCGAATGCCGGCTAGTTTTCGGTGAGCTGGTGAGCATTTCCCAGCTGTTGCGCCAAAATATTATAAACAATCCATTTACAATAGCCTTTGGAGAGGAAAATGGGGATGGGAACGGAGTACGCGGAGTTGGATCCACATTAAAGTCGAAAACAATACGCGGAAGTCGAGAATAGAGTATCAGAAGAAAAGATAAAACCAGTTTGTGCCGCCATCTAACATTCTAAATAACATATTTTGCTTTTCAGTCTAGTTAAGCCAGCGGAGCTTCTACGTCCGCCCCTGCTATGCATATCAAGTTGGCTAGAAGGCGAAGTGGTAATGGAGCAGTTATGATGTCACTCCAACGCCCGAGGCGAAGGCAACACCTTCGAAAAGCCTCAATAGATCCCAAAACAACAATTTCGGATTACTTTAAAAAAGAGATCAACTACATGGGAAAAAATACTATGTTAAATAGGTTCAATTCAGGTACAAAAACTAATATTAAAGGTTTAAACCTTTAACTTGGTTAACTTTTTAAATATTTAAAATTAGTTGCCTTTGGTTCTAAAAATGTTTACTTCGAACATGAGACCCTAAAGGAGTTTTGCACAGATTTAAAGTAGCTGAAGTTCAATAACTTTTGTCCGGCGATCCACTTATACATTATGGTAACTGCCTCCTAAATATTTACAAACAAATATTTTAACAGCAGGTAAGAAAAACGAGTTGGCTAATAAAATTCTTAATTGAATTTCTAAGATGGAAACAAACAAACAAATCCGAAACCAGTTGAACAAAAATAGTCAAATAGACAGGGGACAGGAATTTAAAAAATACCAAATACAAAAAAATAAAAGAGAAGTTGACAGATGGCGACAAAGACGTTGATGACGTCCCCTGGCATTGAAATTCGAGTATATAGGAACCCATACGAATGCTGGGCCTCATTAATATTTATAGAATTCGGCGTCGTCATTATTAATTTCGAATCTGTCTCCAATTTGCCTAATTGGCCAGGCACATGACAATACCAATCGTTTTTGTTTTCTTTCCATTGAAACTCCTGACATAATGCAATATTTATAAATACATTTGATACATTAAACAAATTACTGCATCAATTGACAGCAAAGACAAACGACGGTCACGATGACAGAAAAAAATAGTTTAAATTTTTATAAATTAATCAAGCCGTGATTTATGGCGGCAGCATTTCAAGCCATTGACGGAATGTTTGGTCAATTCGCATTTGACGTGATGTCATTATATGGCTGCTTCTGCCGACAGTGTGCACCGATTCTGAAGGTTAATTTAATAATAACAACCGCCGGGCACTCGGAGCGGTAACAGATACATTTACAGATAGACGACAGGCACAGATGGAGTAGGATACACAATGATACCAGAGGGAGAGAGAGACGTTCGTATTTGCATTTGAAAACTCGACTTGACTTGCGTTTGTAGAAAACGAAAGCACATAACTCGTTTGCTGAACTTGAACCCCGATTACGACACAATTGAATACTTTGAGCCTAACCCCAGCCAACGAGGTAAACAAACAAATAAATACCCCGCCTGACGTCACCTCGCAGAGATCCTTCCAAAGGGACAGGGTTTGGGATGAGGTCACCTAGTTTACTCACCAGACCATCGCTGCCATTCACTTCGATTGCAGTTTTTAGCCTCTGCGACAGTTGTTCCAGCAATCTGTCGTATTTCGTATTTAGGTTGTCCAGACGTTGGCTGTAATACTGTGTGGCGCCCGGATCGCTATCCGCTGGCCGGAGATCTCGGCGAGGCGGCGAAAACGAGGGACGGGCCTCGAGCAGCCAGTCCACGAAGCGTAGGCATTTGCTATCGTAGATCTACTCCCGAAATTCAAGGTCCCACGTTGACATTGTTGTTTCGTTGTTTGGTTAATTTCGGTTAAATGTTAGTAATTTGTTTGGGTTAAACAAATTCGGTTGGTTTTTCAGGAGGTTGGGGGGTTTATATATTTAGTGCTTTTTATTTTATTGATTAATCAATACGAAATTACTTTTTGGTAAAAATTGCTTTTTAATTGGTTTGTTTTGTAAGTTTTGTTGTTGGTTTGTTTGTTGTTTGTGTTGGTTTGTCAGGCTGTTTCTGTTCCACCCAAGTGTTATTAACGCACCTTTTACCCACAAGATAACTATGAACTGGAGCTCATCGGCCGGCCAGTGTTTTAAAAAGCATTAAATATATTATAGATTTGGTAGAGAAACAGCTAAGAGGTGTATAGAGCTACAAAGTGTTTTCTTTTCGGAATTGGAGGGATTTCGGTGTTCGGTCGAAATATCCACAATCATTCGACGCAATCATACTTAAAGAGTTGGCACTCGGCCACCAACTGACCTATCGCAACCCAACTTTTGCTAGGCCTAGGCCATCGAATCGCACGAAGAACGATCGAATTTCACATGTCTGGAAACAACGGCTGCCGGGTTACGATGGGTCAGCCATTCTCAGATCAATCACACAACAACAGGCATACTAATTTTTACCTTGGCTTCGCGTATAAGTCGTCCTCCAGCCACGTTGACATTTTCGATTTTTGGTTTTCGTTCGATTGCAGCTCCGAGCAGTTTCTATAGGTTTCGGGGGTATTTTTTTTGGTATTCGATATTTTCGGGATTTTTAATTTGTTTTGTTTTTTTATAATTTGATCATTTTGTGTTGGTTTATAGTGTGTGATAATATTTGATTGTTGTGTGAAAAAGTTTACAAGTTTTTTTTGGTTGGTAAAAATACAAAAAATTAGACAAAAATACATATACAATTAGTTTTCAACTACAAATACGATAATACTGGGTGAATAAATATAAAATGTAGGGGCCAATATCATTTGATACTGGCATATGTATAGGTGCGTCTTACAAATCTAAGGGGAAAAAGCTACAAACATAAAAGTAGTTAAGTTTCAAGACTACTACACAAATTTGGTATCAATTTACTGTGTGGTGGGACGAGGGGATATCACTACAGATTACTTATATGGGTATTGTTGTGTAGGTGGTCGACTTGGCCACATTTGGAGGTCTGTCTGCTGTGTATATATATGTACAAGTGGTATGCTTATGTGGGTGGTGGCCAAATACTGTTGTTGGATTAGACAAGAACTACTGCTATAATACGGACAAGGGACTGGAGATTGTTTCTCCTCTTTCGGGGACAAACAAATGGAAATGGAGTACAAAGACAAAAAACAAAATAGATTTACACACATAAAATATATATAGGTATATAGGAATACTGAGACATGTCCAACACCGGCAGGTTTTATCCCAACAACAAAAAAGAGGAGCAACAACTGTGGGAGCAAACTACTTTGGACGCGGGTCAATGGCTACTACGGTTTCCATTTATGGGCTAGGTATATATACTTTGTGTTTGGCCCGCGAAGGAGATCACTGGGGCAGCTAGAACTGAGCAATACTGTACAAGGATCTATAGACTATCGCTTATCGGAATGGAAATTTAGCTATTACAGGGGCATTGTCTCTGTACTCACGTCTAGTTCGTACGCCGAAGTGGCGGTGGGCATGGCAGACAGTCGCTCTGTGGTGCCATCCACCCATGATTCCTCCACTTGCACGCTCGACTGGAGATTCTTCATCAGCCCGATGGCCGTCTCGCATGAACGCATTCTGAAAAAGCAAAGTGACACGGTGTCAGAGTCAGGTTTATTTCCATCTGTGGCCGCCAATGAGGCGACAACCACGCACGGAGATAGCAGGTGGCGCCTGTGGACTTACCTTTCGCCCAATTGATTGCACACCGCACTCCAGCGCGTGTTGAGACGCTCCACGTTCGAATGCAGCCGCTTGAGGTCGCCCAGAACCTTGGTGGGCACACCCATGCGCCCCAGCTGATCGGCCGCATCGTTCATCTTGTCCATCTGCGGCTGCTGCTGTGTGATAATGTCCTGCATGTGGTTCAGTTGCTTGAACACCTGCTGCAGCCCCTCGGCCGTGGATGGCAGATCCTGGTGTCGGGCCAACTCGTTCTCCAGCTCGGAAATCACATGCTCATTGTCCTCCAGGCCAGCCAGCGAGGCTTCAAGCAGCTTCAGGCGGTCCTTGTGCAGACCGCTCTGGGTGTTCAGCTCCTTCCACAGCTCCAGCAGGTTGTCAAGGCTCTTCTTCAGCACGGGCGTCTTCAAGGCAATCGTGCGGAAAGTCTCCTGCAGATGCTTAAGTTCTGGCTCCAAAAGGTTGAGTCTGCGCTCGTAGTCCGAGTGAATCTCAAGCACATGTTCCAGCGAGTCCAGATCACGTGGCAACGGAGCCAGTATTATCTGATCTAGCTCACGGGCCATGTCCTCCAGTTTGCTCTTGATGGCAATGCATTCCTCGGTGAAGATGCGGCTGGCTTGCTTGCTCTCCTCTGTGAAGTACAAAAAAATCAGTTTATATTAGTGTGAAGTTCAAAGATTAGCTATCCTAGCCAGGATTACCCCTTGTTTTGACACTCGCAAAAAGCTTCTTCATAGTTGACTACACTTGACAAGACTAAGTCGCATTCTGGCTTCCTGATTGCCACTTGCCTCTGAGAAAACACGCCAGCGTTAAATTCAATTAGCCTCCATCAATTAAACGTTTTGGACAGCTGGCGAGCGCCGTCAATTGAAAAGCGAGGCAAAAACTATCTTACCCCTGGTGATACCGATACTCCCACAGAATACAACTCACCTTCGGCGCGCGCTCGCTTCTCGAACTCATCGAACAAGCGATTAACCTCGTCCATTTCGCGGCGCAAGCGTCGCAGCTGCGGATCGTTGGGGTCGCCCTCGCTCAGCAATTTGTCGGCATCGTCGTTGAGCGCCCGCCTGATGGCCGTGCGCTGCTCGGGACCCATGGCCAGGAACTGGTCAAAGTCCCAGCCCTTAACCACACGAATGGTGGCGAAAATCATGTTCTGCCGCAGGCGCAGATGCTTCTTCTGCCAGAGGGCCACGGACCGATCGAAGAGTCGCTTCAGACGCTCGGCGGCATCGATGGCCTCCTGGTCGGGAGGCGGAAGCAGCAGGCAGGCACCGGGTATCGGTCCCTCCTGACCCTTGGCCGTGCGCACGCGCCACTTCACGCGACCCGAGTTGTCCAGCAGCGTAACAGTCTCACCCTTTTCGATCTGCAGCTGACCCTGCTGCTTGTAGGCACAGATGGCCTGCACAGGTCCCTGACGATTCACCGGCTGGCGTCGCTTGTTCAGAGGCACCACGGTCTGAGCCCTTCGCTGCAGGGTGGCCACGGTCTCGCCAAAGGCATTCAGCTCCTCGCGCAAATCCTGCATTCCCCTTAGCAGCGTTTCACCCTGGTCCAGGCCAAAGTCAGACTGCGAAAACTTGCTGTTGAGTATTTCGTCACGCTTGGCCAGCCACTGCTCGGCATCCTTGATCTCGCCGAAGAACTGATGGTACTCTGTCGAGTGCTTCAGGTGAACCTCCAGGCAGAGGGTCAGCTGCAGCAGCCATGCCCACTGCTGTTGCAGGGCCGTCAGATGGGCTTCGATGCACTTCGATGCCGGATGCTGTTGGTTCAGCAAGGCCTCTCCACGATCCAGAATGGTGGCAAAGTGCATCTCACGCTTCTCCAGTTCGGACATGAGGTTCTAAAGGATATCAATAGTTAATTAGTTAACTATATTAAACATATTCGAGTAGTGCACTTGGTTGGTTGCTCTTTTTTGTTGTAATATAAATGTTCAATTGGTATTTACCTCGTCGCCATTACCAAATGCACGCTTGTAATCGGATAGAAGCACAACACATATATATAAAACTAGCTCTAAGAGGATTCTGCCCGGCGAACGCCATCACTTACCTCATAGTATCTGTGCACGGAGGGCAGATCGAGTTGCTTGTCCGCCCAGTCGCGCGTAATCTCCACCTGTTCCTTTTCGTTGAGCCACTGCAGCTCCGCCGAGGCCTGTCCCAAAAAGTGCTGCAGCGAGTCCAGATCGGACAGACGCTTCGTCGAGGTGCTGAGCAACTCGGCGTACACCTTCTGCAGCTGATTGAGACGCTGCTGGTACAGGGCCAGCTCATCGCCGGAAAACTTGGTCTGCTGACGCTCATCGTTGAGTATTTTCGTGTGGAACTGGTCAATGATCTTGTGCTCGTGCTGTTGACGATCCAGTTCCTCCTTGACCGATGGCAGGTCACTGCCATAGTCAGCGGCAAGCAATTGTTTCTGCAGGAGAGGAGCATCAATTAGTTTCTTTGAACGATGAGTTATCAGCACTCTGCACTTACCAACTTATTCTGGCACCATTCAATGTGCTCCTGCAGATCGCGGAAATGGGGATTCGTGTCGATCTGACGGGACTCGACCACCATGCGCGTTTGACGCGTCACCGTGGTCTCGTGGACGGGATACTTCAAACCGGACAGCTTCTGTACCAGGTTCGTGTGGAAATTGGTGCGCAATTGAGCCCAGCGCTGGTGCAATTTGTTGACCTTCTTATGCAGCTCGCTGACATGGGGATAGCGTCCCTCGTTGAGGACGTGGCAGTCCTGGTTCATGTCCTGTATGGGTTCCTCCAGGTGCCGAATCTCGGTCTCGAGCGCCTCGACAATGCTCTTGGCGTCCACGGGATGCAGTCGCTCGATGCGCCGACCCTCCTCACCGATGCGCGTCTCCAGATCGGTCAGCTTCTGATCCACATGCTTAATCTCGCGCTGAACCTTGTCGGCCAGTCGCTGCAGCCGCTCCAACCGCTCAATCTCCTGCTGGAGGATCACCTCGCGATCCTGCAGTGCCGTGTTCATTCGATACCAGGCTTTCTCGATGGCATCCGGCCGCAGTTCGGCCTCCACGTCCACTTCACCCACGGTTTCGAAGTACCGCTCCAGCTCCTTGTAAATCTGGATGAGCTTGGACTTCTCGCGCTTGCGGGCGCTCACCTCTTCGCTACGGAAATGCTGTAGATCGCTCAGCAGACGCTTCATCTCGATGAGAGTGGGCGGGAAGGAGCGCTCCTGCAGGTAGGCTGTCTTCTCGCGGCACCAGTAGATGAACTGCTGGGCCAGGTCGCGGTATTCGTGGACGCGACGCTGCGACTCCATGTCGAACAGTGGATGGATCGAGGGTGGCTCCGGGAACACATCGTACAGCGATGAGATGTACGTGATGAGGGACTTCTCATCCGGCTCGTTGGTGTCCACATCTAAAAAGGAAGGTTTTTATTTACCTAAATATTTATTTTTAATAACAGATTAGATAGTTGACTTACCCTCGGGATCCAGCAGACGCGTCACCCCGTACTCCTTCTCCACAATGTGGAAGGCCGTCTCCAGGCGCTCGCGTGGCCGATCGTTCCTTGCCTTTCGCCAGTCAAGCAAGTCCGGTCGGTTGCGGTGCACCAACGCCGAGAAAGCCAATCCATCTCGCCACGACGACGTGAAGTCGTTGACACGAACACCCGGATACCGAGCAGTCGAGCGACGCGCCCAGCGCAGCAGAGCCTCCCGAGCGGATACGTTGTCCTCCTTGCCCACAACAATATCGGAGATCTGTTATGGGAAATAAAGTTTAGAATTAAGTATAAACAGGTCAAGATCTATTAGATACGAAAATTGATTGTTGATTAGAGCAAAACTGTGGTAGCCTGTTTAAAATTATTTTAAAAGGACAAGAGAGACTATCTAATAATCGTCACTCAGCTAAAGGGAGTGCGAGGGAGATAGATATATAAACAATTTTAATTGCGTATAACTTTTAAATGAATGGTCCGATTTGAAAAATGCCTTCTACATTTCGATAGGTATAAATCAGTGGTGGCCAGCAGAGGCAGCGCGCAGGGCCCACGGGATAGGCAATTTCTCTGCCGCTGCTCTGCCAGCGCGCTGCAGTCTTTCGGCGCACATGTACACTGTCAAGCTGCCCTGTAGTTCGCCGGGACTGGTCCCGAACTAGCGAAATCGCCATACACCGGGGGCTTGGGACTAACTCCCGTTCATACCACCCGCAATGTAAATTTCTATCCACTTTTACCACGGCATGTCCTAGGCGGTGGTCATATGGCGAAGTTCTGCATTACCTTTCGCCACAAAAGGGACCGATAGGTGGTCCCATATTATACCCCTTTTCGCCACAAAAGGGGCCACCTATCGGACCATCTATCGGACCACCTATCGGTCCCTTTTGTGGCGAAAAGGGGTATTAAATGGGACCACCTATCGGTCCCTTTTGTGGCGAAAAGGGGTATGAAATGGGGTTGGAGTTTTCAATACCAAAAAAGCTGAATGCTATGAAACTTCCCAAGAAAAAATACTTTTTGTTAAATTAATTTATTGTATTATAAGTAGACAATTTTTCTATTTTTTTAATTTATATTTATTGAACAAATTCCTCTGCTGACACGTTTTTGTTGAGTGCCTACCTGTTGTTATTATTTGATTTGGATTTATTTTTAAAAAATCGTTTCTTTTGCAATTGAATTGCCTTGGGAATCAATATTTCTGCATTACCAGATTCTGAAACAATATCTAAAAAAAAATAAGATTTTAGTGTTTTAAAATAAAATGAGAACAGAAACTAACTTCGGCAAGCCAAAGTTTTAATACCCTTGCAGCTTTCAGGAATAAAATTGTGACTAGAAAAGCATAAATATAAAATAAGAATAACCAACAGTTAAATGTAGACTTATTTCACGCTTTTGAAACTTGAACCGACAGACAGACGGACATGGTTAAATGGATTTACTTTATAGGTTTGAAAAGGTCTCCTTTACTGCGTAACAAACTTCTGGACTAAATTATAATTCCCTCTGCATGGGTTTAAATACATATTTTTAGATTTTGTTATACAAGCCTGTTTACATCAAACCATGTTTTAAAAGTGAAAAGCAGAAAAAGACAGAAAGAAATAGGATTAAAGACAGATGGCATTCTAAGTAAATAGATTGAAATTGAATCAAGAAACTAAGTGTATTATAAAAAATACAGTTATAAAAATAACCTACCGTGAAGTGCACCATAGAAATGTGTAAAGGAGTTTACGGCTTTTTTTCCAGAAAGGCCTTTAACATTAAATCCCACAACAAACTCATCCGTGAGAACCCTCCGCAAGTTTTTTAAACCCCCTTCTGGCAGCAACAACGATCTCATGGCTTTAATCTAAAAAGGAAGAAAATTTCACTAAAATATTTATATCAAAAAAAAATACTTGCGTAGGAGTCCTTTGCACCACTATTTCTCCTTCTCCTCTTTAACAAATCGACGAATGTGCCTGTTGCTGTTCATGGCTAAATATCACACATTATTAGGTATTTCACTTGCACAACTCATGGTGTTACTCACCTGTTGACGACACCTCAGATCACAACAAAATATAACACTTTAAATGTACAATAAGACAAATTAAATACAATGTTTACAAAATTTGGCGCAAACGTTGGGTTAGTGATGGTAGCGGGGTTTGGTAGTTATGGCAATCCGTTACGATTAATATTGCGACTACCGATATCGTATAATCGATGGCAATAAAAACATTCGCTAATATTATTTTTGTTTAGTTCTATGTATATAAAATTAGGTACTTATATATTTATTTTATATATCTAAGCACCAATAAAATCCGCTTGTTATGGAAGGAAAGAAAACGTTTTGCTACTGAACCACCGCTATTGTTAAAAATATTGCTGCAGCTAAATTGCTCATTATTAAATATAAATAATATAAAAAGAAATAAAATTCTATCATTTATTATTTTATTTTATCTCATTATTAAGTTTTTATTTTATTATTTTAACTTTTTTTAAATTTGTTTTTTATATAAACAAAATAAAGTTGTATTCGTTATTAAAATCATTATAAACTTGTCAAAAATTTCATTTTACAATTTTTTTAACTCATATAGAAGTGTTCACATAGAAGTGTTCACTCTCCGATAACTCTTTTGCTCTTGTAAAAAATACACACGCCACCTATTGACCCTTAAGGGACCACTGGGTGGTCGATCCCTTTTCTACCCCGAAAGTGCCACCGGCCCCCTTGAGAACTACAGGGATGAAAAACGTCACGCACACAGGCAAATTCGTGCATGCTCGCACTCACACAAAAGCAATGCATTCTTTTATTGTATGTGTGCTGCTTCTGCTGGCCACCACTGGTATAAATATACACAACAACATTGCATTTATACTTCTCGGAAATCTTTAAAGATGTGCGCGCAGCACACATTTTAAAATCGTTAGTGGGCGATTGATCTAGTGGTCTACATTCTTGATATCCATACTTCAGAGCCCCTTCTCTTTACCTCTCTGCGCTGCGTGGACGACTCTATAGCAGGCGGCAGGGCACGACGGTACTCCAACTCCGAGCTGCGAATCATTTTCGCTGGAGGCAACAAATCCTCGGCGGGCTGAGCATTCTCCTCCGCCCGACTCAAAGTGGTCACTTTGCGGACAATATGCGTGGTAACACGTCGATGGCCGTTCGGAGCCCTTTGCGATGTCTTCGTGCTCTCCACACTGGAGCCCAACACCTCGGTGGAAATGCGTTTATTCCGCGTCACCTGTTGGTAATGGGCGGAGGAAGAAGTACTTCCACTCGCCGGGACCAATGCCCGAGTCTCAGAGACACGACGCGAATTGCCAGCGGGATCTTGGAAGGTCACTGTGCGCTCAAAGTTGGTTCGTTCATGGGGAACGCTTCCCAGGGGAGATACCCCTGGATAATCCGTGATCACCGCTTCCACAGTGCGCTCCCTTTTCGTCTCATGGCGATAACGCAAGCTGGAGTCATCGATATTGGTGGTAATCGCCGGTCCTCGGGAGGAGTGGACCACTTCGGATCCGCTGCTCAGGACATCGCCCCTGCCGCCATTCGTTTGCCGCACAAGTTGTTGCGTGCGCTTCAGCGTCGATTGCGAGCTGGAGTGCATGTTATCGCAGTAATCGGACTGCTATCGCAGTTATCGCTGCGTTATCGTTAGTTTCGTTTGTTTCACTTTCTTTCGTTTCGTTTTTGGGTTCGTAGGAAAATCTTTTCGTTTTGCCGCTTTTGCTTTTACACCGATTTTCGTAAATCTGCGTGATTTTCAAAATAAGCTTAATTATTTGCCGGTCCTCACAATTTGAGTTTAATTAAGCCAAACCGAAAGCCAAAGTCGAATCCCAAACCGGCACCGGATGTCTTGTTCTATGTGGCATTGCCCTAGACTTTGTCAGAAACCCCATCGAGAACTGAAGCGGGGTAAAATTAACCGAACGGAGCCAAAGTGGAGTGAAGCATATGGAGGGGCCCATTGTTGTTGCGAATTATTTATTGTGTTGTACGTACACATAATTATCCCAACTGTCTGTCTGTCTTGCTCTTGGCGCTATTTGTTGCTTCTTTTCCTGCCGTCATTTTTTTCTGTTTGTTTTTTTTTTTTTTTTTGCAAAAAGTACACACATATTCGCGGCAAAAAGTTAATTTACACCGCTGATTCATGGGCAGAGATTCATTAGTTTCGGAACACGCAAGCCTATTTTGCATAGGAAAATGGAGAGAGGAACGATATGGTAGTGAAACAGGGAATACCGTTTGTTTTAGGGCTTATTTTCACATTTGGAAGTGAATGAAACTTTGAATGAAAAATATTAATTGAAATTATAGCTAAACAATTTAAATTGTTCATGCTTTTGAATCCCTAATTCCTGGAAATCAATATTTAAAGAAGAATGTTATCGCAAGGGAACAGAAATCAAAAAACCCCATATACCCAGAAATTATGAAGTGAAGAACAATATCGAGATAAAGTAACCATACGATTGAAGCATAGCTAATACTGAGAAAAGTATTTGCTCAAAATAAAAATTATACAAGAGAGAACGCTATAGTCGGGTTGGTGTCCCGACTATCTAATACCCGTCACTCAGCTACAGGGAGTGCGAACGCTGTGTCGGGTTGGTGTCCCGACTAATAATCGTAACTCAGCTAAAGGGAGTGCGAGGGAGATAGATATATGTTGATAATTTATAAAGCGTATAACTTTTTAATGAATGGTCCGATTTGAAAAAGTCTTCTACATTTCGATAGGTATAAATATACACAACAAAATTGCATTTATACTTCTCGGAAATCTTTAAAGATGTGGGCGCAGGACCCATTTTAAAATCGTTAGTGGGCGATTGTGGGCGTTAGAGGGGGCGTGGCGCTCGGCTAAAATAAACTTGCGCTGCGTAGGAAGCCAAAGAATATGTGGGGAAATCTCAACCTTCTAGCTTTTGTAGTTTCTGAGATCTCAGCGTTCATACAGACGGACAGACGGACAGACGGACAGACGGACAGACGGACAGACGGACATGGCTAGATCGACTCGGCTAGTGACCCTGATCAAGAATATATATACTTTATGGGGTCGGAAACGCTTCCTTCTAGCTGTTACATACTTTTGCACGAATCTAGTATACCCTTTTACTCTAGGAGTAACGGGTATAAAAATGCTACGGAAGTGGAAAAGGAATGTCTTTTTAATCTGACGTTATAGGGTTAAAAAAAAACAAAATATGTACATATAGCTAATATTTAAAGTCAATATAATCAAAACAAACATCAGTAGCTCATTAAGTGAAGGGGCAAATCATTTGCAAGTGTGATAAATTTAGAGAGGAACAATGAAACAATGGAACAGAGAATTGGAAAATGCACTCAGCTCACTTAAGGGCAGAAAGTAAACAGGAAGTCAGCGAAAGCTTTCAAATATTTTCTTGTCCCTATATAATTAATAGACAAACTGGTTACACCTCAACTTGTAATAGAAATCTCTAGATTGATCTATTTGGCTCAAGATCAATATAAAACAGTTGGCTTGACCAAAAGAACCGCCCACCCAACGAAAAGCACGACAAATGTTTGTTTTGCATTGGTATCCATGGAGCTCGGACTTTAACTGGAGGTTGAAGCTGCGTTTTACGCCTGCGCAGCACCGTGACAAACAAATACACATATCCATTCACATCCCCACACAACCAAAAATGCTAATTGCAGCGTTTTAAGCATACTATAAACGATCTGCGTTGTTTTTATGTGATTATGCCAAAAACAAAAATGATAGAGAAATAAGAAAAATACCTGGGGCCGCCGAACAGCTCGAACAAAGTGTCTGTGGAGGCGTCTCTAAGAGGCGTTAATGGCTTGACATTCTCAATGAGTCTTTTGAAAGGCGGCAGAGCTCCATCTGGTCGTTGCCTATTTGGGCTTTTTGGCTACTGTTCAAAGTTTGGAGATGCTTGATTTTTAGAGGTGCCTGCCAATTTGCATTGCCTAACGACAAGTACATTAATTCACAATATTATTAGAACTCATGGCTATAACTTGCAATTAATAATGCAACAAAAAGAAAAACTTTAAACATATATTAACCTAGCTTAATTAGTAAATTATCTTGTTTTGGGACATCAAATACAATTAGAAGAACACAAGAAACAGCAAATGATAAACTAAATCACTTAATAAGATCCTAAGAAAACGAATTGCGATAGGTGATACATTATTTCAGAATCAATAACAAGGAATATTAATGTTACTAATGAGATATATAAATCAATGCTAATTAAGGACGCAACTGAACAAAACAAACAATAAACCATCGTTGGCAATTGCGAAACCCCCTAAAAATCTGTCCCAAAATTTTCGGATTTGAGGGATTTGTGAGCACATTAATTGAAATTAATAAAGCATCCTCAGACAATGGGACAAATAATAAACCACTTGAGGAGAGCGTTGAAAATTGCAAAATAAAATACGAGGCACACACACAAAAAGCATTTTTGAACGCTACGAAGTGGAACAGCGTCGAATAAACCGAGTCCGAAACGAGATGGAATCGGGGGACCCAGAGATCAGCAGGGGTGTACGTCATTATTTTACAGCTACTTGACTCCATTCGCGGGGCATTTTGTTTGCAAACAAACGAACGAATTGAAACAAACCGTGCCGCACTTTGGTAATAAACTCGTCATAAAAAATAATTGAAATGGAACTCAATTGCGAGAGATTGAAATCAATTGAAATTGGCGGCATTTAATAAATCAGAAACGAGAGCGATTATAATGCAAGATTCTGACATCATGGGGCAGTCGAATTAATTGATTGAAATCACTTTGGGGTGCAGGGGCTGCGACTTTGGCTTAAATAGAGTTTTCTGGACACACACACTTTATAGAGATTTTCCGGGGTTTTAAAGCGCGTTCCCGTATGTTTTTTGGAATTCCGGGGTTCCAGAGGAACGCATGCGATTACTAGCGAATATTTTATGGAGAGGGATCGTGAAATGGAATCGGCGGCGTCTCGACAACAACTAAAAGCGATCGGGCCAAGTTAAAACGCTTAAAGTGTGGCTTTGGCCAGGTGTTGACGCCTCTGCCGGCGTCGACGCCGCCGTGCTGCTTTGTTTTTTTTTTGTAACAGGTAAGAATAGAAGCGAAGCAGAAACAAATTGGAATTGGCACACGGCGATCGCGGTCTGCGTTGGCGTTGACGTCAACGTCGGCGTCAAAAGTCGGGCTTTATAATATGGAATATATGGAATCGCGATCGTGCTGACAGCTGTGCGTGTGTGGTTGTGTCGGTGGGGCACTGCCTCTGCCTCGGTTTCTGCCTTCCCCGTTATGGCCTGCTGGCTTCGCTGCCGCCGTCGCTGCTTCTGCCGCCGTTCCACCTGATTCTGCCACCACTGCGGACCGCTTTGATGACGTATTTGCAACCAACACCTGTGTTTTTTGCCACCGCTGCCATGGTAACGTGAACGCCGACGCCAGCAGAGACGCCCACGCCGACGCATTTGTAACGCAGCAGCAACAACAACAACATAATAAGGGCAGCGATGCTTAAAAATACCCTTACAAGCCCATAATTCCAATAGGTTCCTAGGTCACCATTTTATTTGAAACACCTACGATGAAAAATTAATATTTTTCCCTCTTTGTAACGTTTACGATGATAGATAAACTTTTGCCAGGCCCATCTTGACTCAATTATTTGACTTCAGAAAAATAATTAATTAATATTTGTTATCTATTAAATATAATAATCCAAACTTTTTATATCGACATATTACTATTTCCGATCTGAAAAAAATAGTTGCAAGTTTTGGATATTCCCATTTCTATCTAAATAGATAAATATATTGTTCAATATACATATAAATGGGAAAATAGGTTCCTGTCTTGTATAAGCTTTGCTAAGTTCATATAAAGGAACATCATTACATTGCTTAGATCATCCTCCCAAGGGTATTCAAATACCATCCCAAGAAAGCGCTTGGCGAAACGAAGAGAGAGGGTAAGTTACACAACACCGGCTCGAGTTATCCCTCTCTCTTTCGCAATTTTGTTGTGGTAGCCGCCACTCATTCAGTGGTTCAGCAGCCCCAAACACGGTAGGTAATACGTCATTCCAGGTACTCAAAAGTACAAGAACACCAAGCCAAAGAATAATTATAATAATGAAAAAAAGACGGAGAACTTGATTATGGAAAAGAACAACGCAAAAGGCAAAATATAAATGAAGAAGTAGACGAAAGACGGTAGTGGATTGTGAACAACGAGTTTTGATTAAAAACTTAACAGACTAAAAATAGTAAGAGACCGAAGAAAACAGCGATTTACTATGACCCCATGGTATTTTTGGGTCTTCGCAGTTTGAAATTAAATCTCATAACACATCACGACCAACTCATTACATTGCAGAGTGACCCAAAAACCCGGCAAAACAGAAATGACCAATGATGTTAACAGGTTTAACTCACAGCAAATGGAAAATGGAAATCAGAAATAAGCAAAAGGTAGGGAAAGAAATCCCTTGGAGAAAATTTGAAGATTGTGGCCCTAGTTGTTTTTAAGCAAATTAAATCAGTTCAAGTGTAAACAATTATTTTCCATTTAAATAAAAAAATGTAATATCATTAATTGCAAATGTAGAAACTTTTTAAATATTACACAATTTTATAAAATTACATACATTTATTTCCAAAGTGTATGCTTTTCTAAGCCCGAAGAAAAGGGAAGCAATAATTTATAATTAATGCAAATTAGCAGCAATCACCGACACGTTGCATGCATTTCCCCCATCAATCTCCGACCAAATATGGTAACTCAGAACTATTGCAATAATCTTGCACTTAGAAAGTCCAACGGATTCAAGTGGGTGTCGAAATCCATAAGCGAGGCTGAGCTAACCAGACGGAAGTGCCTTTATTTCGTGTGTGCTCAAGATACAAACACTCGACACACTCGCTCGCGTACTGCCAACATGGGTTAATTAGCATGTTACATGCCTTAAGTCCCCCATGGCGATGCCCTATATGGAGTAAAAGGCAGTGACTGCGGACTGTGACTACTACAGCTGTTGGGCCGGCATATTTGCTGGCCATATTTATGTATGGGTAATAAATACTCTTAACTGCTGTCAGTTGTTTTTCGATTCACACACACTCTCGAATGGCTATAGTCAATACAGGTAGACCAGGTAGACCCCACACCTTGAGTTCCCCGAGCCTCTGAAACTGAACTGTCCAACTGAATTGCAAATCTAATTAGCCGCTGCAGGAATGCAGTGCGGGGAGTGGGGTGGCATTTACGGGTAAGTACTCGTATTGGGCATATGCTTATTAATACTGATATGATGCAACCCAGTAAACAAATGCGGCTTATGTTTGGCACTATTCGTAATTTGAGCAGTGTTTTGCACTTGAAATGTGTTGTTTGTGGTGGGAAAACAAAGCGGAATCAGTAGCTAATTTTCCATCCCCTTGGTTAACACCATACACAGAAAATATAGATAGTAATATTCTATCTATTCCTCAGCTGAATCAGTGGTTCTATACATCGATATATCCATATCACATTTATTTATAGAAATATTAACATTTTCTTCTCTGTGCACCTCCATGTTCTAGTTATTACCCTAAACCCCGAACGGAACTTGTGGGTGAGTAGTGAGGTGTAGGTGTCGCACCAAATACGTCTGACATTCCTAGGGATATCACCGCGTGGGCTCATCATCATTGGCAAATCAAATAATTTACCTAGCCGCTTGTAATTCAATATATACACTTGAAATTTATACAGCGGTAAGATTTCAAATTAATTACAAGTCATTTGAACAAACTTACACTGGTAAACGCTTCTCGAGTGCAAACAACTATTCTAGACAGCTCTCTTGACATTTGCATACCAAACAGAAAGAGATGGCGATTAATAATTAGAAAGAGAGAGGCCGAAAGGCAGCTTGTTTCCTTATTTGACCAAAAGCCAGCTATCGATTTATTAATGAAACATTGTTTGTTTTTTTATCTGCGATGGCTATAGATAGATTTCGAGATCGAGATCGAACCCACACACGAAAGCTATTCAAAAATTCAGTCATCAATGTCATAAATTAAGACGAATAAGTGCATCTGTTGTTGTTGTTGTTGGTATTGCTAACATTCTGTTTTGGCCATTTGATACACTCCACAGCCAGCTGGTCGAGAGTTCGAGTTCGCCGCCTGCGTTGAAGTCTTTCGTTTGGCAAGAACCGAGGATTGCTGATGTCATGGGCAGGGCAGTAAAGAAAAAAAACACCTTTATTCCACCTGATTTTTTTCAAGTAATTCTCGTTATTGTCTTTTGCTGTTCCCCAACTGGCATTGACTTTATTGTAACACATACCTTGGCGTATTATAATAAATCAAATGCCACACACAAAAATTCAAAAAATAAGACAAAAAAAATAATAATAATAATCTTTTCAAATTCGAACGATGACGTGAGAATGTCTGGGTTTTCGGTGGCTCTCTAGCTATTGTATTTGGGCTTTCTTTCGAGGCGTTATTTTTTCATGCCTGGGCGCCCTGACTAAACATTTCGTATTGGTCATGGCATTTTGGCCAAATATAAATGCCCGGCACACATATCCGCACCTACTACCCAACTAACAACTAACGAGCAATGAAAAATGGCAAATTGCTGGGGAAATTATCTGATGCTCATAATGAAAACGTTTGTCAGAACAATTCGACACAGATCTCGGCGATTTTGCACACACCGTCGCCTTGGGGGTCGCGGCAATTTATTATTTAAATTTAGCAATTGAGCGGCTTAGGAAGTTTACGTGGCAGCCGCAAGGTTAGCCAAAGATTTGTGGCTCTCCAAATGGCGCCAGAGGTGTACTAAATGGTACTTGAAAGCAGTAAATCGCGTATAACGTTAGCGGGATAAAAATAACTATTTGATGTATAAAAAAAATACTCCTTTAAATATGTTTATAAGCTAAAAGCCTTTTACAGCAACTTAACTTCTTGACAGAGTCGTCAATCAAATATTATCGAATCAATATTGGGAAAATATCGAAAATATCGACCATTTTCAAATTTAGTTTGAAATACTAAGTTTCGTTCATTAAAGCAAAATAAATATTTTAATTAGTTGAAAAATATTCAATGTTTGAGTGAATATTCGTAAATGAAGTTGTAATAATTAATATTTATTGCCAAACGATCATCGTTTAGGCTTATTTTTACTTGAAACTAACTAGAGCGTGCTAAAACCTGTAATAATTAAGCTAAAAGCGCCATAAATATGCACTAATATGTACGGAGATCATTGGAACCACGTGTAAAGCACTAGAAAATACTATAAAGCTCAACAGGTTTTATGTCTCAAGTAAAGGTAAAGTCTCTGATTGATTGTATTGTTTTTGCTGTTGTTGAGGGTGGTTCATAGATCAAATCGATTCGCTTGCACAATTTATAACTTAATTACAAGCTAAGCAGCGTTACAAACTGCCAGCGGCTGCTGTTTAGAAAATTGCTCCGGCGCTTATTATTATTTTGTTCGCCTTTAACAATAGGTATATATTTTTCTCGACGCTGACCCACAAAAACACCGATCATTAATTGAATATACAAAACAGCTTCGCTTTTCGCACACGAATGGAAATAGGAATTATGTCATAATTGCAAGATGTCGATTGCGATTTGGATTGAGATTTGGATAACTTAAAATTAAATGAGACCGAGAACGCTGTAAGGCAAATCATTTGGTATGCAAAACAAGAAATATCCTTTTAAGTCGAACGTATTGAATTAGCATATTTTGTTGCGAGCCAGTTCGAATGACATCAGACATGAGACACCCGCGACAGCACCGACAATATACATAAATCCTTGGCGGCGGCAGGCAGACAAGAAATAATGAATAAGACAGAAAACAGTAAACAGTAAATGACGCGCGATTGAGTTTCACATTGTCAAGTGATTTACAATTCGTTCGCCTCAATTGAATGAACGCCATTTGGCAGCCTCAG